TGAACATAGGTAATTTAATAAATAATAGAGAATTTTCGTTATAAGTTGTTTCAAAAACTTATACGAATACTTATAGTTTAAAGGGTCTTGTCGAACTAAAATCAATTCAAATTGATTTTCATAATCTGTACCAAGTGGGGCATAACTATTCCCGATATAGTCAAGCTCCATCATCAACTAGGGACTGCGAATACAATGTCCTTTGCTAGTGTCAATTATGAACACAATAAACTAAACGCTAGTTGACGGGTCCTTGTAGTGTACGATAAACAAGACCCTTTAAAGTGAATCACTACACGAACGAGTCGATCATTTCAAAGTTCTCATGAAATTATAAGGTCAATTTTTAAGTTTTTACGTATAAAAGGGCCTTTATACGCAGATTATAAACTTACAGAGTTGGATCTCCGCATAGTATATGTGTGGACCTACTGACCAGAATGGCTTATTAAAATTAATCGGCTGAATAGGTATAGTATCCAATCAAACAGCTCGACTCATTCATTAGCTGAACTAATTCTCCCTTCGTTATTTCTACAAGGTTATTCAAAACGATCATCTACAAAAAATATATTTGAGAGTAGATAAATCTGTAAACCCGTGTGCTATATCAGCCTTTTTGATTCTAGAAAACACATATGACACAACTAAACATGCTTTACATCAAGGGGGTACGGATGGTATGCCATTGGCCCTATTTTATTACCGTCCTAGGAGATATTTCCCGACGAATTAGGAAATTATGAAACACCTTGTTTATTGGGTTTATAAGTATAAGTAAAAACTTATAACGAAAATTCTCTATTCCCATGAAAATTACCTAGCTTGGATCTACAAAGTGGATAAACTTATTTGTCAACCATATTTTTCGTAAAAATACAACTTTTTATTTACCACTCACTTACAAATTTAGATTACTAAGAGTTCCTTATTATGGGCATTGTTGTGTTGAGTTAATGTTTGTAGTCTAGACATGTAGTTTTATCATAATTGACTAATGTAATCATGTTATGATACTATTTGCAAATAATAGTTATAAAAATATCAGTTGGCTATAATATCTATTCTGATAACAATAAAAAATTAATGCATTTGGTAATTACACCATGCTTCGACATTGTGCATACTTAGCGCTTATGTAAAAGGGCTTTTACCCATTAGTTGAATAAGAGAGCTTCCCAGGAGAAATTGTTATTAAAGATGCATGTGATGTTTTTAAAGTAACAACATAAGTTATTACATTTTCATTGGAATTTCTACTAAAAATGTTCAAATATTTTCTTTTGTTATCCTTTTTGAAGAGGTAAACATTTCACCTGAAATTCATGGCAATTGCAAAATCACATTTCTAATCATTCACCTGAGTATAGTATCTTAGGGGTCTATCATAAACAAGGACCATTATTTACAAAACAAGCTCTCAGTACGTTACATGTATCAAATCTATAACATACCTTCATCTATCATCTAGCTTGGACTTCAATGAACTTAAAAATAAGAACATTTTTGAAATACCTATCATATACAGTTACAGGTAGTTGATTCAATGCAGCATGTAGGATTACACCTTACACCAAAATCAGATTTAAGCTATGTAGACAATGCCGTCTCTAAAGGAAGGCGCACTATGAATGCCTATATTGGTGTGACATCAACGATCAACAACCCCACGAACCCCTTAACTGCCTCAAGATTGTACTGGTCGATATGTATGCCATCTCTAACATATGGCCTGGAACTAATTTCTGTGAACGAGCAAGCATTGAGTAAACTGGAAGGAGGGCATAGAGAAATTGCTAAAAAGATTCAAGGAATTTCAGCAAAAACTTGTAATCCCGCGTGCACAGCAACACTAGGGTGGCACTCAATATCAAGTAGAATTTTCATTAGTAAACTGATGCTACTTTGGCAGCTGTTAGCACTTCCTATCACAAATGTGTATAAGAAACTGGTCATAGTAAGATTAACTTTTGCAACGCACTATAACCTTCATAAACTGTCCCCAATTGGAGATTGTCTTAAGATAGCTAGATCTTTTGGACTTCTGGGTGATGTATATGAAATGCTCAATGTTGGAACTATCCCAAAATTGCAATGGAAAAGACGTGTGAAAAATGTTGTGTATGAACGGGAATTAAGCAATTGGAGAGTACAGTGTATTTTGTTTGAAAAGTTGTCTTTATTCAGAATGGTTCAAAAAGAGATAAATCCCCTTGTATGGTGGACCCTAGCAAAATGTAATCCCATGCTACTTAAACCCTGTAGAACCATCGTTAAATTATTAACGGGTGAAGGAAATCTAATGGTTAACTGTAAACGGTGGTCGGGTGGCAAGATAAATGATCTATGCTTGGTATGTGGCGAAGCTATTGAGAATTTAGTTCATATGGTACTAGAATGTCCGGGGCATAAGGCAAAACGAAAGGATATTGAGAATATTCTTATTCAGATGTACCTTGATACCCCTCTCCCACCGAATGACGTGTTGTTACCGATTTTATTTGGCGAAAATAATGTACTGACAGAGGATCAATATATTAAGATAGCTCTGTCAATTTATGGAATGTATGAGGCAAGACCAAATGTAGATTTTTGATTAGTTAACCATATTTTTTAATGAGATTTGGTTTGATAAATGATAGGTGGACAATATCATATTGTAGCTAAAGGGTAATAGGTAAAGTGTAGGTTAACTGATGGCGTCAACGCGGTAGCCTGACGTCCGTCAACGGCAAATATTAGGTGGAGAACTTGTTTTTCTTATTGCATGTAACAGATAGTAGTAACTTGACGGCGTCAACGCGGTAGCCTGGCGTCCGTCAACGGCAAATATTAGGTGGAGAACTTGTTTTTCTTATTGCATGTAACAGATAGTAGTAACTTGACGGCGTCAACGCGGTAGCCTGACGTCCGTCAACACCAGGGATTGGTTGTACATAAACATTTTAATTGTTTTTTTCATTATTGTATGTAACATAATAATCTCAACCCCTTATGTAATATTTTATATAACACATGTAAACACACCAATTCTGGTGGATAAAATAAACATAAATAAATAAATAAATAAATCATTCAATCTACATTTTACTTTGAAAGTTATCCTGAGAATAACGAATCAGCACTGGCGGATTTAGGCTTCTAAATAGTTTGTGGATTTTTTTCAATAAGTGCCTACAAATGGCTTCATTTTCAAAATAGGCCTTATTTAAGAAAATGTTTTTAAATGAGTCCCCACAGTTCCAAATAAAAATAACCCCAAATATTTTTCCATGCAAATGAAAGTGATTTCACCTTTTTTTTTATTTTACCTAAGAAATGTCAAATACTGATATTCCAATGTCTTTCCCAGTTCTCTGATAGACTGTCAGTTTCATATTAAGCTGTATGTGACACTAAAAACATATTATTTTTCAAATTATCTGGTTTGTAATATAATTTAAGTACATATAAGAAGTCATGAAATATATATTCAATAATCTTCTCAAACCAATAAAATGATTACATAAAAGTCAGATGACCATAATGGACTTTTCATTAAGGTGAAAGATGTCAGTTGCGCAATATGGCTGAAAGTATTAGTAACACTACACTAAGCTTCCACATTCATGAATTAACTTAAATATGTTCAGTTAAAACATTTCATGATATTTCAGACCACTCTTTGTAGATTTGTCACGGCAGATGACCATAATGACCCATAGTTCACACTTTATCTTTCAACCCCTGTCTAATGTTAAACCAGTCCATCCATCTCCATCAATCTACAAACATTCCACCTTCCAATTGATCAATAGAAGTTCAAAAGATTTTCAATTTCATCAAAAGTCCGCTGAACATTGATGTCGGAGATGAGCAGTTGAGAGATGACATGAAACAGACAACAGTTCACCAGAAAATAAAATCGTATCACGAAATTAAATCACGATTTGATACATAAAATGTAAAAACAGAGCAAATGAGAGAGACAGGTTGGAACAGAGAATAATAGTGTAAAAAACACTAGAAACTACCTTTAAATCATATGGCAATGAAAAACAAGAGAGGAATAAACATGAAAGAAATGCCATGTAGGCAAGCATGTATTGTCCAGTGCAAATCTCTTTATAATCAGCATTAACAGGAGTACATCTTTCAACACATGTAAAACCATCAATCATGCCATATTCCATTAATCAAACCCTGTCTGCGGTGAAACCAACTTTCAAAACCAAAATCAAAACTTCAAAAAGATCAAAAACTGCTTACAAACATGTGATTTAGATTAAAAACTTGAGTCTCCGGAACTGAAATGTTTGTCATCAACATAGCATATTTTCTTGACCACTGAACAGTTTTATTTTTACACCATTCGTCATATGTTTAAGACTGACAGTGCGGACTGCGGAAGTAAAGCACTCCTACTCTCTCTTATGGTAATTCAGATCGGGAATCCTACAAGGTTTAGGAAGGTACATTATTAATTGAAAAGTAGATTCTAAGGTCAGGGTTTAAAATAGCAGAACATTAGCAAGAATTTATGGGCCACAATGGAAATAATTCACAGAAAATGAATGTTAAATGTTCTATAATGGAGATAGAATGGGGATAGAATTGAAATACAATTAGGCAAATTATCTGTGGGTGATCAGGGATAGATGTTTTATTGTTAAATGAATCCATTTGATTTGGATTTATTTTAAGTATACTTTTTAATAAATAACAAATACATGTACATATGAAACAATTGAAATCAGGGAATTTAAAATGAATATTTCAAAAACAATATATTGCCAATTGGCATTAATTGAGAAGTATAAAGAAAACAAATGAAGCCCTATAAAACATCTAAGTAAATCTCTATAACAATCCAAATTAAAGTATGAGAACCTAGACTGCACATATGCTATATACTAGTCTAACCCAACGCATGCTTAATATCTGTAATAGCACACTGTACCTATCAGTCATCATACTACCTATAAAAATAGTTTGGATAAATTTGATCAAAATGAACTTACCTGTCTTAATTGAGCAGCTGAACAAAAAGCAGGTGGGGAGACTCGTATTGACTTCTTAACCAGCACAATGATCCATTCAGCTATATGATGCAAATCTATAACAGGAATACATATGAATATGCAATATGGGATAATAAAATAAAACCCACAGCTTTTCTGCTGTAACTCCTGTCAGATCAAAATGTACTTATTTCATAACATAATGAAAGATCGGGTCAATATGGACAAACTGGTTTAAGTGATATATTACAGTGTATATGATTGGCATTTTTCAAAGGTAATATCAGGTAAATGTCAGCTGACAACCCCTGTAAACAATATGAAAATTTCATATGGAATTAGAATTCCAAAAGTTATTTACGTTGTCAGCGATTTCTATAATGTATGTTTGCACCTTTCCCTCAGTTTCTACTGTGGTCTTCTATTGAGATGCAATGCACTTGATCTGTTTGTACTCTCAATTTCTTTTTCATGATTTCTTGAGCACTAGCCAGCAGTACAGTCCAACATAAAGACACAAGTAATATTTCAACTTGATCACATATTCGGGCATGTGACATATTTTCTTGGGGCTTTATGTTGTAGACTGATTTCAAGTGCATAAAATGAAGGAATTCACTATTATGAATATGTCAGGGCTACAATTTTCTATTTAATCGTATCATATGCATTTAATCAGGCAGTTTTGCATCAATGGTGACACTCTTGTCCTAATGTCCCTGTCCATGTGGTGGACTACCACTTTGGGGGTCAGGAAGGAGCAAGTATGAATAATGTTCATCATAACATTACCACCACAAACTATGCTAACTTTTCAATAGCTCTTATGTTAGGTTATTATCTCAAAGTCTTAACATGTCTCAACAAGGCATTAACATGAAAAATGTCACTACCTGCCATTTGTTACAGATGCTGACCGCCAAACATCAACCACCATCCACAGAAAAGTTTGACATGAAATTAATATAATATAACATCACCCAAAGCAAATATACAGACCATTTGAGTGAGAATGGAACTGACAGAGGACTCTGATCACACTGATCCATTGCTAGGATTTTTCACAGGGAAAATTCAAATACAAATGTCCAAAAGTAGTAAAACATTCAATTCTTTTATGATCTTGTAAGATGTTCTATTCCAATTTTAAATGAGATAACAGTATGAAACTAAGTTTTAAAAGGCAATAAATTATGTTTTACATGAACAATTGCGTCAACATATTAAGACAAGACCAGAGTTATATACATTGTACCTGCAATAGAAGTCCAGGGTAGACAAATCTTGCAAAAGCCTCCCTAATAAACCACTTCAACTGGAGATTACAATTCCAAACAGTCCAAGTGGTCTCAGACCACATTCATAAGTCAAATGCCAAATTGCAATGTTTGGTTCTGCAATGTTTAAGAAGTAGATTATGAATTTAAACAATGACCAAACAAGCACTAAACATATCGAGGATCATGTTTCCCAGAGTATAAAGTTTGTACAATGCGTGGAACCTGCTGATTAAAATTGCATTGGTTCTTGTTTGATTTCAACAAAGATTAAAGATTAAATGTCTCAGTGCCACAAGAAGTGAACCGACTTTGTCAGACTGACTATGTATTGGATAATGCCTACATAATGCAGGCAACAGTTTGACAAGTTAATCCTTCTTACAAGCACCTTAATCAAGTATCGAATGTATAGACTGATTTAAGTCAGATTTAAAGTATTGAAATCAATATTTAGGTAAATGTAAGCTATATTCTATAGATCTATAGAATGATAAACATACAAATATAATTTTATTATATATTTATAATTCAATGGAAAATGCTTGAATCCATATCAAAAATCAAAACTTTATTTTATTTATATAATATTGTTCCAATCGGCCATAAAATTAGATATATTATTTTGTTTCTTGTAAGCCCAAGAGGGGAAAAAGGTGTTGTAAACCAAACCTTTTAATAACAATGAGAGGTAACAAATGAACTGGGCTGCAGATATTTTATAAAAAAATTTACAATACAGCATGATAGTAACACCATCTATATTACAAAACTTTGTTTGCATCCAAAGTATAACTAATAGGCAACATTCAACTGCTTATAAAAAGTACTACTAGTTTTCAAATTTCAAACATTGTCATACATGTAGTTATGACAAAAACCAAGCTAAACTATCAAGAAGACGATGCATATTTTTGACCTGACTGCTCTTGACATCAAAATGCAATCTCTATGAGGAAAAGACCCTTAACAAATTATAGCTACATTATTAATAGCTACATTATTTATTCTCTCTCTGCCTATAAAAAAGACAGAATAATGAAAAATCATATAATTTAAACTTTACAGACATGTTTCATTTCAAATCCAATGACTCCAAAGATTGCAAATCTAACTTTAATAAATATGAATTTGAATTAGCTGACATGGATTAAGAGCAAGACTCAAAACAAAACTACTGGTATGTGGTGATAAGTACTAATGTGCGGTGTGAATTCATTAAATGTTTACCCAATAGCCATACCACTTAAAAATACATTTATCTAAAACACTGAAATCTTCAACTGAATATAAGATCCCGTATCTCAATATGTAAATAGAGGAAAATAATCTATACTGTGGCCAAATTAATTGATATTTATCCTATAAAAGCCAAGTCATTATATTTGGTCAATTACTCTTCATGAAGGGCTATTAAACATTCCCTCCTATTCCCCAAAATAATCAAAGTCCATAGTGGTCACATCCTTCAATAGGCCACTTTGAGCTGTCTATCATTCTGTGGCCTACTTCAGTTATATACAAGATGAATGTCTTTTCTCCCCAGTCTCCACTCAAAGACATAGATCATAGGAAACTGGCTAAATTTTGGCCTCATTAATGGGAAATGATTGATTCTTTTCAAATTAGTGGTTAATTTTCATTTCTAAACATCTGCGCCTGTTATTGATGGAGTTTAGCCTCCCAGGCAAAATGACATGATATCTGTTGTAATTTATCATCTGTAGAGACAATATCAATACATTGCAATACACACTTACTTCTATGTGAAATAAGCAGACATCATGGATCATTTCATCCTCTAGATCCTTTGATCTTTTCCTTGATTTTTTTTAGTTTAGAAATATTTTAAGCTTTCCTAAATGACAGATCAAAACCACAGGAGAAAACAGGTCAGTTCTTTTAGAATAATACCTCAGTGTTGGCACTTCCTGTTTGTCTCCAAACCCTCTCCCTCCCTCTTTAAATTAAAATTGGTCTCACTCATTTAAATGCCTCGTCCATTGGTAGGCTTTACATACATCAATGACTTTTGAGAGGCTTTGAAAAAAGCTGATAGGCTGCCTGAAAAACTGTAACTAAAAGATCAATCTTTGCAAACCAACATTCCACACAACCTATTGGCTCTATTTTGAACTAAAACCGAATATACAGTAAAACTTGTACAGGGTGGTCCAAAAAAATGAGACACTTGTATTTCAAAAATTGATTTTATTTATGAAAACTGTCATGTTATGTACCAGTGGATAGGGAATTTACTTATCTTTAATTCAATTATTACGTCATAAATAATATAACTGTGTACTTCCATTTTGAATGTAATCTTGATAAAGCTACATGTAGTTGGATGATTAGCGAAACGTCGAAAATAAACCATTTTACTCTGAAGTAAATGAACTTAAGTTATTATTAATATATTACCAGAGTGATGAATTTACACAGAAAAGTAAAGTTGATGTTAGTATAATTTAATAATAGTAAGGCACTGATACCATCATTCTAGGTAAATTTTTTACCAGTGATTCAAAAGTGATGTCATGGGAATGCTGAGGACTAATACATATCATGAGATGTCAACTTGATGTCACGCAAGGCTAGCATTTTCCACAGAAAAAGGAAAATATACTCAAGCATGAAAAACGCATTCACATCATATATTTATACTTTTCACAGCAAGAGCCTGGACAGTTAAAAAGTTGGATTTTTGGAAATGTTTTATCACTCCTTTCAAATCCCCCAGCTTACTTATATTGTAAAACTGATTTATATTGCATTAAGATTAAGTGTTTACCTGGACTCTATAGCTAGTAACAGATAAAATCTATCAAAATATCACAGACAATTCAGATATTTTTTCAAAAAAGTTTTTCTTCACATGGGCCTCTGTTTACAGTGAAAAAAGAGTTTTTAGAAATTTCAAATATGGACGAGTTTATTTTGACAAGGGTAACAAGCATCCAAATTTTTTTATAATCTGAAGTCATTGAAAATAATGGTGTCAATCCAATGTACATGTACAACCTATTCTAAACAGATGTAATTGAAAATAATTTCAGCTATGTTAGTCTAATCCAGTTTACAAAATAGTATGACTTGCAATTGCATTGAAAAATGGCAGCTGTGTAAAATCATCTACATTGTCTCCCTAGTAAGTATCCAACAGACTGAGTTATACTCAGTTTATGTAATGAATTGACAAAAGGTAGGCATGTAAGATTTTAGCCTTCGATATTATCTGAGACTAACATAAATTTTATGATGGTTTCAGATATTATGAGGAAAGTCAAATCAAGAAAATAAATAGATTGCGCATATTCTAATGTGTAGGCCACAGACACAAGAACAAGAGTTTATCCCGGCTACATTATACAGTGAGTGGGGAGGGGGATCCGATTTAAATCTTATTCCTGGGCCTGTGGTGGAGGCTCATGCAGTGCGAAAAGTATAGTTTCAAACTAGATCTAAGTTACCTTTGATGTTTTGTTTCATTGGCTACGGAATAGATTTCAATGATTGACACTGACCATGGGCTCTCAGGCCCGTAGCCAGGATTTGCCAAGGGGGGGTTCAGTTTTCAAAAATTTCCAGGGGGGTTCACATTTGACAATTTAGGCCCAAATATGGTCAAAATCACTTGAAAAGTGCTCAAAATGGTGAAAAACTGCATGATTTTGAAAGAATTTTTGGCCAGGGGGGGGTTCGCCCGAACCCTGCGAACCCCCCCTGGCTACGGGCCTGGCTCTATCAGAGCAGTCAGCGAGTACAAGCGACAACAAATGAACACTGCACAACCGTGAGTGGAAAGTACAGAGTGAGAGTACCAAGAGACAAACAAAGTACAAAGTGACCAAAGGCTGAGGAAAAAGCAGCATAAATGCACTAGATCTAGAGTCCATTTCACTGCTTCATTGCATCAGTAGAACGGCAAAAATAAGAAATTGGGAGACCATTGTGCAATAATATATGGAAAAGTATATTCATATTGTACATGAATGGCATTTGTATATTTCAGATTTTTTAGTTTTTTGTGCAATAAGTCTGTGCCCTCTTGTAATTTGAAGAATTTCAGCCATGTTATCTTTTTGAAAATAACATGGCAGAGAAGCATCCAAATATAAGAGGCCACACACTTTATAAGCCAAACTAGAAGCAATCCAAGATATACAAATGTCATTCATGTACAATAGGAATATATTTTTCCATATATTATTGCAAAATGATATTTTGATTTCTTATTTTTTAGCTTTTACTGACGCAGTTAAACAGTGAAATGGACTTTACAACAACAAAGCTGAAAGCGAGTCACACGACTTGATTGAAAAATAAAATGAAAATCAAATATTAAGTTGTTCACATCATCTGTTTGGCTAAATAGATGTTTTGCTTTTTTGATATGAGGATGAAGATTTATCTCACCAATTTTGTTATTGTTATTGTCGATTTCTGGTACTTTTGTGCTGTTTTAGAACTTTTCAATGCTTTTTTACAAAACGATTTTCCCGCAGCTGCAACCCTCGCGAGATTACTAACGAGATCTCAGGTTCTCTCGCGGCTACCGGAAGTCGAGGCCAAAAAGTTTTGCAGGTAAGTTTTTTTAGAGTTCTCTCGAGCCTCTCGTATATCTTCGAAAGTATTATTTGAAGAAAGGCAAACACATCGGCATCCTGATAAGCAAGGAAAATCCTCACGTCCGGTAGTCCTAACGTATACTTTTTCGGTCTCTGACCCTGGTCTCTGACATTGGACACAATGCTAAAGAAAATTCTTATTTCTTTTGCTGCATTCAAATCGATTCTCTACAGGAAGTACATGTTCTTATTGCACATAGTTCTTCCATGGTTCATTTATAGCAACTGCGTCTGTATTCCATTAATCGTAAGGGATGTGCAAGAAGATACCGCCAAACTTGATCATCCAATGGACGTTGCTGGAGCGTTCCTTGAACGTTGAAAAAATTCATCAACGCTCGTCAACGCGCACAAAATGGGAAAAAAAACAAAAACACGGGCATTGGCTTAGCGGTGCACCGCTGAAGCCGGCGTTGCTTTAGCGTTGGTTAAGCGGTTGCGAGCGGTAGCTAGCGTTTGTTTAGCGGTAATGCGAGCGTTGGTATAGCGGCGTTCTGCGCATGAGAGCGTTGCCTCGGCGGGGGTATAAATAGCAGCAGCGTTGGTTTAGCAGCATATCGCGTTTGACTACTGGGAAATTATTTCAAGTGGGAATTGTGTTTAAGAGTAAAGACCTTTATTGGAATTTGTAACTTTAATAAAAGTCCTTCAAGGATTAAAGAAGAAATGTTTTAAATCTAAAGTGCTTATATTAATGTAATATGACATTAAGAATGAATAACATTACAATTTTCTTTATTAATCTCTCACATCATTTCAAACAAACATATCACAATTTAATTGTTGCATTTCCATTACTTGGAACCGATTTACGTTCAAATTGCTTTAACAATGTCAAATAACATTTACAGCAAACTAATAATCATGACGCATGACAATTTTTTGCATTGCTGTGAGTGCATCAACTTTTTGTATAATACCATGACGAGTGCAACATTTTACAAGCTGCGCAGAAAATTCACAGATAATTTATTGAATTGCTTGACGTGAAAACACTAGGTATATACTATATTTGAATAAAGGTCTCAGTAAAAGTCTATTTGTATTAACATTTAATGAAAAACAAAAAACGCATAATTCACCTTTTTAAAATCCAAAATCACAAACTTTGAGCGCTTAATTTAGGAATTTACAATGCAAAAAATTGAAATGCCAGACATGAATATATATCAAATGTAAAATGCACAAGTGTCTCCACAGTGTTCTACACAGTGGTGCATTTCTCCACGTATTTATAGCCAAATTCTGGTCCCGCTCCGACACCTCTATACCAACACCAAAGCAAAGTTCATCGCCGCCATGGAACGCTGCGACAACATCCGACACTGCTCCAACAACCCCATGTACGCTGATAAAACGCTAAAAACCGTTCCACCGACGTTTGTGCAATGTTTAATCGCCGCCCGGGCAACGCTGGTGAAGCAGCGGTGGTCCAGCGTTTAAGACTTCTGCGTTGGTCTAGCGGATTAAGGCGTCCACGAACTTGCGTCTAGCGGTGCCAAACTTTGACTGGGCGTTGGTGGAGCGGTGATAAACTTTGCCAGGGCGTAAAATTGTCCCTTTTTCAACGCTCGCAATATTTTGAGCAGCTCAAAACTTTTGGAGCGTTGGGATGACCACTCGAGAAACATCCGCGTTGGCCGAGCGTTTACAGCGTTGCTTTAACGGATGCCAACTTTTGTTAAATGGTGGTGAACGTTTACGAGCGTTGATGATTTTTTTCAACGTTTGTTGAAGAGAATTCAATGGTGCCATGTCTCTGTGTCATAATGTAACAACCCTTGGGCACATCCGTCGAGGAGCTGTAGTGAAATAAGCCTGAGGCAGATGCTCTACCCCTGAGGCACAAGGGCTAGCCACTATAGCTGAGACTGTAGTAGCGACTTGCTATCGAAGGTCATTACACCATACCCCCTGGAAGAGAACATCCCGTGGTTACTGATTCACATGGGGAATCCCACTTCTGACACCATTGTAACGATGCTTGGACTCATCCATCGAGGAGCTGTAGTGTACTTGTAACGAGCCAGATACCAGATTTGAAAGGGAGTGTGCTCAATTCAATGCCCAGTGAGAGAATGGAACCCAGGACCTTTGCTCTCTCGCTCTCTTTTAATTTAATGTTTTACAATCATGTAATATATTTGGATAAGATGTAGGATGTAGGGACACTAAAATACTTCCTTGTTTGGAATCTATGCATACACTTTGTGATTGAATTATGACCCTAATAAGTGGCCTATACATCATTATAACATACCTATGATGATGTATAGTGCAAAGTGTACTCAAGACAGCGGGCCAATATAAGTTTTGAAAAGCCCGCGCCCGCTAACTTTCTGATTGGTCAAGGCGCTGACGTCATAACCAATCAATCGAAGATAAAACTGCGCGAGCAATTTTTCTAAACTCATTTCAATCATTTTCAAACCATTTGTTTGTCAATTCTATAAGAAAACGGTACTCTCTGACCAGTCCACATCATCATAGGTATGTTATAAATCGTTTATGTCACTATCGTGGCGCATATGTCCTCGGTTCTCAGAGATCAATGTCCCTCCCAAGGTCGGGCCATATATCACTGAGACCTCGGGCATATATGCCACGATAGTGACATAACCTCTAAATACAGTGCTGCATATAGGTCAAAAAGATACTAGTATGCATATAAATGTAATAATAAAAGCAGCATACTCATTTTGAAAAATTAGATGAATTAATTTTATTTCATGGGGAAATCAAAATAGAGAGTGCACTACTTCCTTTTAAAGAAATAAGATGAAAAATAAAAAAAAGTCAGCAATGGTTAAAAACTGTGTTATCTTACAATTTCAAGTTTATTGTAATACAGGGTGTGTCATATATATGCACCTCCTCTAAAATCTTACATGTAGTATAGTCACCTTGTAATGTAATGTTATATATCATTTTGTTCATCATAGAAATTTACATGAGGTTGTAAAGTCCAGGGGTGTCCTAGAAAAACGATATAACGTATCAAAGTATGAGGGTATCGGGTCATTTAGAGGCAATTTCTGCTCATTTTGAGGATAAATTTAGTTCTTTTATTGCACATTTCTAGCAGTTGTCATCATGAAAGAGTTCAGTCCACATGTCTGTGACAGTTATTCACAGAGATATATAGACAGGATTCATGCAGTGGCTTAAAAGGAGGCCAGGGGTCATGGAACCACCTTTATAACTAGAAATAAGTAATTGATAAAGTGAACAGATCACCTGAATGGGTCCAAATATGCTTACAAAATTGCTTATAAAATACCCTGTACCCACATACTTTGATACATTGTATCTTTTTTCAGGGATGCCCCTTGATTTTGAAATGTTGCAATCTTATGTAACTTTTCACGAGAAACAAAATGATATATAACATGATAGGGTGGCAATGCTACATGTATGATTTTAGAGGGGGGTGCATACATATGAAACACCCTGTATATATTACCCCTACCCTTAATTTTGAACTGCGAAGAGACCTCTGAATCTGAAGGATATTACCTCAAATGTTATCACAAAATGGTTGTAATTAATTGGACTTTCATATGAATATCCACAAAGTTTAATTGGAATGAAAACTTTTTAAAATGGTGTATTTCTCTAAATATCAGAAGATCCCCTTCTTGCGCACATTGCAAGGTATAGGATTTCTCAAATTTATGATGTCAATTTATGGTAAAAATATTTACCATATGTACTACATTTTCTCCATTTGGTCAATGTATTCTATATACATACATTATTCCTCTGAATGTTTGGTATGATAATAATGCAAGATAAAAAAGATATGATTGATAAAGGACAATGTACCTTTTTTTCTTTACAGAGGGTACTTTGCAGAGGGTATATGTATATACAATTACATTTTACAATGTTTACAGGTTGTCTGCCATAGGGCGTGGTGCCGTCAAGTCATATGGAGCTGTTGAGTACATACAGCGTATAGAGTACTCACTAGAGGGAGTGCAGATATAAGAGGCTTCAGATGTCTGGGGGAATATTCCACCCTCCATCCTCATCAAATGCCATAAAGCAGGACCCTCTGTGCTGCTTGCTATGTAACGAGCAGTATGATCAGCCATGCTTGTTACAGTGTTACCACTCATTCTGCTCCAACTGCCTCAGAGGACGATCACAAGATGGCCTCATGCTGTGTCCTATGTGCGGGTAAGAAATGTTTGTCATGTTATATACATTATATACATGTAATGTGGCATTGGCCACTTCGCATTTGTAATTAACACAAGATATTACAATGGGACTCATACTTAACTTTCTACCCTTTGCATTCGTTCTTAAAACAGAGCTTCGTCTTCACTCTTTCAGTTTTCAATAAATCTCTGATCTCAACGAGCCAATCAGAGTTCGTCGTCGTTTCCTATGACATCACTACATAGTTAATGAGTACATATTTAGCATGCTTTCCTTCTACCTCGCTGATTGGTTGAGAAAGTCAACGCGGTAGATTTGAAATGATTTATGACCCGTACTGTCAAAGACACCAATATTTGGGGTGGGGCTGCTAAACTGAAATTTTTCCTTACGAGGCAGAGGGTAGTTTATTACAAGACTCTGCACGCAGGGTATTAACTTTCAGTATTTTGTTCAGTATCATACAGTAAAATTCTAAGTGATATTGTGTTACAGAGCAGAGACAGTACTACAGGGTGATGACACAACACTGCCACCTACAGACTCATTAGTGACATTTCTCCTATCTACCACTGCTCAGAAGAATGCATCCTGTGCAAATTGTGAAGAAGTAAGTGATATAATAAAGAAATTAGTTTATGAATCATGACATTAAATGCATTGAATATAATGTTTTTTATTGCATCTAAAAAGGTAGTGATCACGTCAAGTAGACCTTACACAAGATAATGTCACAAGATCATATGTCACAGGGGTTTATTATATTATGTAGACAGCAGGGAGTAAAGGTGGTAATATGCTTCATAGTAATATCAAGAACAATATTGTGCGTTATAAATGTGTAATTTTCAAACAGCTGAGAAATTGGAGTGCACAATGGCTTATTAACCTGTACAGTATTTCATTTTATCATCTTGAAAATTCCTACCTTACTATTATTTTTAGACAAAAAACTACTTGTCTGTACACTATTGTAATTTGTAGTTTTTTAAAGATTTTTGTAACCATAGGCCGGTGTAGATGCTTTTACAAATTATGATAGAAACTAGACTATTGTTACTCTCAAACAGCACTTTATTACAATTTGTTAGAACATATTTTGCAGTTAGACCTTATTGTGCTCATGCAATTGTTATTACAGGAACATGAAGATATGTTCTACTGCAACACATGTGCCCAACCTCTGTGTGAACAATGCAGAACTGAGACACATCGCGCACGTATGTTTGCACTCCATGAAGTAGTTCCTCTAGGAAAGAGAACTAAAGATATACAGCGACATTGTGGTGAGACATTTTTAAAACTAATGTAAGGCCATGTGAACAATCCTTTTCCTGATTACCAGAACTTCATTTGTGAATATGTTAAAATCTTATACTTTCTCTGAAAATAAATAAGGGTTATGTACTGGGAGGTTTTGGATATGGGGTTTACCCAGAGGGAGATATGCATATCTACCTTCGGACGGATGAACCCAATATCCAAACCGACCGTACATAACTGCTTTATCCTATACCAAGTAGAGTTTTCAGTGAAATTACTGGAAGCGAGAAGATATGCACCGAAGCGGGAGATATGGCGGGAGATATGGCGGGAGATATGGAGGTTATGGATATTGAAACCTCAAAATCAGGATACGGGATATATCTTACCATCTTATCTCCCTAAAACTCTACTTGGCACAGGATAAGGGAATTTTATATTTACCATGCTTGTATACTTCCATTATGATTAAAAGGTATATTATTTATGTTAGATATCTGATCTATAGAATGGATGACATTGCGTAGCGATAGAAAGGTTATATTCCTTTGTGTCTGAATAAGCCTTTTGGAATTTTCTTTGAAAAATTATACCATTTTAGCATCAGGTTAAGTTGTACCAATACATTAGACCTGACACCTATCTTGAAATATGTATGACTGTTCCTCGAATAGAAAAGAATGATGGAAAAAGTAGAAAAAATAGTTTAATACAATTACACTGTATAAAGTAATATGTGGTCTATGGGGAATCGCCCCAACCTAGAAGTCAGATTCAAAGAAAGTTGAATTTTCAAAGTTGATAAATGCTTTTTTAAACTACATTTCTAGATGCAATTTTACATGTAGACTTCAACTATATCATTTCTTGCAATGAATTACATCATAACTAGATTTAAGCATTCCCTACATATTGCTCAATATATGTCAGCATCAAAATTTTTACCGTTTTTGAGATATTTGACGTCAAAAAACAGTAAAAATAAGTTATTTTTCAACTTGCTTCAATTTGACCAAATTTTTTTTTGAAAATCATTTACAAGCTTATACCCTGCGTGCAGAGTCAAGTTAAACTACACTCTGCCTAGTAGATACCATATTACAGTTTAGTAGCCCCGCCCCCACGACGGGTACCGGTGACAGTTTGGGTTATAAATCACTTTTGACCTACGCGCTGACCTTTCTTCCACCAATCCGCGAGCTTGAAGAAACATACGCCAAATGCATTCTAATTAAATATGTGCATGTCATTGGTCAATTCCGGGCTCAACGATGACGTCAGAAAGAATGACCATATATAGAACGTCGGTCAAATTTGGCCGACGAACACTGATTGGCGCGGTGAGTTCACAGGTTTATTTTAGTTTGAAAGAGTGAAGACGAAGCTCTCTTTTAAGAAGTGAAGTCAAACGAATGCAAAGGGTAATCAGCTTAATCACGAAAGACCTTACTGAGCTCTAAATAAGTAAAATTTTCAAGGTCAAAGGTCATCAAACTAGGTCACACAACTGTGCTGTCTAAGTTTCTCAAAGTTCGAGACTACAAATCCGAATCAATATTTTTGTTTGAAAGTCAGGATATGCATTCCTCTGAAGGTTCCAAACTGTGTGAGCACAGGACCGTGGGTCCTATTTTTTTAAATATTTAATGACTTAAACCAATATTATTTCTACTTGCATCAAGTCTATTCTAAAAGGCACCATAAGACCATTTTACTTCTGCAATTCTAAAAAGTGAGGATTTTTGCAATCTCCTTAAACCTAAACAAGATTGTCCGATGTAAATTCATCTGATTGTATATCAATGTTATATATATTAGAACGGCTTTTATGTGTTTTGTCTTTATTGTCATCATTTGTGGAAATGTCACATTGGCCTTTTGGATAGTTTTGTTTTGTCTCCTGTTTTTGGGCAAGTGTAGTTGAAGCTGAATTCAATATATCTGAATTCAAGTTCACTTCAATGTCTATATTGTTGTGCTGTATCCCACATGTAGGGTTATGTCCTTCAGAATGTTCTCCTGAATGCTCAATTGTTGCATCATCATCTTTACTTATAGTTGCAATTGTTGCTATGGCATTTTTCGAGTGAGCCTTCATGAAGACTTGTTTCACGGCATCTTTTATTGACTTTTGACAAAGGCTGTAAATCCAAGGATTAATGGCAGAATTTAGAACTGCAATATACTGAGATACTTTAATGGCATAATATGTGTATTTAGTTTGGACACGTCCATTCAACAGACTTGATGTAACAATTAACCATTGAAGCCAGCACGTCCAAGAAGCTATCATGATTATTCCCATGGATCTTGTTATACGGCGATCCTTTATTGTTAAGTCAAAATTTCCCTTAGTTGATCCTCCAGATTTAGTATTTTTTCTTTTCTGGGCTTGTTTGGTGAGTTTAGATTTCACTTTGATTTGTTCAGCTTCTTCATATGGTGTCGTATTTTGAATTTTTTTAACACTTCGCTCATCTGATTTAACACTATGAGAACACTGCATTTGATGATTTTTTTGCTGGGAGTATTTAGATTTTTTACATTCTCTTGATGTGGAAGGTGTTGGGTTTGACTGACCTAAGATATCAGACATTTCATTTTTCTGTTCATCCTGATTAGGTGTGACCTTTCTTTGATTCAACTTGATATGTCTTATTATAAGCACACCAAGCACTGAATTAATGATGAGATTTGCTAGGATGTGGAGCTGAAGAATTTTTCTATGCTCAGAGCCTAGTGAATGAATAAATAAACATTTTTTGGATCGTGCGAGTCCCCAGATCAATGTCGGTAATACAGCAACCAATACTGTGTAACCCCAAACAGACATTATCCAGATTGTCATATTTCTTTTCTTTCTCATTACCCTTGAGTAGAAAAATGGGTGCACAATTTTCGTGTATCTCTCTATCGCAATTGAGGATAACATCATGAATGACATGAAGCCCGCACCAGAGCCAAACAGCACTCTACAATAGCAACATATTGTTAACAATGTCTCCGGCATGTTATTAAAGAAATATGGAAAGTGATTGGTTAATATGTCAAATGGAAATATACTTGGTACTGCTACAAGAACGTCAGCCATTGCCAAATGAAGCACTAGTCTATTTGTGATTGTCCTGATACTTCGATTCTTATTGTATATAAGAAATACCAGTCCATTGCTAATAGCAACAAATACTGAAAGTATGATTTCCATTGTAATGTCAGTGACAATTGCCCACTCTGGAAGCTTGGTTGTTGTCCAGTCAAAATCAGAACTGCTTCTGTTTTCTGCAGTTATGCTTATGTTTTTCTCCATAGCAATGTTGTTTGCGTCTGACATATTGGTTTCTGCCCACAGTCCCATGTTGTAAGCTGAAAAAAGTTAACATAGATAGTATTTTATCATGAAGGTGATTATAACATTATACAATTGTTGCCCTCTCCAGAGGTCAACTGGCAAAATGGTATACCGAGACTGTAAGCCGAGAAACTACTGTTGACAGAGACCGAAGGTCGAGGTCAACAGTAGTTTCAAGGTTTACAGGCGACGTATATGTTTTTGACAGTCGAGGTATATGATTTTGACGGTTGACCGAATGGAGAGGTCTACAATTGTTTTGTTAGTCCAAAGAAAGTTTCTATTTGTATTTTTGCTATACTTGTCATCTAGTAAAGTCAAAATATCACTTTCATCAACATTTACAAAATGTCCGTCTACCATGTTTTTTCTTTAAACAATATGACGTCATGAAACTTATTTTAAAGTAGCGGTCAACAGTACCTAGTAGCGGTCAACAGAACGTATTGTTGACCGCTAATCAGCCAATCAGAATGGAGTATTTTAGTTGAGGTACTAACAATAGATATTGTTTGCCATTTGATATTCATATTGTCTTTTGAATCATTTAATCATTTATTTTTCTTCTTATTGTATACTGGGATGTTTTGGAGCTGGGTTTATCTTGAGGGTAGTATGTGTACCTTCCACTTGTACCTTGTGTGGGACCACACAACCAATTGATCCTTCTGCTTGAGTTGGAATAGATAACATTTTAAAAGCAAAAATATGGTCCAGTTATTGTTATTACACCAGCATCATCAGTGCTTTGATTTTTGTAAGTCCATGAATGAAAACGTGTTTGTATGGACCAACTCTAACACATTATTTGATATGATTAAGATGCATTTTCTTTGAAAAGCTTGACATTTTTGACCTCCCTCCATCTGTCAAAATCAGAACAACAATTTTTGACATTTTCTATAGATGGCGTATTCAACAGTTGAGATCTTTTGATTTTCAGAGGGAATTTTTATTCAAACTTTTTGATTCAAACTTTTTTCACTGACAAGACATGCTTGGGTATGATCGTATGATAGCAAAACATGGCTGCAAATCTTGATTTTCTCTAAAAGACAGATCATTTGTATGGGTAAACACATGTTATAGCATTTGGTTGTGTCCTCCCCCGCAGCTGGAGTAAGTATCCTCCAAGATGGTGGACAAAATTCATTTCATTTTGATAAAGCTTCAAAAGCTAAACCATGTAAAACCTGGATTCAAAATATTTTGTTACGCAAACTACAATTATAAGGTTTTGGTTGTAAAGAACTTCAAATAAATGCTCTAACATCTCTGAAATCGGAAAAATTGAAAGAAAACTGCTTCACGCAAGATGGCATTTATCTCAAATTACATTTTTGATATTGATGACACCAAATGAACTGGAATCAAGGATGATACTAACTGTATGGGAAGAGTATAAGAGTATATGTACTGTATTGTAAATCTCTATTGAATCATGGGCTTTTAATTAATTTAAGTTGAAAGCCCATAATTGAATTAATCTTATTTGAATCCGTAGTTTGAAAAACTTCTTACTCACATTTTGTGTTATTGAAATAGAAAAAATAATATAAAGTCCAACATTGATGATATAGAAATAACTCACCTGATTGATTTGATCTTCTAGGTTTATTGCCGACAAATTATGCTAATGTACATCAGAATTTAAAATGCAAAATAAACTTAAACTGTTGTATTGTGTCAATAGTCATATGTCGCAGATCCCAAATCAATTAAGAAAGGTCCCACTAGCGCATCCTGTTTGTCAACTGGAGTATGACGCGAACAATCTGGAACTCTTGTTATAAAACATACTTACATAACAATACATAATACATAATTGGTTGCTAAGGGAGAATCTCAAACACTTAGTGCCTGACTGATTTAATAACAGTATTAGTTCTCATAGACACGGCTTCATTGTTGCCTCCCAGGAGACTGTTTTATCGCCTAAAACAGGATTTCATGCTGAGCTTGTTGATTATATTCAATTATCCTATTATCTGATATGGGTTATAATTATTATTAATGAGTATAAGAAGTCAACATATGAGCATGATGCTATTTTTTGGTATAAAGACATTTCACCCATTGGATCTTTCAGCCCTAGACTGATCACCCCCTAGCAATCCCCCTAGACTGATCACCCCCTAGCAATCCCCTAGACTGATCACCCACTAGCAATCCCCTAGACTGATCACCCCCTAGCAATCCCCTAGACTGATCACCCCCTAGCAATCCCCTAGACTGATCACCCCCTAGCAATCCCCTAGACTGATCACCCACTAGCAATCCCCTAGACTGATCACCCCCTAGCAATCCCCTAGACTGATCACCCCCTAGCAATCCCCTAGACTGATCACCCACTAGCAATCCCCTAGACTGATCACCCACTAGCAATCCCCTAGACTGATCACCCACTAGCAATCCCCTAGACTGATACCCCCCTAGCAATCCCCTGGACTTTTCATCCCTTAGATGTTATACTCCCTGGAGATTTTTTCTTTTATTCAGCAGTAATATCTTACATAAAATATGTAGAAGACATACACATGCTTGACATTCTCCTGAATGTATAGACTGCTTATAACAATATCAATTTTAAAATACATGGCTTATTTGATATACTTAATTACTTTTCTTGCTGAATCTAATAATTGCAATTGCATAAAATGAAATTTTTACCCCCCAGACATTTCACCCCTGGACGTTTCAAACTTGTCGTCAAAGGATAAGAAAACACTTAATGCTGCTACATGCATCTCATAATATTCCACTAAATTTGGTCTTAGAACATATATTGAACTTATCAAAAGGCACAGACCTTTTGAATTCACTACTTGATGGAGCTCTGAAAAAGAAATGAAGCTATAAAAAGGAGAATCTTAAACCTGTAATCAAGTGTCAGGTATCTGATCAAATGAGTGATGCTATAATTGATGCCCCTCTGATTGTTTATCATTTCATATTGGATGCTGCAAAGTGGTACAGTTAATATAACAGTTTCAAACATGACCGTTTTAGAATTGAATTTCTTAACCAATCAGAATGCAGCATAGCTGTACTCTAATTCTCCATACATGCACGACCGATCTGGTTCCAGGAAGCTATGTATCAAATAGTTCTGTAAATAAAAATATGTTCTGTAAAAGAAAATATTATCTGTCAAATACAAGAAAAGATATTTCACTTTTTGTGATATTACAAATGGGGAATCTCCCCGAACTTGAAGCAACATTCTCAAAAAAAATTTCAAAGTTAATAAACAATTTTTGATTTTGAAACCAAAGATGTAGATGTTCTAGATGTACTTTTACATGTAGATTTCAAATAAGACATCACTTCTACTGAATTATGAACATTTTTTTAATTACGTAAAACAAGATTATTTCTACTCGCATCTAGTCTCATTACAAAGCACCTTTCTTATTTCATTTTGGTACTTTTGTTATATGAATCCTTTTGTGCTTTCAAAGCATTGGATGTGAGGAAATTGAACTGTTTAATAATATTATATATTGTTTTTCCAGATCGTCATGGGCAACCATTCATAATGTTTTCTACGGAGACCAAAGAGATGTTATGCATCAATTGTTTCAGAGACACTTCAGTGTAAGTGTTATATTTATCCAAATCAAACAAAGTTCAGAGGGATATAGGGAACCCATCCATCGGCACATCTGTCTACATGTCCATCTGTACTGGCGATAACTCAAATGCTGTTGGCCCGATTTTGTTCATATTTTGTACACATTGTATGCCTATGGCAGTAGAAGTTATGCCCGAAAGCTGATTTTCAAAATGGCTGCTTGTTTAAAAATGATTTGAAAATAAAACTGAAATAGCAATATGTTTTAAATGTAAAAATGTTGTATGGGACATTAATAAAGCTAGAAATGTAGATATTTTAGAAGCACATAGCAGCCATCTTGAAAAATGCCAGCCATAACACCCTATTTTATGATTTTTGCTGTACCTTGAAAAGTAATAGAGCGATTTTGTTCATATTTGATATGCGAATACCGGTATGTGATATGTGAAGGTGGCCATTTTGACAACACACAAAATTTTTTATGTGTGTTATTTTATGTTTTTTACTATAACTCAAAAAGTAGAAGAGGAATTTTGCTCATATTTGATATAAGCATGGCATACTTTGGCTAGTAGGTATCCATTTTGAAAAATGATTTTTGTGTGTGTGATTTTGTTGAAATTTTATATATTCCTTCTTAGAAGCATATTTTATTTTCTTATGACAGTTTGGCTAGTGAGCAACCATTTTGAAAATGGTGGCCATTTTCATGTGTGTTATTTTACAATTTTTACTACTGTATTATTAAAAAAGTAGTAGAAGAATTTTGTAAAAATGGCAGCTATTGCTGTTCGATGGGATTTACTACACTTTGGCGTTGTTGTTATCTAGTTCTGTCTGATATTATATACACTTTATAGTAAACTAGTTAATATCATTCACATGAATGACATTAAATTTAAAGAATATTTATAGTAAGCCTACGTGTATATCCTGATTAGTGTTTTACATTAATTGATCTTCTGTGACATGTTTGATTTACACTAATACAATGGTTTAACCAAACCCCGTCAAACTACTCACATGAATTAAAATCGACACCAGCAAGTCAAGTTGACTTTATAGTATTATATAAATAAAGTAGATTTCTGGCACATATATTTATCCCAACGAACGAAGTTCTGTAGGGATACAGTGAAGCCCTCCGTCCGTCTGTCCGTCCGTCCGTCCGGAAGATAACTCGAATATTTTTATAACTCGAATATTTTTTTTTAATTAAAAATGGCTGGAATTTTTCGCAAAAATCTTATGTTTTTCATTTTAAACCAAAATAAGAAATATTATTATTTGAAATTTTGGTAGTATATTAACAACATATTTCACATATATCCCGGGTTTTTCACCCTGACCCCCAGGGGCCGTAAATGGGGGATCGGGAAAACAGGAATTTGCGTTAATTTTGAGATGTTTTTGAAGTATATCTTTATTATACTCAAATGAAAGGCAATTCAGAGTAGATTGCAAATATTGTAACGTTTTTCTGATTCGGGCCTCAAAAAATTCAAAATGGCCGCATAATGCGGGATGTCGCAATTGTTTTCTGATCTCTTAAAAGTATGGCTATATTATACTCAAATTGAAGGAATTTCAAAGTAGATCACAATTATGGCATTGTTTTTCTGATTCGCGCCTCTGAAAATTCAAAATGGCTGACTAGAGCAGAAATTTGCCATTACTTAGAGTTATCTTAAAAGTATGGTTACATGATACTACAATGATTTAAAATATTTATTGAAGGTAAGAGTAGATGGTAAATATTCCATTGTGACTGTACAGATTGATGATTTATTAGTGTTCGTTGGGATTTGCTACTCCGTGGAGTTGCCATTTTCTACTTTACTTCCTGCTAAATACAATCCTACATATAATAATAAAAGATAATAGCAATTCCTCGCCTTGGCTCTAAACTCATTGATCCACTTAGAATTAAATTAAATAGTCAGGTGACGAATTTGAATATTTTATGAAGAGGATTATCATTTTAGACATTTGCCAGAATTAGATTTTTGCACCAACTTATTATATTAAGAAACATACAAAAATATTTTCCAGGAGCAGCAGAGCCAATTGCATAGATTTGGAGAGTGCCTATAATGAAGGTTGTGAGAAATTGGATCATGAGGTGCTTGCAATGAAGGAGCTCCAGAATGCAGTCCAAGATGCCATTGTGCTGGTCAAAGTTTTGCTAGATGAAATTGAGCAGAATGCCGATACAGAGAAATCTGCAATCAATGAGCTGTATGATAAAATTCAAGAGAAGGTGGCTGCAACACGGAAGACTTTACTCCAGCAAGTTGATAAGTAAGTGAAACGCAAGGATCCATAACTCAAAGGCATTCCCCCACATTACCTTGAGTGAATAGATTAGAAAAATTAACAGTCTAACAGCCTCCCTTCCAATACCAGTGATGTCACACATCGCACCCAGTAAGACAGTATCAGGGCTTCTAAAAAATCAGGAGAGAATTGGGGTTTCTGTAATTAAAATGGGTGCACCCCAGTTGTCCGAAACCCAGTTGTCCGAAACCCAGTTGTCCGAAACCCAGTTGTCCGAAACCCAGTTCTCCGAAACCCAGTTTTCCGAAACCCAGTTCTCCGAAACCCAGTTGTCCGAAAAATTTAGTCATAATTTACCAGATAAAGGGGGACGCACCTCAAGCCAGTTTCATGTCATGTATTTGGCAAAATCAATGGCATGGACGCATTCTGATGTATAGATCTCTCTCTCACTTTGAATTGCATCCATTACACGGCGTTACCAGAATGACAGGAACGGGGGATTTATTTTACATTGTGATTCTAAAAAAGGTCATCAAAACACAATATATATTACGGAACAGTTGATCTTATCTTATTCAATATATTTTATATAGGCAAAATAAAATGAAACATTTTGAAACCGATAAAATAAGCTAACGCATAAAACTTTAAGAATAAACAGTACACATATTACGTTGTCAAAATGTTTCGTCGCATTTAATTTCTTAGTCTCTGTCTCTTATCAAATCGTAAAATGTAAAAGAACAAAACATTCTAAACGTAATCACTTGGGATTAACTGGAAACGAAGACAGGCTGTCCTCGTATCAAATTGGATGTTCTCCCATTCGCAAGAAGTTTCATTTTCGCCATGTACTCACTTCATCTTTTTGAATTTAATCTCTATTTCTCGAACAGAGTGCCTAAATGAAGAATAATTTTTGGTTTCAAAAGATGTACACGTCAACTTTACTCAATAAATGCCCACTGGCTTGGGAAAACTATTTCCCTTTTATGAACGCCCATCACACATTGGAAAAATGTTGTTCCCTCTCAAAAGCCCCATGGGGCATAAAGAAAATTGGTTTAAAAATTGTAGACCCCTATGTATGTTAATATGTAAACGCCACTTTGCAATCAGAATAGCATAATTTAACTTTGTTTATTTGAAGATCTGTATCACCTGTATTTTCATCTTTCGACAGTTTTTATTAGGCTAAATACTAGCTTCACGGTCACTTTTCATTTGATATTACATCCTAGCACTATGAATAACATTTATAAATTGCCCTGATGTAAATAAAATGAAAAAAGTATTATTTATCAACAGAAATTTAAACTTCACCGGGCGGCTGCCGTGGGAAATGTGACTGCAAAAGTATGAGATCGAAAAATTTCTACGGAAATGCGGAAATGATAGACCGCACGGTGGCCGTTGGAAATGTGACTGGGGTGTAATTCCCACAAATCGGGGACACATATGCAATCCACGTTATTCTTCAGGAACAGAAAATGCAACCAATGATAAAATAAAAAATTGCATTTTGAATCCGACTGAGTCTTATTGATCCTCATAAATTACCCCCTACTCATACCAAGTTAAAATGTGCCCATCGTGCGCCTAGTGCTAATGGCGCTGTCACACTTGTCGTGTCCCGTCCCGTCTCTCAACGTTCAAAGCATTCAGGCCAAAATTTAAGGAATAAGCTATAAGCTTAGTGAGCTGTTTCAGAACGCCGTCTGAAACGCGTTCTGATTCTGAACCCACTGTATTCATTGGACGGTGGGAGGTCGTCCATGCTTACACTTTCCGTATCTGACCCTATTATCACACTAAACTAGTTCTCACTACGCTCTCGAGAACGGGCTTAAACTGTATGGACGGATTGGAAGTACTTAGAACCGTTTGGGGTCTACTTGCCTACCCGAAAGGGTAGTTCCAAAATTTCCACGTGGTCATCACTTTCTGCAATCACGCGGTCTTCGACCGTTAATTGGAATTTTTGACCTACCAGATGCTTGAAAATCAAGGATTGCGAGTCTGATACTGCACCTTTTTTCTTCCATTATACCATTAAAAGCAAAACAAAATTGCACTTCTGTCAGTGCATTACTTTATTGTAAAGAGTCTCTCGTTCTAGCAGCGTTTTGGTCCGCACTCCCCAGCTGTTAGAAGGCCTTCTTACAGCTGGGGACCAAAATTACGCTGGAAGTAGGAACTCTGTTTAAGATAACTAGAAGATTGCAAGCAATCTTACGGAGGCCCCGTAGGCTTTTTTGAACATTTAAAGGTCAGCCAAAGGTCAAATCTTAAATACAAGGACATATATGAACTCCAGGCATCTTGTAGATGATTTTAAAAAAAAAGTTTGGTCAATTTGAAGCAATGTGAAATTTGACCTTGAAAAATTTCAACATTAGACCTTTTTCAGTTTTTGAGGTCCAATATCTCAAAACTGGTGCAGAATTTTAATAGATAATCAATTGTTATTATGTGTAAAACCTTTAGAGGAATATATATCCTGACTTTAATTCAAAAATATTGATTTGTAGTCACAAACTTTGAGAAACTTAGAAAACACAGTTTGTGATCTTGTTTGATGACCTTGACCTTTGACCTTACAGGTTTTACTTTTTTAGACCTCAGTATATCTTTTCTGATTGAAGAAACCTAAATTTGAATCCAGAAAATCAATTTGAAAAATTAACTTTTTTGACCTTTCGAAGGTCACTGAAGGTCAACTAAAGGTCATAGTTCAAAACTAAGGTCAGATTTGAGTTCCTGAGATCTTGTAGATGCTTTTTTAAAAAAAGTTTGGTCAATTTAGAGCAAGTTTAAATTTTACCTTGAAAAATTTTGAAATTTGACCTTTTTTCAGTTTTTGAGTTCTAATATCTCAAAACTGGAGCAAAATTTTAATAAATAGTCAATTGCTAATATGTGTAGAACCTTTAGAGGAATATATATTCTGACTTTCAGTAAAAAAAATTGATTTGTAGTCTCCAATTTTGAGAAACTTAGAAAACACAGTTTGTGATTTCGTTTGATGACCTTGACCTTTGACCTTGCAAATTTTACTTTTTTAGACCTCAGAAGATCTTTTGTGAATAAATATACCTAAATTTGAATCCAGAAAATCGATTTGAAAAATCAACTTTTTTGACCTTTCGGAGGTCACTGAAGGTCAACCAAAGGTCAAAGGTCAAAAGTAAGGTCAGATTTGGAATCCTGAGAATTTGTAGAAGAGTTTTAAAAAAAAATTTGGTCAATTTGAAGCAAGTTGAAAAATGACCTTTTTTGACCGTTTTTTGACCTTCAATATCTCAAAATCTAGGCAAAATTTGTCTAGACGGCAAAAGGCTAAGACTAATAGAATACTAATATCTATCTGTATGCAAAAATTCAGCCAAAAATATTGAAGTGTAGTGTCAGGATTTGAGAAACTTGAAAAAAACTTAGAGTTGACCTAGATTTTGACCTTTGACCTTGACCTAGATAAAAATTCCTTTCCCGCCAAGTTCAGCCAAGCTTCCTAGTAGGAGCATATAAGAGTTAACTCAGACCTAGCTAGAAGTAGGAGAAAAAGAGGGAGGAAGAATAAATAATAAAGAATAATAATAATAATATCTACAAAATTGATAGGAGGCCCCCCGATGGGGCCTCCTAATAACGTACCATCAGAAAGAGATTTTTGTCATGCTTTGAATGGAACAAGTTTGAAGAAAAACGGTGCAGTATGAGACTCGTAATCCTTGATTTTCAAATATCCGGTACGTCAAAAATTCAAATTAACGGTCGAAGTTAGGACCGCGTGGCAATTATATCGAGTGACAATGTACTAACGACGAACAGGACGTGGGGCAAAGGTTGAACTGTCTCAGAATGTATTGGGAACGAGGTAGAAATAAAGAATTCATATGAACGAGTCATGCAAGATACTAAAGAGATACAAATGCATTTTGATACTCAGTTTTTGGGCAATTAAATCTCCCTGTCTGCATTGAGTAAGCCTAGTTATTTATTGTCCGGTGTATAATTTTTAAACATTATCCTAATTTTTCACAAAACTTTTTTTGATTCTGCAATAGTTAATGGTTGACATCTATGGCACACTAAAAACGAGTTTTTTTATGCAGGGTACGTACATGATACAAATCAAATCTTGGCTCTACTACAAACTATTACACACTTACTTCAACAGTTCAATATATCGCAAAACACAGTTTTGATTTTGAACAATATCACCAATGGGAGAAATTCTTAAATCTAAATGTTTGGAAAGGAATACGTTTCTACTAAAACATACAAACCTCTTATATTATGATGAAAAAGGATAGACATCTGATATGTATAATGCCACATATATAAGTTATACGAAATGAGCATATTTTATTGATTTATCGAAAATTTGGACGAAATCTTAACAGTGGGTGGTACTGAACAACCAAAATCTTCTTTTTAGATATTTTTCAGGGTAGAAATATTATCAATTGATATTGGAAAACATAATTAACCATATTTTATTGAGAAAAGGGAATGAAAAAAATCATCAAATGAATATAATTGTCACGGACGTCCATACGTTATTCTAATGAGATAGATGTTCCTTTCGCCAGAATATTCTCTTCGACTGTGATAATTGTCTAAAATGTTGGCGGCAGTCTTGAATTTTCACCAAGAAGGAGTGCGATTCGTGCTGGACAATGCGGTTCAAAACTTGTAGAATGTCCATATAAGTCTATGTGCCGAGAATCTAGTAAGAATATATATATGATCGTGAACTTTCGGACCCATTATTGACTGGGCTAACCGATGTCAACGTGATACCAATATTATGCTGTCCTGATTCGCGAGGTTGCGACAAGATTCGTTACTAAGAAATTTAATTTTTTAATTTTCGGAGAACTGGGTTTCGGAGAACTGGGTTTCGGAAAAATGGGTTTCGGAAAACTGGGTTTCGGACAACTGGGTTTTGGACAACTGGGTTTCGGACAACTGGGTTGACCCCAATTAAAATGACAATTCGAAAAAGATAATCTTGATTACTTATAATAAATAAAGGAGAAAAATTAGGGTAAACATTTCAATAAATTGGTAGTTGTTAACATGAAATTTTGGTGTCCCATGTGAACAAGGGAAAGATCTGAAGATTATATAAAAAATGTGGATTTTTGAAAATCAAGGTTTTGACTAAAGAATCTGGGTAAGCACTAAAAATCTTGATTACCAATAGGTGGGTATTTCTAATATATGCTCATTTATGTAAGTCATGATGAGTTCAGATAAATTAGATAAGTTCATGACAACCTAATTCATCATGACATTCAGCAATTCTACATTGACGTTTCATTCTGTTGATATTTGATATTTGAACAAAGAAGAAAGTGAGGATAGCTTACCTTAAAGTGGAAAGTGGCTTTATTGGTTTGAATAATAAAAAATGTTGCCTTTTGTTATATTATATCTGCTGTCTGCCTTTGTATATATTTTTTAAAATAGATCATTAGCTCTCTGTAGTGTCTAAATTGAAAACCTAGTTTTTTAAAATATTTTACGAGTTATTATTATTTTACGAGTTTATTTTTATATTTTATCGTATATATGTCCCCAGGAAAGTAAATTTCCATTAAAGTTCATAATTTCCTTTTTGAGATTGTTTGGATGAATATTTAATCTCCCAATCTCTGACCCCTTACCCCTTAGATAGTAAGTTAATAGTGTCTTTAAACAATACCAATAACAATACCAACAATTTTGCTCGACTGGGTGTTCACAAAGCCAAGAGGCCTTCATTTCAAGTTCTTACAAATATGACTTATGGAATTTGTTTTCCTGGGTTAATATCACAGGCTATTTAATAAACTTAATATCAATTTCCAGAAATTTTCATTTTGTATTGTCTTCTTTGCAGTCAATATAAAGAGAAAGACAAGATTTTCAAGGAGCAGCTGTGCCAGCTAAGTGCCTTACTCCCCACGTTACATGTACATCTTGCAATGGCCTCCTCATTCTCAAGTTCTGCAAACAAATTTGAGTTTCTAGAGCTTGGATATGTAAGTGAAGTTAATTATGACTTAATTAATTGTTGTTTTACATTACTTTTTAAGTTTTCTTTTCTATTTTGCCATTGGATTTTATGAGAGAATATTTGAATATTATGAGGTTATATAATGGTTCATTCTGTATATCGTGTTTATACTCGAGTGTATAATACACTATATACTATATAATATATTCACAAGTGAGCGTAGCGAACGAGTGAATATATTATATTCTCACGAGAGTATAAAATGCACGATATACGGAATGAACCATTATATAATCTTATTATGCCACTCTAAGTTTAATTACAGTTGATTCAAACACAATCATAACAATTATAAAAACCATAAAAATATCCCATAGCCAACTCAGTAATGCCGATGTTGATCTCGATCCATTTATGACGTCACTTGATTCTAGCAAATCATGTGGGAACCATTTATGACGTCACTTGATTCTAGGAAATCATGTGTAACAAAACATACGCCTCGTGCTTCGGTCAATATTCATTAGTTCCCAGAATGCACTTCTACAGTGGTATACGCTGGAGTGTATATGGAGGAGTTGTATACGATGACGATATACCACTCTCCACTGTATATAGTTGTTATAGACCCATGTTATACAACTGTAATCGGACTTAAAGTGGTATAATACTATTTATACTAATAAATATATTTGTACAGAGGGAGGACAATATTTAGTATGTAAATCCAGTAAAATTAGGTCATATGAAAGCAACACATATTTTCTCATATCTAAGTGGTACAAATCATGTTTTTTTATTGTAGTATTTGAAGCTATGGTTACAGAATGATGTATTGTAATAGTTTAAATTTGGACTTTCAGGATTGATTTTTTATAAGAGTATATTCACTCTACTATACCTAACCCCTAGAAATGCATAAGATACTCTGTTTGTCCAATTGTATTGTTTAGTATATTTTTGAAAGTGCCTTTGTAACATCTAACATTCAACCGATAAACCATTAATAAGGAACAGACAAATAAAAACAAATAACATAATCATTACTAATAAGCCAAATGGGTTGTGCATGAACACCCAATGCAAGGCATAGTAGAGTGATACTTTAGTGTGTTTATCCCAGTATTTGTGTAAAACACAATATATCTCATTGTGGTAGGATACAGGGTAACAGAATATAAGAGCTGTTAAAATATTAACATATTCAGTACGCATAACTAAAATAGCACTTTCTGCAGTATCCATTCAATACACTTTGGGTAAACACGATTAATATAAAGAATAAAGAAGAATGTAATTTTTGTAAAAATAAACTGTCACAAATGATGGCTTAAAAGTAGATGAATGGCTTCAGGTTGAACATTTTAACACACATATTATGTCCCTTTTTGCAGGTCCTGATGTCGCGATTGAGTGCCCTGACACATGCAGATAATCCAATACAACCTCGCCACACCAGTCTCATATCCACTGATCATAAACTGGAATATTCAAAGTATTGCTATTTTATTCTTATGATTTTTATACACATGTATTTGCAAAACACCAAGCACTTGTCTGTTCTCTATTTGTCACTTATGTATGTATTGTCTAGGTTAAATCTATGATATTAGGCTATTCCTAATACTATATCTACATGTATAAGAAATTTCACTATTTTTTGTCTCTCAAATTTCACTTTAAAATGAGTCAAAATATGCTGTTTGATTACATATTTCTATGTAATGTGTGTTGTCTGTTCTTAACATTCTATAATAATCAATCTGATTGTATTAAAATGTAATATGTAAAGTTTGTATAAACTTTTAACTGGCAAATTTTGCAGATGTTTAGAACTGTTGCTAACCATCCGTCCATCTAATGACTTCCTGTCTTCTCTACATAACATGTCCAGTCATAGGCGATCTGGGTCTCCAAGGTAACGCAACTGCCTTGTCTATTAATATGTACTTATGGGTTGTGTTATTGTTACTGTATGCACTTGTCTCTTTATCAGCAATATGGCTGGTTTGACAGTTGTTTTGGGTCTTTGAGTATGTCATCACTTAGATAAGCTGTAACATTATTTAGCCAACTGTCTACTCTGGTGGTACTGCCTACTGCGTGGTAGTTGAAATTAAACCAGGAACAAATTATAACAAAATAGTCATAAAAGAAAAGAAATTTATGGAGCATGATCACATGACCTTTTGCAATCGATAAATTCAATTATTTTTCATCTTTATTGCCTAAAACTGAAATTAAAAATTGACAGAATTGTCAAAAAACAAATGTGCAAAAGATATGCTCTTCATTACAAATCAAGTTGTTTTGAGAAAAATAAATATAGTTGTACACTCAGACCCAACATAATACACCTATAAGTTTGTGAAACTCTATCTTATAGACAAGACAAGGGGGGTATGTCAGGTGCATCCAATACCCTACAAGGGGGAGCCACTAGTTCTCTCCATTACACAAATGGAAATGGCAGAAGAATGAATAGCAATGGACACAAGGTCAAGTTCATAGAAGCAAATACTTTATTTGCAGACCATTGTAAAGAGTTTGAAGCAAATCATAGGGTAAGAATTTTAGTTCTGATGAGATATTGTAGACCCTGTCTGAAGTGGCTTTATATTATATGCATAATGATGATGTTTCAACTAGATGACAAATACGATAGGCCTATAATATTCAGGTTGGGCTTTGGAAAAATCAAAATTACCATCAAAATGTTTAAAATATTTGGTACCAATGATTTGTCTTCACAATGAAAAAGTGTTAAAATACCTCCATGTTGTTTTACATATTGTATTGTATTATGTTTTGCAGTAAGTCTAGGTTATTGTACATGGCAGCAGTTTTAAATCAAAGTCTTTTCTGTTCCAGGATATTCTGCAGAAGTTTGAACTACTGAAGGTGCGAGTCCAAGATGCACAACGGGATATGACATTAAGACGCTGCCTGGCACGTCCTCAACATCTCAAGGACATTTCAGAAAAGTGTGACACCATAGAGGAACAGGCAAATCAAGAACTTGAACATCTACAGCAGAAACATTCAATCCTAGAAAAGGTACATTTCTCAAAAAATTTAAAGAAAATTGGAGAAGTGTCCTTGACATTTTATCAAATTAAAACAAATCAAATATATCAAATTAGTTTACCATAATGTGCAAATATCCACACAAATTGTAAAAAGTATTATCCAATTTATCAATTAATTATTGTCATAACATTTGCATCATAGCATCATAGTATATTCTTTAATGTTTGTCAATCACTCATTATTTAATATTTCCTATGTGATAGCACTGAATCTGTCATTCTCTCTTGATGGATTTCACATGAAATCAACTTTCAACCTACTTATTTTTTCTTTGCATTAGCACTGGGATGAAAGTTGTACAAGGATTGCTATAGAGCAAGAGATCTACCAGGCCCAGGTAAATGACTTGGTCAGGGTGAAAAAGGAGAATGAGAAGGTGGCCACCATTGTCCGCCAACTTCAGCCATTTATAAGCTCCATAGGAACTGTTACTGAGAGAATCTCCCCAAAGTAAGTCTTATATCGATAGCATGAGGTGTCAAAAGGTTGGTGTCAAAATTCAAAAACTTCAAAGGGCTAATATAGTGAGAGGCGAGGGGAGGATTGGTAAAAAGTATTTCATCCGTCAAAAATCAATGTTTTGAAATAACTCAGAAATTCATACTTTACTGTGAAAGATTATGTCATTAAAGAACTGTCTTAGAAATAATTATTGTAAAAATTAAAAGTGTACAATTTCCTTTCATTGAAATATGATATTTATGAAAGACTGTTCATTTATAAATAACTTATTATATATCTTAAGCTTGGCTGCTTACATTAACATAACATAATGTACATTTGAAACAATCATATATCAGTTTATTATCTCTTACAGACTCGGTGAGACAAACCGTTCTTTGAAACATGACAACGAAATCCAATCCTTGTTTGAACAAATCAACACAATGAGCCCAGATTCGCAACAAAGGTAAGTTTCATTAGTTGAGTGTAGCATTTTGTAGTTTGAAAGATATGCCCAATTCAAAACTTTGGTTACCATACATTCTTGGTATTTTAAAGCTTGAATCCTTTTACAGGGTATCTGTTAATAGATCAGACGCATGCCATGCATCTTTGGTATTTCTTACATAGGGAATTCATTTTGCAAAAGCAAGCAAATAAGAGAAAAATCATAAGAGATAAATTATATGATGGGAGGGGCAAACTAAAGTACAACAAAATCAATTGTTATATGATGGGAGGGCCAGGGGCGAACTATAGTATAACAAAATCAACTCACTATTGATGATTTGACACCATCCCTAACACATGATATACATTTCAGGATTGAAGCAATAGCATCTGTGCAGGAAGAGAGGCAGACTCAAATTGCTAACAAAACCAACCCACTGGATGATGCTCTCATCAAGACTAAGGGCATGCTTAAGTCTCCATCCATAAGAGACACAGGCCCAAGAAAGGACCGTGACTCCATTAGTAGTGATAAAGCAAAGGACATAGAAGCAATCATCGAAGATCCCACCAACAGTGAAGAACTGAACCAGGTAGATGCATTATTGAAAGATATCAGAGACAGTGTGTCTAGAAAGGACAGAGATTTAATTAATAGTGATAACCAACCAAAGAATACAGGAACACTCACCAAAGAACATATACCAAGTGAAGAAAGCATTAACACAGTGGACACCCAAGTTGGGAAAGATTCAGGTGTAAGCGAGAAATCAAAAGTCATTGATAGCCTTGCTGAAGAAGGTGCCAAACTTAGTGAAGAGCATGTTAATAGTAGCATAGCATGTTTACAAATTGCAGTAAACCATGAGATTACAACTAGATCTGGTGATCATTTACAAGGCGGTTTATTAGAGCCCATCGATCATAAGAGTATTCAAAATCAAAATGTATGTAGAGATGATCAGAAACATGAAAAATAGAAGCTCAAAATTTCAAACCAGACTATCATTTGTCTCCATTTCTATTTTACTCCACTTCACTTACAGAACCTAAGAAAAAGCAAATGTGAAAAATGAATGTTGAAGTCAGTGTTGATTTTGCAACAATATTCTGTTTTATTTTTAACATCCACAAAATATTTCTCATCAAAATTGAAAAGATATATAGCCAGACTAATCAAATGCCAGCAACTTCTTATTCATTTTGTACAAGTCATTTGTGTTTTCAAAATAATTGACAGTGTTCTCATTTGGATTTGTATGTTTTCAACTGATAGTTTTTTGCTTCACCTTTTATTAAATTTGCCTCACCAGTTTTGAGATCCTGGCTACGCCCCTAATATCATATCATTGTACGATGTTATTTAGCAATTTGTTGAAAGCCAAAGATAATGTTCAATATGCTGCAAGCTTGTTTTGCATACAGCGCCCACTTTAGGGTCCCTTTGACATATACATGCACAATACTAATGTACTTGTTTTTTATTTGTATCTTTACATGTACTATTTATATCCAGTATTTATAACATTTACACTTAAATGGAAAATAAAGACATATTAAACGCTACACTTTCTTGATTTGTTATGCACCATTCAACGGTTTGAGTTAGACCTCCCACATGGGAAGGAGTGAGGATTTTGACAAAAAACTTGGACTGTCAAATTCTGTCCCTGGGGAGCTACCTAGTGTCTAAATTTAGGCTACCCTGGTAGCAATAATAGTTTTCCAAATTTAAAAAATCACTACTCCAGAGACGAAATACTGTTCAAATCCTACCTCCTGTGACATACTACATGTCAAATTCTCAACTTTCAGCATGAGGAGTTGTCTCAGGCAAACCTTGGTATGGTGCTTTACTATTATTGAAATCGTAACACCCATCAATATGAATATGATCTTGATACTGAGGTAAGAAGCACTAAAGAGAGATCACAGCCGTTGATTATTAGCCTTCTTGTTCTACTGGGTAACCATTACTCCATTGGCATTATTATTTTATGTTGAATTGAATTTTTTTTTGTTTTATCCCCAAAATCAAAATAGCAGTAACCACACATCCTAGTTTTCTGCATGAGAAAAATGCAAATTCTGCATGAAAAAGCTAAATTCTGCACCAAATTCTGCATGAAATCTAAAATTCTGCGCCAAATTCTGCACGGGGAAAAGTGAAATTTTGTGGTACAAGTATGTGCAAAAAGTGAAATTCTTGCTAAAATCAATAATTTTCTCCAAAAAAATAAACAATTCTTGAACTCCACTCATGCTGCTTTATTCAGCGATAATGGACAACTGCAGTAATAACACCAGATTCAATGTTAATTTGCGACAAAACTTACCAAATGCTCACTTGTGAACTATCACGAAATTCGAACTATCACGAAATTCCAGATCAATATGCAGGGAATTCAGATGTCGTCTATTTATATATGACGAAGTAAAACGCAAGAAGAAGCATGATTATTTGCGTTAGAATACTATAGAATACAATATTAATAAACATATTATTGCAAAACAATTACGAAGGACTGTCATTGGTTTCAAATTGGCGGAAGTTCGAGATTTAAACAGATTTCCTCTTGAAAATCTGACAAAACACAAGTATCTGACAACAAACAAGCGGAGTCTTTGAGTGTTTAGGTGAGTGACAAATATGAGATGAGATGGTTGACTGGAAAAATCATGTTTTCCGCGAAATTCCGTGCCAAAACAAAAATTCTGCAAAAAAGATGAAAATGCAAATTTCTGCGGTTTTTCTGCGGCGACGCGGAATCACGGAATACTAGGATGAGTGAGTAACTAGCAAAATCTGAAATTGAACTCGGGGAATGTAACCAGTAATCACAAGTTCTTTTAAATCAAACAAAATACACTGTCGGTAAAAATCACAAATTACCAGTGCCTCTTATATATTGTTCTTAGGATGTTGTGAGACAGACTTTATAATTCAAAATACAACATTGACTGATGGATAAACTCATAGAATCAAGAGAAACAATTGTTTGTTTAATTATCTTTATTCATGGTTTCAATCCTACATAAACAATTGCATTGAAGTGATTGTTTTTGTAATCGGAGCAGTAATAATATCCCTTCACTATATGACCTATATCCATTTATTGAAATCATTGTCTTTCAAAATAATACATGATTTTACTTCAATGGAAAATCTACAATTTATAGATAACTAAGTGTGTCCAGTAGGATAATCCGGTGGCCATTTTGCAATATATACGAATAATAACAGCAAATAGTAGTCACACCCAGTGTTTTGAAGATGCCACTTCAGTCATTGTGCAGGCTCAAGAGGTATGACCCTACAGATAAACTGCAAACACATATAAAGTCATGTGTATCAACTAGTCCCTCTAAAGTTCCACCTTGTTGAGTTCAGTTGTAGGATATTTTATTATAAAATGTTCTTGGAATTTATACACTATATACACATTGTCTGTGAGTATGAGTCCTGCCTCGGGCGGTCACCTGGCATCAAACACAACCACTGAGAGATGGTTAAGGAATATACAGAATAGTAATTCATAATTGGGCATAAAAATACAGAAGTCAACAATATTGGCCATGCCCATCAGGATCCAACTACTCGCAGTTGTCCATGTGAGAAAGCATCACAGCAAGGTAAGAGTTTTAAGAATATTTTTTGTTCAGAAATCAACTGTTAAGTTTATAAAATGCATTTAATTACATTCAGATTTTAGTTGCATTCAGAATTTCAGAAAAGAAAATTTCAAACAATAAAACAAAGTTTCCAAAAACGTCTATTGATCCTCAATTCTTCGAGATAATTTCATGGATCAACCTAAAAATTTAATTTATTTTATTTTGAGTACAAAATGTTTTATATCGAAACAATATATGAAGTGGAGATAAATTTTATTTGCATCTTGAAACATTACCAATTTACCATGGAATAGTGTCAATGTAAAACAATAGAAATTGTTGAGAATTCATGATCATTCGTCAAATGTAAATCGACCATACAATCATGTGTTCCATATATTTTGATATCTAAAATATGAATACATTGTGGTCATTATTTGATTTGATTGATTCACACAAAGCATAGTTTTTGACTACCTGTTTGTACTAAATATGTACATGATGATGTACATGTAACACATATATAGCTTGTGACTTTTTAATCAAATAAAGGATACTTCTTTTTGTGCGTTTCTTGTACATGATTCTATAACCACATTCCCTGCATCGTATAGGATCTCTGGCTTTTATCTCATTTTCTTGATGGCAATCTGGAAAATTGAATGGAAACATTTTAAACATAATAAAATTTCTTCTGCTTGACCAGAAGTGTGACACTGTAACTGCAACAGACCAATACAGTAGATTAAGTCATTCTTACAATTCTACATCACAAATAGGACAAGGCATAAACATGCAAATTGTAACCACTTGCCATTTGTTACAGATACTGAACACCAGCCGCCAAAACACCAACCGCCAAACGACCTCCATAAGAAAGTTGGAGACTATAACATTATGTCACCACTCATTTTAAAACTTTTTGTTCACCAACATTGTTGTCTGCAAAGTAAAAATTTGTAAAATGGAGGGCTAAAAGGTATCAGGCAGACAGGGCTTTGTGATGTGTTCACTCACCTCCACAAATGTAGACCATAGCTGACTGTTTGACTGGGGGCTCACCAGGGCGTGGGGTCTGATCCCCTCTTGGAGTATTCATCTTTGAAACACTTGAACTCCTAAAATTAAATTAATCAAATTGTTTTACTAGGCCATTATCAAAATATTCAAAGGCCATATCCCCTGTGGCGGTTTTGACAGAAATTTACTAAGTAGCATCTAAAAACAGAAGATGTGAGTAGCTTCCAGAATTCTATCGTATTCGGGGATTCCCCATTCCGTCATCTCTCGCATCATCTCCAATCAAATTGCAGGATGCGATCACGTGAACAATCATGAGCATGTGCTCTCTCAGGGCTGCGCATGCGCAACGTAAAATTTGAAATCGTGGAAATGGCGAAACTACAGCAAACATTGGGATATTCAGTTCAATGGCAAATGAGGCCTGTTTATAAATTTTTTTTCGAATGTGCCAATATGAAACGTCATCTTTGGGAAATCTCCCCCCCCCCCCCCGATCTAAAGATTTCCAAATGAACTTAAAAAAACAGTTGCTCTCATGCAGAAATCACCGGAGATATCAAACGCTACTTCGTAAATTTCTGTCAAAACCATCATTTTGATTTTTTTGCTTGAAAATGTCAACTCATGGATAAAACCAATGTCCTGATCTACACAGAAGCAGCTGATAATTTACACTTATAGGGAACATTCGGAGGTATAAAGTAAGCAGATGAATTCAGTATTTCAGTTTCTGCCATTACGATTATCCAGCGGTCTATTGTTAGCGACCAAAGGCTAGTCTATATATCAGACCAGTGCAGCCTTTGAAATAGTAAGTTGTCGCTCATGTGGCTAGAATATCGGCCACATTCTCTGAGCAGTTTATTTGTGAATTCTTTGGCGAAGAAGCCTGCACTGAACAATTTGCTAGGAGATTGCGGAAGATTATAACTTGGAAGCTGGGACCGAATTCTTGTGTTGATATCGCTAGAATATCTGCCACTTTCAGCTCGTTCGTGCATTCTTTGCTTAAAAATGAGTTGGAACCTTGGGATCCACTCCTCCTTGTCGATCAGGCGGGTATAAAAACCACAACTTTCAACATGATCGATGATGCAAAAATGAAGAAAACTTGTTCCAATGTTTGTTTCAAATAACTTCTGCCCATTCTTCTCATGTATTTATCGATCAAACGTCAAGATAAGAACTATGAACCCGACAAATTAAAATAAACTGCAGAATGACAGAATTATGACATAAATACTCAATTAAACGGGAAAATAAACAACAAAAAAATACTCACACGGCGAAAACGACGCACAGACTAACTTCCTGTTTAGATCTCGCGAGACTTCATATTGCAATTTGATTGGTTCTTTAAAAAATTGGCTCAAAGTTTAAAAAAATTTGAAGCGCGCAGAAGAGTACATCAAATAAAGCAGTAAAGCAGATACAAAACGTTACTTTTACAAAATATAAGATTGCATGAGGGTGGTCACCAGTATAATGTAAGTATATTTTATAAAAATTACCATTGATCACTTCAAAAATAGCCTACAGACATCTTCAAAATTGACCCAGAATTATTGAATGATGCCAATTTTTATTCCCTCCTTTTTCAGTTCAAAGTTTGTTTACTTGAATTTCTGAATTCACAAATATCAAAATAATGAGGATACATACTGCAAAGATTGTAATCATCTTAGTGGAAACTCTATGAACAGCACGTGTATACAGCATAGTGAGTTGTATACTTATTATAATCATGGGCTTTCAGTTTCAATTCTGTGAAAGTTTCACTCCTATCAAGGAGTGAAAAAAATAGGAGTGTAGAAGTCTAGCAAAAATAGAAGACCTTCTAGCCTGAGCTAAGCTACCAAAACATCTATCCTTTATAATATACGAGACCAGAGGCCAAATGATGCCCAAACTAGCCTACAAAACAAACCAAAATTTAGGCCCTGCACATATGTTTCTATTTTTTCACATACTATTGCAATATGGAAATTCAATTGCTTATGTTTTAAATTCAAAGTATTCAATAAAATTTTGACTCAGACTGTATAATAGACAATACTCTGAGTGTGACACAACCGTTCATATTCAAAAGTTACTATGACATTGATCACAAGCGCAGCAGATTTGGAAGAGATTAGGTCAACTTCTATATCAGTGTATATGGGAATGCATGTATGTAGATTAAGGTGGCCCCATTTACCACATATGTTGAGACTATTATGGCCTCATTTCATAGCATAAATGAGTGTCACTAGATTACTCAAGCTTATGTAAAATGATTTAACTGGAGATTAAATTGACTGAGCTAGGAGGAAATGCAGTATGCCACTCGACTTTTTTGTGAATTTGAAGTCATGTCTGCACTTCACAGTTCAAAATCAACTTCAGTAGTCATAAGAAACCACCTTTAATTTGCCTCACTGATCTTTTATTGTTTCTCAAATTATTTCTTTCAAAATTAGGAAATCAGGGTGATAAGCAGGGAAATTTTGATGGGAATTTCAATCACAAAAAATAACGAGTGACAACTTACACTTCCTCCATGTGTAGTAGGCCTAGATATCAATCCAAAATGAATGTATGAACATGCTTTCAATTAAACAGGACAGTCTTGGCTCTGATGAAGTTATGAGTGCTGACTCAACACCAGGCCTAAGGCAATGGTAAGCCAACACCACTTTAACATACAGTATGGTACAGGTTCACTCCTTAGATATTGCCAATCACAATCCTTCTCTGTTTTAAATCTAAATCATTGTTTCATTTGATGCATTTCAGGGATGGTAGAACCACTGTTCCTCAAGTGGTAGTGTCCACAGAGGATGACGCCACATACACAGATGCTACCACCACAGTTGTTACCCATCATGTCATAGAGCCTGAACATAACCTTATGGCTCTGTTCCACAACAACTTTAACAAGTCTAGAAGTGTTAGCACAAGTACGCCATATGTTTCTCGGACTATAGAATCTAACTTACAGCACAGTCCAAGTGGTGAAGTTCCTATCATGTCTCTTGGATACTTCAAGGTAACTGATGATCCGCATAATGACAGTTGTTTCAAAGACACTGAACCCATTGATGATAAAAATGCACATTTAGTTCACATGGAGAGTGGTTCCATTACACATGGTTTTGAAAGTGATGCTATTTGCTCTACAAAAGTGAAGTCTGTATCCATATCCAATAACTTTACTGTTACAAGTAACGATTCTATGGCCTCATACACCATTACAACAAAGACTCTAGGTACACCAAATGAAGACGCTCGATGTAAAAAACATTTAGACCAGAATTACTCAATAGACTCTGGACATGGAAGTTATGACTCTGGATTGCCCGAGAGCTTAGATGGGACATCACATTTAGATACATTTGATAGTCACTCATTTATAAGTAGCAATAACTCTTACAGCACAAATGTAGAACAGTCCCAACATAGTATAAACTCTCCACAATCTCCTTCGTCAGATGATTTGTGCATCCAATACTCAAAAACAACAGAGTCAATCATAACCTCAAAGCCTCCTATATCTCGAACCGTACCTATTTCTGTGGTGGATAAACACAGATGGACATCCACCCCTCAAGATAAATCTGACTACAAGCTAAAGTCAACCCCTGTGCAGTCATCATCACACCATGCATGGAATGAACATTCACCGATTTTGAGTCCATACCAAGACCAAATTTTAAAGAAAATGATGTCACACTTTTCTCCACCAGAGCCAGATCGTTTGATTGGTCGAAAGATGGGATTAGATGATGTGGATATCTTAGCTGAACTTGATGCACGAAATATCTCTGCTGTATCAACCATATTAGCATATATACCTACTGAAGATCTTTGCAAGTAAGTACTACAGGCATATTATTGTGATTAATACCACATCTTTTCAGACCTTTGCTCATGATTTAAGCTGAAATGTACTCTCTACTCAACCTTATATATATTAACTTTGTATCATTCAATAGAGTGATCTAGAATCTAGATGCCTTCCATACATAAATCTCCCCAATATTCTACTTTCTAACATTTTTCAATTTGTGACCAACATTTCTGTAGTTCTTTATGTTGAGGCTAATGTGATATTGTAATGGACACACTTTTTCTAGTAAAATTGCTCATTTGAAAGATTGTTCTACATCGCATTTTCTAATTTTGTTTCTAGGATCTGCTTGGTGAGTCAGACTTGGAGAACTATTTGTTACACAGACAAGAGAGCCAACATAAGACGACTCACATATCTAGAAAAAACAAATGGAAAGGTAAGACACTTGGCCAGAATTGAGATGTTCTATTATCACAAGATGATATGTTAAACTTCATTAAGATTTTAATGTGAGTACCACACATGGACAAGGTATTTTTGTCACAATGAAACTGTTGACGAGATGAACAACAATTTTTTGGGATAGTTTATCATAAAATACACTTTAATATGTAAAAATGTAAAAATAACTGCTCAACTAACCCTTGAAAGTCCTGTTGTCTTCATGTTCAGTTGTATTTTGTAGGAAAACCCATCAACTAAGGGCTATGCAGAGGTGTCAAAAGAGAATCTTTCCCATCATGCACCAGCAGAGCAACGTCATCCATTGATTACCCGCCAAGTATTAGGTGAAAACTCTCCAACCAAAGAACCACCAGCCACTCCTCTGGACAACTTCACTAAGGTGAGATAAGCTATCCAAAATAAATCACATATATTAAGATGCTTTGGTAAACCAGTGGTTTCTCACTTGAGGTTAATATCAATATCATAATAAATATACTGATAAACATGATAATTCATGATGCTGATTTGGGGAAGGTGTAAAAGTCCATTACATTATATTAAACAAAAACACAAATTTTAACTCAAGTCCAAGTATAAACCATACATAAAACTTATATCTGTATTCTGTATTTCAGGTTAGATCCGTAGCTAAAAATTTAAAGAACTTTGAATCTCTCAAAAGATGTCCTCGGTGTCAAAGTCCTTCAAGATATTCTGAGGCTGAGGAGCGGGCGAATTGTACAACAAAATCCTGCAAATATGATTTTTGTACTCGCTGTTTGTGTGACTTTCATGGTGCTAGTCCCTGTCCATCAATGATAACCAAGAGGTCAAAAAAGAATACAGTAAACAGCAAGAAAAGTAAGCAGCGTTTACGTCGATTATGATGATGTGGTTTGGAATACCACACTAAGTTATCCAAAGGTGCTTAGGATCTGCTGGCTGGATCTGTGATATTGGAATCAAGGACAGTGGTGATACAGTGACACAATGAAACACTGAACAGTGGATGGAGTCTGGGAGTGGAGAGAATTATACAATACATCTCCAAAGTAAATTCAGGGTTTTCGAGCTCATTCAAACAAGCTCATGTTTTTATACAATTTTATATTTTTTACACTGTTTGAAATGAGTTTTAGTAATTTTATGAAAAGTTTGTTTTTGGAGCGGAAAACTCTATGTGATGTTAAAAAGTGCTGTATCAAGTTTCTGATCTCTCTGTTGCATAAAACTTGATAACCCTTGTGTTTGAAGAAAACAATGGGGAGGACACAGACTTGATGCTAGTCAATGCAATGTTTGTCATAATTTGTCTGTTTGACTGTCACATAAGCATGGATGTGACATGTGATGATGCATGACACTAATTGCATTCTGTTAAATCATTGTTATTAGCTTGTTGCCATAGATAATATTGACAAAGTAATTAATTAATTTATTACAAACAAATCAATACTGTATTTATTTTACTTAGTTTGATTGCATAGTTTGGCACAGACAATATATCAGATCAGACAATTCAACTATCATTTAGTTTTTTAAATTACACTTTCATCGTCTGATTTTTTTGTCCATTTGCATCAATGCATAGATCATTTTATGATAAATAACTACAAATAGCATGTTTTAAAAGTAAATATATATCATTCCTATATCAAGGACAAATAATTGTAGAACTAAATGGAATATAATGAGTATGACATGTCCTCTTCATATATTCTCTTCATATTAAGCTATATGTTACAAATACCGGTGTGTTCAAAACTGATATCTGCATATTTTAAGAAAGATAGGAAATCAGCAGTACTTTGATGGAATTGGATCATGTGACCTTTGATTGGTGAGTGAGTGCCTGCCTGTAAAAGTCAATTCTGACATCAACATACTTCAATTTCACATCACAATTCCAAAATAAAATAATTTTAAATATCTGATGAAACCCATTTTGTATGTTTAAATGCTTCATCAATACTGAGAAGTTTATAAATTCTCAATATGAATAAGGGGTACTTTAATTTAAAAGTTATACAAGGCATTAACATGACAAAATGTCACCACCTAGTTGCTCACAATATTATGAGTTCAAACTTAAGTCAGATTTGAATTTCTGAGAGCTTGTAAAGTCAAATTTGAACTTCTGAAAAGATGTAGATGATTTTGAAAAAAAAATTTGGTCAATTTGAAGCAAGTTGAAAACAGACCTTTTTGACCTTTTTTGACCTTGAGAAGGTCATTAAAGGTCAAATGTCAAATCTGAAGTCAGATTTGAATTTCTGAGAACATGTAGATGATTTTGAAGAAAAAATTAGTCAATTTGAAGCAAGTTGAAAAAAGACCTTTTCGACCTTTTTGGACCTTGAAAGGTCATTGAAGGTCAAATGTCAAATCTAAAGTCAAATCTAAAGTCATATTTGAATTTCTGAGAACATGTAGATGATTTTGAAAAAAAATTTAGTCAATTTGAAGCAAGTTGAAAACAGACCTTTTTTGACCTTGAGAAGGTCAAATGTCAAATCTAAAGTCATATTTGAATTTCTGAGAACATGTAGATGATTTTGAAAAAAAATTTAGTCAATTTGAAGCAAGATGAAAAAATACCTTTTTGACCTTTTTTGACATTCAGAAGGTCAAATGTCAAATCTAAAGTCAGATTTGAATTTCTGAGAACATGTAGATGATTTTGAAAAAAAAAATTAGTCAATTTGAAGCAAGTTGAAAAAAGACCTTTTTGACCTTTTTTGACTTTGAGAAGGTCAAATGTCAAATCTTAAGTCAAATCTAAAGTCAGATTTGAATTTCTGAGAACACGTAGATGATTTTGACAATTTTTTTTAGTCAATTTGAAGCAAGTTGAAAACAGACCTTTTTGACCTTTTTTGACCTTGAGAAGGTCGTTGAAGGTCAAATGTCAAATCTTAAGTCAGATTTGAATTTCTAAGAACACGTAGATGATTTTGAAAAAAAATTTGAAGTCAGTCTAAACAGTATTTGTTAAGTTATAGGAAGTTGTAAGAAATTGTTACAGACGCCGGACGCCAACCGCCGGACGCCAACCACCAACCGCCGGACGCCGTCGCAAAAAAACGGAGACCATAACAATATGTCACCACTTTTGGTGGTGACATAAAAACAGAAACCATACATTATGCCATGTTCATTCCCAATCAAAGTTCACTTGATGTCTATGCCTCACTAGATACCACAATATCCAATAGATAAGTAACACATATTCTGCATCATGAAATTTGCTCAAATGAAAACTACAATATAGATAGATTACTAAGTGTATTACTTTATAGTATAAGAGTAAGACTGCATGAGATTACTGCTATAACATAAGACAGATATAATGTATTCATTTTATATGCATCAATTTAGGAAATAAATAAACTTTTACAATATATAAAGATGGTCTATTGTTCATCTTATTATGTTTTAAGGTTGGTAACATACATATAGGGAGCTCTAAAGTGCATAACATCTCATAAAAATATGATATTATACTGTAACAGGTATTTGAATCTATTACTAATGGTATCAATTTCCTCCATCATTGACAGTTGAAATTACCTTTGTTTATGTTATTGTAAAAAGCAGCCATCTAACAATTAAGGAAGTTGAATGCACCCAATGATGAAGTAAAAATACTATAATTGTTATCTAATGAACTTTTCATGTCATCTTGTACAAATTAACTGGACTAATACTTTATTATGTCATTAGATATTTGCATAAAGCTCATGATCGTTCAAGTGTACAATTCAACTTACTTATGGACATGATGATCCCATGAAAATAAGGCACAAGCAAGCATGATGGGATATTTAGGTGATTTCATTTAAGAGTTTGAATTGTTACAAAGATGGCTCTCACTTCAAAGATTTTATATTTTGAAACGTAAATGATAAGAATACGTTGATGAAATTGAAAAATACATATGAAAAATGTTATCTTTGACATTCCATCTTTGCAATAGTGTTATTATATTTTAAATCAACCCTGATATTTACCCGATTGCTCTTTGACATCATGTAGCACGCTGTAAAAAGCATCCTTGGTGAAACCTACTTCATAGCAATGCAGATTTTAAAAGCATTTAGTTCTTTTTGGCCTAAAATATTGCCTTTAACATAAATAGCCCAGTGTGCAGAGTACAAGAGCAATGGTGATTTTGTGAACACATACTACAAGCTTTTGATCACAAAATAGGTATTAAAACCTCGGAATATGTAGAAGCTCAACATGTATCAACTTATGCCAGTCCACTTCAAAGACGTGTAACATAGTTGGTCATTATCGTCTATTGAGCACAAAACTACTGTCTTTTTCACATTGGATCCAAGACGAGCCATGGCAACCACATCAAGTGCTGACATCTTTTGCTTGTATGGTAGGCACTTAACAATATAGAACGAATGGAACACTGCAACGTCACCTGCAAATAGAGAGACAGAACAGAGTATGAGTAAGATATGTTATTTCTGATGCTGGTAGAACACAAAGCTTCAAAATATGTTCTCTGAAAAAGCGAGTTGTTTTAACAGTGAACAACTCATTTGTATAAACAATATTAAAAATCCTAAATATTTTATAAGATTGCTTACAATTCTAGTGAGGCTCTTTGTAGGTAATAAATAGTCTGTTTAACCTTATTTTAAATCCATAATATGAATGATTAAAGCTGCTATTTGCCCCGAAACACAATCTTGGGTTGTTTCGGGGGTGAACTTTATCATTTTGAGCTTAATGAAAGATTACAGAATGATGAACAAATGGGGCAAATCTTGTGTACAGATACTCACGATAAATGTGTCATTACAAAGATTGTTCATTGAATTGCTTCGATTGTCGACAACGATATAATTTTTGGAAAGTTTCTAAATTAAGAATGTGACGTCATTTCCGAATTATAGCATTCAACATAAGTAGCGTTTAATTACTTCCATCATCAATAATAAGTTGGTAGCCCTGCGGTAGAATACTCCCTCAGCAGGCACCAGGTTCGAAACCCGCATTCACTTTTTTATTTTTTTAACTAAATGATTGTTCTTTGATATTACGCAGAAAAAAACAAGGCACAGGACGTGAACGAGATCACACCATCAAATAGGCAGACACTATGAACCAGGAAAACTGTTCTCCTATTATGTTTACAAATTTCAAGAACAAGAAAACAAGATGGCCGCCCAAAAGTTAATCAGCTCTAGTACTTGATATCCTCTATCATTTATTTCCAAAATTCCAAAATTTGAAGGAAATTCGATGAGCGGTTTTCCTGAAATGGCGATGACAAGATTTTTCGAAAAACCTTCAAAATGGCCGCCAGAAAACAAGATGGCCACCCAAAAGTTAATCAGCTCTAGTACTTCATATGCTCTATCATCTCTGCGAATTTGGAGAAAATCTGATGAGCAGTTTTCCTTAAACAGCGATGACAAAAAGCGGGACGATCACGACCACGACCAGTATGATGACTATATCCCACCGATACATAAACTTTATATTAGAGCTTGAAAATGTAAAAAATACATGTCAACATACTGTGTTTTGGAGCGATGTGCAGGTTTAAAACAACAAAATTTCAGTTCATTGTTAAATACCTTGATAACAAAGATAAGAACAGTTTATATTGACACAGACTGGACTGCTTCATTACTTCTGAATCATTTGTATGAATCGTGTATAACGCTGATTGTAAAAATGATAAATCTGTGTCAAAAATTCAATAATTGGGATCATAGATCCCGGCCAGATTTTTTTGTAGTAGAATCAGTAGCTCAATAATATTTCCTCAAGATGAGACACCTCAGAAAATTTCAAATTTTAAAATGACGATTCGGCAGCCATTTCTGAAAAATATGAGACAAATCATACCTCATTCGAAGGGTCTTGTTATTCTTTACCTTTTTTATCACCAATGGCCGTTATTCAAGCAATACTGCGTTGATAAGAGGCCAAAACAGTGATATTTTATCGCCGGACTCTTGTCTGTCCAAATCTGAATGTTGCTCCCGTGGTTCCAGAAATGTGACGTCATCATTACAATGATATTTGGACACACAAGAGTCCGGATTTCGTGAAAAATATTCGCCGTATTGAAAGTCAAATAACTGCATCCATAGGTTATTTACTCGAACCAAACAAGTAGAAATAGAAAGATGAAGATCTCAGCTATAAAATAAGTGCAAAATCTGTCACGGGGAAACAGGTACCATTTTGTATAAGGAACGTTTTGAAAGGTGGTCACTTTTTTTTCGAAATTTTCCAATTTAGTGTCGTATCTTCTGTATTATTCTTTGAGCCTATGATCCTACTACAAAACGATCTGGCCAATATCTGTGATTGGGATAAAAATTATTTTGTTATGATGATAAACATGATTTTATCAGATTGACTTGACATGCTCATTGTGAGGAAGAAATGATTAATTATTCAATTGAGTTGTAACTATGAAAATAATATGACATACAATGGTGGCTTGGATTGACAATATCATAACTAGAAAATGGCGACTCCACAGAGTAGCAAATCCTAACGAATAAATAAATTATTATACATCTGAAATATGTCACAATATGATTTTTCAGTTTTTTCAATTCATGTTGAGTTTTACAATGTCTCGAAATTATACATAATCTCTGCACACCCGGTGATCGTGAAAATGGGACGGAGGGGGGAGCAAGCAATTTCTGGTAGAAAAATGAACAAATCTGCAAAAATTATTTTTTCAAGAAAAGGTTTATGATTTAATTGCTAAACGAATAGGCGCACGGTATGATAAAATATGTCGCGTATTCTACGAATTTTTTTTGGCCGATTCTCTTCTTAGGTATAAGATCTATTAAAAAATTAGTACCATGGGTACTGGGCTCACATGGTCACATTTTTTGCTGATTTTTTGTTACAAAATTATTTCAAGCCATCTGTCTCTCAGTCAATTAAAATGGCTGAAAAAAAAACGGATATAATTTTTTGCCAATAATTTGTAACAAAATTATTTCATACAACTACTCTTTACAGTGACATGGCTTTTTGCAATGCAAGACACCTAAAATTATTTGTAAAGCTAGGAAATGGGCCAAAATTGAATTTCGCGAGACAAAAATGGCGACCATTTTGAAATCAGGCAAGCTTTTGAACCAGGAGTCATAGGGGAGTTTTTTGTATTGATGTTGAACAAAAATAACTTGAAACTGGAATCCTATTGACAGAGGTTTTAAGCAAATGGTCCAAAAGAGGATTTCCCGAGACAGATGGACAAATCAATGTTAACTAAAATGGCTGAAAATAAAAAAACGGATATAATATTTTGCTGATTATTTGTAACAAAATTATTTCATACAACTACCTTTTACAGTGACATGGCTTTTTACAATGCAGGACAGCTGAAATTATTTGTAAAGCTAGGAAATGGGCAAAAAGTGAATTTTGCGAAACAAGAATGGCAACCATTTTGAAAATAGGCAAGCTTTTGAACCAAGAGTCATAGGAGAGTTTTTTGTATTGATGTTGAACAAAATTAACTTAAAATGGGAATCCTATCGACAGAGGGTTTAAGGTAAATGGTCCAAAAGTGGATTTTGCGAGACAGATGGACAAATCAATGTTAACTAAAATGGCTGAAAATAAATAAATGGATATAATTTTTCGCTGATTTTTCGTAACAAAATTATTTCATACATCTACTCTTTACATTGACATGGATTTTTACAATGTAGGACACCTGAAATTATTTGTAAAGCTAGGAAATGGGTCAAAAGTGAATTTCGCGAGACAAAAGTGACGGCCATTTTGAAAATAGGCGAGCTTTTGAACCAGGAGTCACAGGGGGGTTTTCTGTATTGATGTTGAACAGAAATAACTTAAAACAGGAATCCTATCGACAGAGGTTTTTGTATTGATGTTGAACAAAAATAACTTAAAATGGGATTCCTATCGACAGAGGGTTAAAGGTAAATGGTCCAAAAGTGAATTTTGCGAGACAGATGGACAAATCAATGTTAACTAAAATGGCTGAAAATAAATAAATGGATATAATTTTTCGCTGATTTTTCATAACAAAATTATTTCATACATCTACTCTTTACTTTGCAATGGACTTCTACAATGTAGGACACTTGAAATTATTTGTAAGGCTAGGAAATGGGTCAAAAGTGAATTTCGCGAGACAAAAATGGCGGCCATTTTGAAAATAGGCGAGCTTTTGAACCAGGAGTCATAGGGGAGTTTTCTGAATTCATGTTGAACAGAAATAACTTAAAACAGGAATCCTATCGACAGAGGTTTTAAAACGTGCCACTGTTATTGACAGAAAGTGGATTTCGCGAGTCAGATAGACAAATCAATGTTAACTAAAATGGCTGAAAATAAAAAAATGGATACAATTTTTCGCTGATTTTTTGTAACAAAATTATTTCATATATCTAATCTTTACATTGACATGGATTTTTACAATGTAGGACACCTGAAATTATTTGTAAAGCTAGGAAATGAGCCAAAAGTGAATTTCGCGAGACAAAAGTGACGGCCATTTTGAAAATAGGCGAGCTTTTGAACCAGGAGTCATAGGGGGGTTTTCTGTATTGATGTTGAACAGAAATAACTTAAAACAGGAATCCTATCGACAGAGGTTAGCTAGGAAATGGGCTAAAAGTGAATTTCGCGAGACAAAAGTGACGGCCATTTTGAAAATAGGCGAGCTTTTGAACCAGGAGTCACAGGGGGGTTTTCTGTATTGATGTTGAACAGAAATAACTTAAAACAGGAATCCTATCGACAGAGGTTTTAAAACGTGCCACTATTGTTGACGGACGGACGGACAGACGGACGGACGGACAGACAGACGGACAAGTGAGCGATTGCAATAGCTCACCATGTGAGCTAAAAAGGCGCAACGCCACCAACGTGCAAAAGTCAATGTTTTTGCTTTAAATCAAGCATCAACGGTCTACACAACCTGCAATAAATATTTGTAAGTGACATTATCATCATAAAATTAATGACCTTAATGACTTTACAAAATATGTTTCCATACGTTATATAAAAAATAATCGAAAATAATTAAAATGGGACGGAGGCGGAGGGGACGGAGGGGGGGGAGGAATATGTCTATAAGATATGATATGGTAACATCACCAGCCGGTGTTGACTTATGAGACACATTATACATTTATATCTGAGTGTCACCTATTTGGTCAAATATTACAATAAATACATATATTGCACTAAATGTGAATTGCACATGCATATGGTCAAAGACAAGTGTTACAATAAATACATATATTGCACTAAATGTGAATTGCACATGCATATGGTCGAAGACAAGTGTTACAATAAATACATATATTGCACTAAATGTGAATTGCACATGCATATGGTCGAAGACAAGTGTTACAATAAATACATATATTGCACTAAATGTGAATTGCACATGCATATGGTCGAAGACAAGTGTTACAATAAATACATATATTGCACTAAATGTGAATTGCACATGCATATGGTCGAGGACAAATGTTACAATAAATACATATATTGCACTAAATGTGAGATGCATATTGCATAATGAATCCATATATTACACATATTGCACTAAATGTGAGATGCATATTGCATAATAAACACATATATTACACTTATTGTGAGAAAATATATGCAAAGTACAGTACAGTATTTGGCGTAATAGGCGATGTGCCCATGGTATGATTGGGTACACTAATTGGGAAACTTCCTGGCAGATTATTTAGTCTAAATTCTACATCTGCTGAAGACCAACATAATCAAAAATATTTACTAGATATCTGGTAGCGAGGTTAATAATGAAACAACTTTAGTAACTGCTTACTCGAAAACTTGCATGTCCAAATAGAAATATGATGCGATGTCTACATTTTTATGATAAGTCTTCAAAAAATAAAGACTATTAAGTATACACATTTTTCTAAATAAATAAATAAATATTATTGAAAAAGATAAACGCTCTCCTCCAAGATTTTGATAATCCTAAATAAATCTAACTACGAATACAACTTGTTATCAATTCCTAACCCATTGTAATTGAGGAGAAAATGGGAAAATTTGGATATAAAGTGAAGTAACATCTCTCATCATGTCGTATAGACATTTTGCTCCCCCCTCCATCCCCTCCCCCCCTCCGTCCCATTTTAATTATTTTCGATTATTTTTTATACAACGTATGGAAATGTATTTTGTAAAGTCATTAATTTTATGAAGATAATGTCACTTACAAATATTTATTGCAGGTTGTGTAGACCGTTGATGCTTGATTTAAAGCAAAAACATTGACTTTTGCATGATGGTGGCGTTGCGCCTTTTTTAATAGATCTTATACCTAAGAAGAGAATCGGCTAAAAAAAATTCGTAGAATACGCGACATATTTTACCATACCGTGCGCCTATTCGTTTAGCAATTAAATCATAAACCTTTTCTTGAAAAAATAATTTTTGCAGATTTGTTCATTTTTCTACCAGAAATTGCTTGCTCCCCCCTCCGTCCCATTTTCACGATCACCGGGTGGGAGGGTATCAACCACACTTTATGATTTTTCACTCTAAAACACCTGAGTGTGAAACATCATATTTAGAATCTCAAAATATTTTTTCATATTTGTGACTTGCTTTAATATATCTTTCCACAAAGAGAATATTTTTGGTGTGGGAAAACTGGAAAATGAAAATAAAGGACGATTCTCGGTTTGGAGAACAGTCTCCTGAGCTAATAATTTTTTTCATGAAAAATATAGAAATATTACCCAAATTAAACTATGAATATTCAAAAGAGGACATTTAAATCTACAAGATGTTATAATAACAAATTGGTCTGAAGCAGGGATAACACTCAATTAGACAGATTCAATAAAATACAAGTCTCGATTTGGGGAAAGAAGCTCATCAGTGTACTGCGCTAATATTTTTTTGCGAAAAATCTAGAAATATTACCCAAATTAAATTATGACTATTCAAAAGAAAACATTCAAATCTATATTATGTAAAAAAATCAAATTTGTCCGAAGCAGGGATAATGCTCATTTAGATTGATGAACTTCGTTCTCCAAACCGAGAATCGTCCTTTACATATCATTTATTTTCTCAGAAGGCTAGAAAAATAACATGGGAAATAAAGACTATGATGTGTTTTACCTGGATATACAAGGAAGTCACCTCCAAACTTGCCCCCAGCAGTGAGAAAATGCCCCTGCTCCCATAGATCTTTGAAGACTCTATAGCGCAGAAGTTCTGAGTGAGTAGATGGGAACCCCCAGTTGGAATACAATGGCCTGTTTGATTCACTGACATAGGGAGTGCCTGGAAATATAGGTAATGATGATGAATGATGAATGATGAATGACTGTCGCATATATTGTAGATACACTTTATTTGGATACCGGCTTACTTTGACGGATTGGAGATTGTAATAATCTGCCAATTTTCAGATGTATTTTATAAAATCCCCGGGGAAATTTCAGTTCATGCAGCGCACTTCCAGAATTAAACCCCCATTTTCCCCAAATTTTGTCACAATGTCAGAGAATTCCAGAAGAATTAAATTTCAGTCCTGAATCCCCCAAATCAAATAGCCTAGCTGCCAATATTTGAAATTGAGCAAATCTACCAAATTAAGTTGTATCAAATTAAACGTATCTACAGTATTTAATACTGTTTGAACTATTATGGCTTGGTCTATTGATAGAAATATATTTGAACTCCTTGACTAATTCAAATTCATACCATACCGTAATTCATACCTTTACGTAATTACAAATCTTGAATTGTTTTCTTTGTCAACAAACTATTTATAAAGATATATTTTAGTTATAAATAATGTTCATTGATGATATTAAAAGCTTCACATTTGTTGACATTTAATGTTATGACCCACGAAAATTAGTCAGTCAGAAAAATGTGTTAATATCTCCGTGTCTCAAAAGAAAGGTACTCACAAAGAGTTTTTTGATTCTGCCCCTCTAGGAACTTAAAGATTTATTTAATAATGGTTTAACATGGTGCATATGATCTGATATTTAATCTTAACCTCTTACATGTCACATGTACTTAACTTATCATGCAGGGTGAAAGTGGTTAAAGGATATATGGTTGTCATGATGTGATACACATGGTTGAAACTTTATTTTGTACAATATTATCTTGAATTTTAAACATATGTCATAGTCCCTACAACAGCACCATTCAGTGCTCTTGGAAATTAATCCCTTCACAATAAAACACTTTCTGACAGTAAAAATAGCACCAGGGGTGTCACCACCAATAATACATTATTATGTAATGGGGTTTTTGATTTTAGAATCCAAATATAAAACACTCAGTATACAAAAATTCATTGGATCATGGCATTCATGGACAGTCTTTATTGCACAAATTGTTACATTTCTTTTTACATCCAGCAAAATTCTTTGAGTGTTTCTTGATTTTATCCTTCTTAAAGAGTCTCTTCACTATCTTTATGTTGTCTAACTTTAGACTGTTATCTTCTTCTAACAACAGCAGCCTCAGTTCTTCATAACATCCATTTCTGCATTTCATCTTGCAGTTCTCATAGTCACATCCTGGAAGAATAGGAATAAAAAAAAAACTGTTAAAAACTGTTTATGGAGAGGGGGGAGGTAATTGCTTTTTGCAGTTCTTCTAAAGTATGACAAACGGAACTATTTGGAGGATACTCTAATTACATTTCTGGCTTCCAATTCTTTACATTACAAAACTGAAATTTGTCAGTTGGTTAAGGATATCTTGCCACTTGATACCTTGGCTCATATTCATGAAGCAATCAAAGATTTAGCATAAGAATAGAGTATGTCATTGCATTTTTTGGTTGTGGGATGCTATAAAATTATGTGTTAGGCTTGGTGGTCCAGGAGATCCTAACTAAACTCTAGGCTTTTGAGATTTTTCTCAGCAAACTCATGGCAATGATATTATGTATGCCTGTGTAAATATCCAATGGCAATGACAATTGATTCCTTTTGATACATCATTAAACAATTGTCACATAACCATAAAATGTAGGCAAAAATAACAATATTTCTGAGGGTGAGTTTCATCTTGTTAAATCGTCTTTTGTGTAAAAAACAGCTTTGTAGTTGAAATTACTAAAGTGTTGTATTGTATGATAAGTAGACGGTAAGAAGAGATTTTTCAGCCATTTTATTACATCTTTACCATAAAGTGCATTCATACATGATAACCCTGACACTTCATACAGTTCTAATTCATCCCATCAGCTGAACTCAAATAAAAATAAAATGTCCTAATATCAGAGCATGTTGCAAGTGAACTAAAATTGACATGGTAATCTAAATCATGATTTAGCAATTGCAAACAAACTATTGTGGAGGGTTATGGGTTATGTAGCTTATGTGGGAAGTGGGAGGGTTATGTACTCATACATGTAGCTTGAAGTTTGATGTTTGCGTCATGATTGATAAATCATAATATTAACAAAGTAATGTTAATATAGTAATATTTCATTCATCACTTATCAAAATATATGAATTATGGGAGAATAAATACTAAATACACAAGTAGTTATGTTCATCCGAACAACTATCATTTTTATTTGATCTAGTTTACCTCTAAATTCATTTTTCTAATTAACATAAAATGCAAAACTAGTATTGTTGTCAACCCTTAGTTTTAGTTTTTCAAGATGTCTGTGTTTTTTCAATGAGAATAAGGAAGTCCCATAGCTGATGGACATCTAAATTCATCATGTAATGTTAAAAAGTTAAAAAGAAGACATCCTCTTTTTAGTTTATAATGAAGTTGGGCATTCCTGCATTCTAAATCTTCAACAACTTAACTATATTTAACTTAACTATATTTGGTTGAATATTTCAATTCTTTTCAGAAAACAGAATTGGGATTGTAAGGAAAATATTGGTGTGTTTTTTGACATCTTACTATCTCTTTTCCTTCTAATTACTTGATTGCTTTAAGCATATACAGCACCAGGCCTACATCCAACCTACCTCTCTTTAACCCTGCCTGAATGACAGTCTGCTCAACCTTTGGGGGCTCAACTGTCCTTCCTATGAATAAGATGACACCTGTGGTTCTATCCCGAATTAAGAATATGAAAGGGTGGTCACATGTTATGGAGGACCTCACAGTCCTTGTAGTCAAAGTGGAAGTCATGGAGCTTGCCTCTGTCCCTGTAATAGAAACCAATGACCATCATTCAGTTGTATTACTTTCAAATGGCTCTACTGCCTATATAGAAAGTTATATAAGTTTATATATATATACGAGGGGTGACTCAAAAGTAATAGACAAAATTTCACAGGCATCCTTAAATTCATCCAATCTGTGTGGGATTAAGTCCATAACAAGACCAAACAATTAGTTACAAGTTATGTTCAGTCAATACTAAACGTGAAAAAATACAAAATGTAGAAATGGCTTCATTTTCAAATTTGAGAATTGACCAGTGTTGACCTTTAAAAGGCCAAAAGTAGATTAATCAAATCATTTTATAAGATCAAAAAACAGGTGTTTCACAAGAATTTCTCACAACAGGCTAAATAAATGACAACGACAAGCGAAAATCAATGGAAATAAATCTAACATGTAAAAATTGAAAAGTCCCTAAAAACAACAGGTGATTTTGTGGAAACAACCGGTGAAAATTGCCTGTTGCCTGCTGCTGAAAAAGTAATATTTCGACAATGTCAAAGGATAACTTGCTTCAAATAGAATCAATTATTTTTAGATCATATATATGTGATATAAGTTACTATTGATTTTAAACCTGTCATCTTTTGACCTTCAAAAGGCCAAAATGTTTAAGATAAAGATTACTTACAATCTTGAAGTCAAGTTATTATTGAAAATTTTAAATTGAACCATACTAGGCGATGTATCAGTCTGAACAGTCATTGTGGTTCAATAAATCATTTACAAGTCAATGGCGCTAAACAGTAAATACAAGTATAGCCATTTCCCATTTGTCTGTTATAAATATAGCATGTTCTGTGACATATTGTTGAGGATACAGTTGTTATAACACCATAAGCATTTCAACACATATGACCTTAAATCATTTGAGACCTAGAAGATATTTGGCATTAGACTTCTACAAAATATAAATATTAAAGTACCTCTACCTAAAAATAGCAAAACAAAAATGGATCATAATCACTTAATCTTAACTTCCGAAAAGTAATCAATCATAAGTTAGAACATGCACTTGCTGCATCGTATGAGGCTTAGGCTCTTGACAATGTCTTAGGTTTAACTGCATACAAGCCAACTTGTGCACTATCTAATTTAGCATTAATGTGTTCTATGTCCTTTAACATTGACTAGACATTTATTATTTATTTGGTGACCTACCTTCCTCAGTGACCTTTATAACAGCTTCGTGCAGAACTGCAGACAGCGCAATACTTTGGTCATCACTAAATTGTGATAGATTTATCTCCGAAGAAAACAAATCTTTCATTCCCAAAGCCTTCAGATATAAATCAAGGGTGTATCGTGACTTTAACATCAGTTTCGGTAAGAAAATGTCTTTCTGGACAATACGCATTTGTTTTATCCCATGCATTAAGTTTTCTAGTGTCAGCTTTTGTTCAAGCTCAGGCAAGCCGTATGTTTCCTTTGGAATAACCAGAACCATGCTTAACTTTTGATGTTCATCCTCACGATATGGTAATTCAATAAACTCAGCATCCAATCCTGTGCTGTCGTGATAATTAAATTTACCAGTTTTATACATCATCGTCACATTTATAGCAGCAGAATTTGGGCTTGGATAAAAGTAATGAGGCTTTGTATGATTGGCAAGAAACTTTCCTCTCCATTCACCTTTGAAGTAAACAGCATTGACGAGCACCATGACAGTGAGAGCATCCAGGTCCCCAGGGTGAAGAACATCTTTTATCATATTATTTGTGCGTTTCGCTACCCATTTATTTATTGTATTCATACTTCCATCGACATCAGAAAAGTTTAACTGTCGCACTGAACCATCGTAAAAACGCTCAACATATCTTAGAAATGCATTTTTCACATTTAAATGTTTACTTGGGAAAAGTTTGTTGGCGGATATGAATTCATTGCCTGTTTCTCCGCTGTGAAGTAATTGCATCAAACACATTAAGGAATGATGCGCGGTCTCATCACTCAGGCCTGCCATATGAAGAACATTTCGCATTTCAGATTTCGTCTTGCCATCTGCTCCAAGTAAGAGTATGGACAAGGCCATTGTTACACTTATTGGACTAAAAAATACATCCTTAATCCCATTCGGAGAGATAATCTGTTTGTAGAGATCCAATGTAAAGTTATTTATGGCTAGTACCGATGAGTCAATATTTTCACATGATTCGGTGTTAATTTCATTAGTCAATTGTGAATCATTAACATATCCAATCACGCTTGATATCATTAATGCAAAACTCAAGCATAATATGCATGGATTGGTCTTTAAAGTCATACTGTATTTTGCTTGAAATATTTTCAGTGTATTCAACTATTGCGCGAACTTTATAAAGTAAATATAGTCTGTTGTAATCTTGTCAGATAAAAAGTTGATCTCATATTTATACATATTTGATAAATGTAATATTCAGTAATTGTTTCTTCATGGGATGGTACTACAAATGAAAAATGACATTTAATTAAACAAAGTATATTTGCCAACGCATGCTTACATCCTTTTAAATAAGAAATAAACTAGAAAACAGCAACTCCACAGACCTGAAGATCCCAAGGAAATAAAATATTTTTTCCTAAATTCATTTTCCATTTTTATTATTTTAAGCTAAAATAGCTTAATTAAAATAAATTTCATTTTCATTCATTTATATCTTACAGTGATGTATCAGTCCAATATCCAGCAATTGGATAGCCATTTTGAATTGCTTGGAGTATGATTTGAAAACTTTGGAGTGCTCTCAAAATCAACACAAATTGCTGATCACTTGACCACTACACCTCTGGGGTCAATGGGAAATACTCTGGATACTTTTATCAAAACATCAAAAAATTCATTCAGAAGTACCCATTATTTTGGGTGTTAAAAATACAATTTTGTGAACAGTGGCCACTTCAAAACTAAACACCAACTTCCCTTGTACACTTTTTCAATTTCAAATATGTCCAAGAAAACCAGAAAGACAGAGGGACGGATGGACAAACAAATGAACAGACAACAGATTCCTGAACTTTTCCTCACTCCAATAATTTTCTAAAACAAATTTGGGACCATGGGGGCATTCACCTTACTAAAAGCATAAATCAGATTACAAGGTAGAAAGATGATACTCTGATAAAGATTCATCAAGTTAGGTTTTACTGAATATTTTACACAGCTAAATGGAAAAAGGGAAAATCTGGAAATTCTTTTTGAATAAGCCTTTAAAATATAACAATATGTCATTATAACTAATTTCACCTTTATTGTATGACAGCTTAGACATGGCTTAATAGTTATTATAAGCAAATACAGAATAAATTGGATTGATTTGCCTTAATGCCTTGACAGTGGTTTTAGTTCAAACCCATAACAATGAAATAATAATTAATTGCAATCTATTTTTAAATTGCATTGAGAGATGAAAACCAAATTGATTGTAATAAGTTAACAATATCTAGATTTAAAATGATCTATTGAAACAAAAATAACCTCTCTGTCTGAATGTGTCTCTTTATTCAAGGTCATTAGGAAAGTCCTTATTATCAAATTTTTTGTCCCAAGTATTGCAACAGCAAATATTTGTATTGTTGAATACAAAAGTACCTTGTATACACATAAAAGAAAATTATGTTAATCTTAAATGTAATTTCAATAACATCAAAACTATTTGTATATGCACATTACAACAACAAAATGACCCAGAAAATTAAATCAAACATCACTATGAACACTTACTTGAGAAAATCAAAGAGCATCATACCCAAAATGAAAAGTATCTTCAAATACTATTTTTCGAACAATAAACAACAGCCCATAAAATTCAACTTTCCAATCTATGCAATTATCTTACCTTTGGCTTTTTTTCATGAAAAAAAATTAAAATGCAAAGTAAAAAAACTCTTGAATCAAAGTTATTTTCTCAGACCCTACTGATCAACCCATCAAACTTTGCATCCAGAAAACACTTGATGTGGATATCATGTGCACCAAGCATTTTTCTGCATGCACAATTTGATAGGATGGGTTCATACAGTAATATGGTACACTTACCTGTGAATATCTGTACTTGCATGGAAGACTGTGGTATTGGAGTTATCTCCATACTTTCAACCTCCCTCTCAGCTTCAGCCTCCAATGCTGCCTCATCAATAGCAGCATCTTCAGCCATGGTGCTGTTCTCTGAAATAACAAGTTGTTATACTAGGATGTTTGAAAAGCTTGAACTAATTGCTCAAAAAGGAAGCTAATCTTTCTACATATCTCATGGATTTTGGTAATTCTTGGAATCATATGCTGGATACTATTAAAAGTTTATATGATAGTCTTATTGATAATGTAATTTAGAATAGGTTAATTTTATTTGCAATACCAGTTCTCTACATAGAAGCATTATCTTTCAACAACCTTTTGAACTTTTAACATTTCAGCCAGAGATATAACATGATCATTCTAATGATAGCATGGTCATTATTACACAGTCCACCCGTGTAGCTCAGCGGTAGCGCAGGTACCTCTTACGCAATAGGTCCCGGATTCGATCCCCGGTTCAGGCAAGACTAAAGGACGGGTGTCATTAAGGGCCCTTTTTAGCCCCCAAAGATATCTGATAATAATGCATATCATATTGAAGAAAAATCGTTTGTGCTTTATGAAAATACAATTTCAGCAAATTTTGACCTTTGATGTTCACACAACAGTCATTTAAAGATCATATACCATTTTTGGAGTTTTTACAAAAAATTCTTTATTTATTGTTGTCTAAGTAAATAGTATATAAATATTAACCAATATAAATATATTAAAATGTAATATATGAAATACTGAAGAAAAGATACGATTAAAATTATTTTCATGGAAAAGCACATAGGGCAATATTGACAAAATGCAAATGCTATTTTGGTAGGTTCTGGGCTAGCAATGGGTACATTTCAATTGTGACTGTAATGGATTACTATTGACTTTTATCAACATCACAGGGCAACATTTAAGCAACTTAAATACAAGGAAAATCAAAGATTTCCTCTCATTTCTAAAACAGGGAACAAAAGGATGAATTCAAGGAAAATAAATAATGGCCTGTGCCAAAATATATAACATATGAGAAAGTTGTGGCACAGTAAAGGATATGTATAGGATATCATATGAATTTAAATGATTTTATCTTTATCTCCGAGTTGATATCAATATCTTGCCAAGTTAGCATAGCGAATTAGCGCAGATATTGATATCAATGAGTTGGATTAACACAATATCACGAAAATTCATAGGATGTTCTATTTTTCCCATAGTTCACCTCTAAAACTAAACAAAGCATATCAAAACAACATCCATTCATTCATCCCCGTGATGTCATGAAATCATTATGTAACAAAACACATTATATTGGTGGTAGTTTTCAAATCCCTGCCAAAAGGTGATATCTGTGAAATATTTTCCATATTCCACAGATATCACTTTTTCCACGCATTTGCAAAATATCATAAATATGTTTTCATGTTACCTAACAGAGCGGAACAGAGTTCAACTATGGGATAGAGAATAAAAAATAGGTACATAATTGAATTACCACTCCAAAAATATTAAATATGAGGGTTTAAAGAAAGAATATTGAATATGAGATTCAAAAAGACAAGTGGCCTCATGTCTCACATTACCCAAACCCCAGATCCTCGATGTCATATATACTTGTACACTGTATATCAATGTTATTTACTGGGAGGATTAAATATGGAGTGTATTAGCAATGGTCAATACGATATTTCCAGATGGATATTTTTTCCCTAGAAGCGGAACCCAAACTCAGTCATGACATAGAAGCTAACTTTTGCAATTAATAGAAACTTGTTTTTTATTATATTTTTGTGTTCTATATTTGAGATGAAATAATATGAGGTTCATTTCTACAAGAGGATGGAACGAATGTGAAATTGTATATTGAACTATACTCCTTTTCTGAATAAACAGAACAACATTTTATCCAAGCCAATTAAGAAAACCAAGGCCAATGAGTGTAATTTATGCCCAGTTAAACTAACACAATAACAACTTTTTGTCTGGACTCACGTATTATGTAAGAATGAATTGTATTACTGTTTACTGCATTAAATGTCAATTATACTATCTGTATTTAATTTCAAATGCCTGTCTCACTTATTGAAGGTATACAAGAAATGTTATTTTGAAACAAATTCAGCACAACCAAAACCATGTCCACATAATATGACAAATCCAAGATGGCTGCCACAATTTTAGATCCCTGCACATGTGAAGAAGTTAGAAATACACATGGTCCACAAGCTCCATCCCCAATAAAATGGGAAGTTTAAGGTTTTCACACATATCAACTCTATTCCTATATACTTTATATTTGTGGTAAGGCTTGTGATCTAGGTAAACTTAGCATGTTCATGTACCTCCTATCCTCTGAAGCTAAAAACAGAAATAGTGACTTCAATTGAGAAAAATGAATCTTATGGGCTCCATATACATTTTGAGTGGCTGTCCGGCTAAAGTTAGATACTACTGATAATCTGAGATTGAAAATTATGTCAAGTTTAGTCCTCAGCCTCTCATAACGGATAACTTCGAGGTAATTGTGTTGTTAATGCAAAAACCTCTATTTCTTCATCACAAATCTACCATCTTTTGCATCTGTCAAAACCCTTCATTTCATGTTAATTTTCAGATTTTTGCTTGTGCCATCATTAAATATATATATTCAACTTGTTATTCGGAATATTTTAAGAACTTTTCATGAATTATTTTATTTTCACACTTTTGAAAAAATGACTAAGTCAGAGAATGGCCTCTTAATGGCATGTCCCCTTTGCTTGTTTGCGTGAAGTACTTCAGGGTGTTTGACTGAGTGGTCCGCAACTCGTACAAAAAGGCTGTGGTGTGTACTTATATGTCTATGTATAAGTGCACATAAAAGAAAACAGGGCTCCTTCAAGGAGGGGTTTCTGGGTCTATCTTCCATGTTAATTACGTAAATTACGACCGTATATAAACGGGACATACCCAAGAGGTATTGCTCACCTTCATTGGTGGTAAACAAACTACAATACAAATTATATTACATTATTTTTACCTGACTTTAGTTTTTTCATACGCTTTGCTTTCTTCCCCTCTATGATTTCCCATTTCCTATTCTGAATTTCCATCTTTCTATTTTCTAATTGAAGCTCTTTCTATAAAGTAAATTGATTGCAAAAATTAATTATATCACTGATACAGGACCTAGTATAGTTTAAGTAAATAAAATTATCATAAATAATATGCAGTAGTAATACAGTGAACAAGCCTTATTCTGACATTTCCTAATGAAAATACATGTTTAGTACAAATTCCACAGTGTTTCAATAATGTACTTTAATTCAAAATGTAAAATTCCTTTCATGTACCTGTGCTTCATAACTTCTCTTCCTGGATTCATGGAATTTCTGCACATCTTCCTCAATAGGTGGCAGCATTGGTTTGTCATCATTGAAAAGTATGGCGACACCTATCACAATAGAACTTAATTGATTAACATATACTGCATTAAAATATATTTGTCAAAGAATAAACATTTCTGTATCAAAGCCATATTGAAGTTGTAATAAAGAAAATTAAGCTAAAATTTGAAGCCTTGAAAACAGGCCTGTAGCCAGGGGCAGTGGCCAGAAATTCTTTCACAATCATGCAGTTTTCACCATTCTGAGCACTTTTGCATGATTTTTAAGCTAAAACAGTCAATAAAGCTCCCCCTTGGCAAAAGCCTTCCCCCTTGATGAAACCGCTCCCTCTTGGTAAAAGCTGGCTACAGGCCTGGAACACAGATGCATTATGTATCATATGTACGATATATATGTAGAGAGTTAGCTTCACAGAAAAAGATCTGGGGCTAAATATTGGAAAACCAGTCTTTTTATAAAAAACTGAATCATTAATTAATTTCTCAGACTATTTAAAACAATAAATCATTTAATAATACATCAGACTATTTAGAAAAGTGAACTGATGAGATAATAGTTCAGACTATTTTTGATTTAGCAATCACTATAGATGATGAGACAATTTATAAAAATGAATCATCATATAGTATATCAGATAACAGTGAATCATTACATAATAGATCAGGCAGATGGACAGAATCATGCTAAATGACAAACTGAGACTTAAGATAACAGAAACTATAAGACATGGAATTTCTGTATTCATAGTTGTGACCAAAAACTCAATATTACTATCTTGATCATAGTGATGTTTTCCAGGAGATATACAAATATTTTAGGCTAAGACCAGACATCAGAATATATCATGTAAATACTGTGTGATTAATGATACCTTTTTCTACAAGTAGTGTTGTCTCCTCTGGTAGTAGCTGTAAAGGCAGGTGAAGCTGGTAGTTCTGTCTTGGGGCTTTAGGATGTGAACCTACTAGGTTACCTATGATGCGATACTCCTCCCTAATTGTGCATGCATCTGAAAAGCAAGATACAATATACTGAGATAGATAATTTCATACCAACAGCATAACTATAGCCAGGGTGACTGTCAACAGTGAACACTTCTATTAGAGTAGCTCAAAATAATATTTTTTAAAAGTCATGCTCCAGGCATAAGCTTCCTTTTTGGGTAACTGATGTGTGATTTTGACAAATTGTTTTGTCATCTCTTACCTATCACAGCCCTTCAAGGCTTGAAGTTGCCCCGTAGGATAAAAAGTTAGTGGGTATCACCCATGTTTCATTTAATGTATCATTTTGGGTGCTTTATTTGAATTTCTTGTGATAACATTTATTTTTGTCCATATATTATGGTGATGTTAAGATTACAAAATAAACTGCCATTTTTTCGCTTCAGCTTGAATAGCCAGTTTTGGTCTTATATCATCATGATATACCATGACATCTCATTTCTTCTCAGCCCTGAAACAGAAAGATGCTATGAGTATCAGAATGGTCTTATATGGGTATAAATCTTTTGATTTCTGATTATGAATGTATAGCCAGTTGTTATATCAGTAAATAATGACATTTTCAATGATGAAAAAGAGTGATTTACATCAGGGGATCCTAAGTATTTTGAGGTATGAGGTTTGAGTCAAATGCACTAAGTAAAGAGATCTCTTTACTTGGTGTATTTGACTCGATTTTTTTTATACATGTTCCTGGGCCACAGTAATTGGAAGTTCAATACAATAAGTAATAAATATCAGGTTAGGAAAGGTAGAATTTCATTTCTACATGGATTTTGCGCATGCGTCCCACAATGTGATTGGTCATAAGGAGGAGCGCAGATCATTTTACGAATTTTGCAGTGCTTACATTCGCATTATTATCTTGCCATACTAGCAAGATTGAAGTATGGAATATGTTTTCTAGATCCTTTAGGGTGTTATCTTGGGCCTGTATGACTGCTAAATCTCAAAAATCATGATAAAATATGTATAATCATTTGAAAAACATCAATATTTTTGACAAAGGATTCCACACTTGTAGTTTTAAATGATAATAGGAAGAAGGAAATTCTGTTCACTGTGTCCAGTCACTGTGTCCCTATAGTAACATAAATGTTGCGCTCGACATATAGCATACTATTGTAATGACCTGAGGGCGCCCCAGGGGAATGACTAACTAACAAGCATAGTGTAACAAGCCAGATAAAGAAATTGAAAGAAAGTGTGCTAAATTCAATGCCCCATGTGGGAATCGAACCTAGGACCCTTTGATCCAAAGACTGATGCTCTACCGACTGAGCTATAAAGGCTTAAGCCACTACAGAGGTACAGCTGGACTGTAGTAGCAACTTGCTATCAAGGGTCGTTACACTTTATCTAGTAGAGGTGTAACTCGCCAGAAAAATCCAACTCGAGTTCAACTTGCCAAATATTTCCAAAGCTCGAGTTAATTAATTTTGTTTAGTACATATTGTTAACCCGGGTACACAAAATTACTGTAACTTCTAGCGGCAAGTTTCTCTGGTTAAAGGAATATTCCTTGCCAAACCATCTCTCTCCTCATATGGCAGCTATAACCATATATATGCTTGCCATGTTTAGCAAAACACGCAAAAATGTTTTGATATGGTCAAATTTGATCACTTAGAAATGTGATGCTCAATTCCAGTAAGCTGCCATCTTTAAAAGTTTCACACAGGAAGTGATGTCATCAACTCTCAACTTTGCATATAGCATTAGGTGAGGAGCTATTAAGAATTACAAAACCAGCTAAATATTCTTTTTCAACTTTGTATCTTATTTAATCCTTCTGAAAATCTCGTCTTTTATTCTAAGTTGACAAGCCCTAAAAATATTTTTGCACAGAAAGTAATGATCACTTGTCTAGAAGTGATTTTGTGCTACTTTCCTATACTGTTATGGGCAAGGTTATAGTAGTTGAGAGTTGATGACATCACTTCCTGCAAGAAATCTTAAAAGATGGCAGCTCACTGGAAATAAGCACTCGATTTTTAAATGATCAATATTGACCATATTAAAACATTTTCCCATGTTTTGCTAAATATGGAATCTATATATATGATTATAGCTACCATATCAAGAGAGAAAGGGTCTGGCAAGGAATATTCCTTTAAGTCGCTTCTAAAAGCTGTTTTACACGTTGGGGCCATAAGAAAGTGTGGTATTCATTGCAGTTATCTCATATTTCAATCAAAAACGATCTGGTATAGACGTTGCCGCATACGGTAAGGACTAGAGATCGCTAAAATGAACCAAGAATCTAAACAAACAATATTTTGGAAAACCTGGAAGGGCCCCTCAAATAATGAATGGTTTTCCCGGATTATCTTCATTATTTCTACTAAAGACTGCTGGATATCGATCTAAAGTTATGACTTATGATCTTAATTTAATGATAGATCATCTTTTTTATGTAAAAGTCATGTAAACGACGTGAGAATAAGGGGACCATTTTTATTCAATTTTAGTGACTACTCTTTTATCGCCCGCTTGAGTTCCTTCGATAGTAATTTTTCTGAATTCTTGGTGTAACTTGTCATTCCTCGATATTTGTTGAACTTTGTGAAGCTTTGAGAGTGTTTTCCACGTGACGGGTGCTAAATATGGCGATCATTGGTATATTTATTCTCTAGTGGTAGTGTTGCACGATCTCTGGGACCCGAATTCATTTTACATGCAAGAGAGTTTAACTCGAGTTATAACTAGCTCACGAGTTGAAATAGATTGCGAGTTTCTAGAGGACAACTCGAGGTAATGTATAGGCAGATCTGACGAGCTGTACTCTAGTTACAGACTAGGGAGTTACACCTCTAATATCTAGTAATTATGTGCATGTGGTTATATCAAAATATAATTTCCCTATTTTTCAACTTCAACGTCACTGTAAGCATGCAGTTATGATTGGGGCAAGCCGAAATCATGATCTTTACCTTGATGTTATTACCCGGGTGTTATTATGATTTTGGCTTGCCTTGATTTTGACTGTTGTCGAGTGGGCGATAATATATGTAAAATTAAGTATTCCATCAAATTATGACACATGAGACTTACCTTTGGAATTCCAAATATATGCCTTCTTGTTCTTTATATGTATTTCTATCATATTGGTGGCTACTGAAGCAGTAACATCCCAGTAATATTGTGTCGTGTGCTATTTGATGACCGACACATTCGCTTTTGGTACTGTCTCGGAGCAGTTCGTTCAGTGCTATCGTGCCTCAATATGAATAATAGTGGACAATCTGCGCAAGGTTCGCTTTTTTCTAGTTCCCGTTTAGGAGCATGCGCTACAATGAATCAACTTCCTATGAATTTTATCGACCAATCAGCAATGATGCTGTACTCAGAGTAATGAAAATACAGACCAATCAAATTTAAGAAGCGCTAAAATTGTGCGCATAGAATCAAACAAAAACAACGAGCCAGCTGCAGCATGCCCTTAGCAAGTCGGTTAAAAAGTTTATAACATTTAAAATGGATTAAAAGTAGAAGAACGGATGCAGTTCATGAAAACTAATGGTACGTATAGAAATATCAGGTCTTTGAATAAGTGCTTCAAAATTATTGAGATCGTATGCTCAGAGGTAGTACACTTTTTTCATGATTCTATTTTGATTTTTGAATATTTTTTTCCTGGTCAGCTTCTCATCTCTGCTCTGTTTTTTGAATATTTTTTCCTGGTTAGACTTTTAACTAAATTCTGTATCTCCGTAATCACTAACAAAGGTTATTCAAACATTCCTACATTATAAGAGTAAAAAATAAAGTAATTTCGTCCTCCAGGACTGAATGCTCCAAATATGAAGATTCTTGCATTGTTTTGAGGGGGCTTTTGATCAGTTTAGTGAATTGACCTTTGCGATCACAATTCAGGTATTTTGTTTATGGATACTGTTGTCATGTATTTCGTCTTATTGGTGTGACATCATATAGAAACGATATCAGACATGATGGAGTGACGAAATGGCGGACACGTGGCAATTTTGAGCTAAAAATGTTATTGTTTCTTTTTTGAAATGTAAAGGCTAGAGTGCCGACAATTGTCGGTACTCTAGACTTTGATGTAGTGGCACGCTAGAGGACCGACAAATAAATTGTCGGTACGGGAGATATGCTGTGTTTACACGCTAGAGGACCGACAAATATTGATTTTCGAATTTTCTGGCGCATGCGCAATGCGCGGGGGGATATTTCAGATATCATACGGATATTTTGGGAACAAGTGCAAAACCCGGGGAGGGCATTAGCCCCGGTTACCCGGGGATTACCAAACCCAGTCAAAAAATGGTACCCCGGGAACAGGGAATGGTAGTAAACGTTGAAAACCCAATAAAAAGGAAGGGGCGTTTGCTACCCATTAGATAGAAGAAAATAGCTAGAATGTTTTTTAGAGCTTATCGTATGGTATGAGGTTCCATATCCATCCGCCAAAAGGTATGACCCCTATATAGTCCATTTAAAAACCTGTGGTATCGTTCTAAATAACCCATAGTTGGCTTCTAGGGTACCTAGTATGCCACTATTTGGTATCAAAATAAAGAGGAGTTCAACTTTTATTTGAATTACGAAAATAGCGATGTAGGTCAAAATAGCTCTGAATGTGAGCATGTTTACTACGCGTTTGCCTGTCATATCAGAATTGAGGAAGTGGTAGCAAACGCGAGTTACAATAAACGGACGCTGATATCTCAAAAAGTAACCTGACTCACTATAATTTGATGTAGGTCAATCGAACCCCTATATGGACAGGTGCATTTTGATATATAACACTATGGGGGTAAGCGTTTCATAGTTGGTCACGAACGCCATATGTGCAAAGTATTGTTATGAATTTTCGAATTTGGTGTTGGATTACGGTACTCATACCTTATAGCACAATTTTTGATGGAAGTTGCATTTGGCTCCCTTAGTTAATAATGGCCACGATTCCATCTCGCATGAGAGAGCTACCAAACGCAAAGTAAACAGTGATATATTCCAAATGAGATATTTCTCCTGTGCTATGGTGTAGTAAGGGTAGAGGTCGACGGGGGCGAAAGCATCCCCTCCTAATTGTATATATCGACCCATTTATAGATAGAACAAGAAAAGAGCTTTAAAATGTTTTTTAATTGAAGCTTGTAGGACAATTTTGATGGAAGTTGAATCAATTTTTGTCGAAATAAATTATAGCTCACTACAAGTTAATGCCTGTACGATTCCATACTACAAAAGAAGCACTACCCCCCCCTCAAAAGAAAAAAGTAGGTCCTGCCGGGATTCGAACTCGGGACCGAGTGTGTTTGAATCGTGCTCGCTAACCACTAGACTACCAGTGATGAGGTTATTTCTAAAATAAAAGTAGTGAATTTATTTATGAAATTGTCGGCTCTCTAGCAAAAACACGTAGCAGCCACTTGCGTACCGACAATTGTCGGTTCTCTATCTGACACTACTAGGTGACGATAGAGTGCCGACAATTGTCGGTACCCCAGCAAATACCCCTGGACAGTCTCCAGTACCGACAATTGTTGGTCCTGGAGCCACTCCGTTTTTGAAAACCAGGGGTCAGATATTTACCAGCTATGCCTATTTGACATGATCTTGATAGTTTCTTTGTGTGAAGTTTCGGTGATATCCATACCGTAAACATTGATGCCTATAAATGCCCCCTGTTTTTTCAAAATCGGGGGGCGCTTAACCGCTATTTATATCATGTCAGTAAGATCTTAGACTTGGCATGTGCTTAGAATGAATGTTGATCTAGTCAAATCGAACATTTTTGTGAAAAATAAATCAATAAAGTACGGAATACAGAAGATAATCTCTCAAAATCAAAAATCTATAGCAATGTGGCCTGATTGTGACGTCATTACAAGATAGAATTCATCCAGTGATCGCAAATCATTGATTGTGATGTCAGCCAGAGGAACAGAGATTTGTGAGATATTTTGTGTATTCAATCCCAGAGCAGGCAAAAAGTACATTTGCCACCGCACCCAATTTTACCTCATCAGGAGGAGGCAGTGTCATCCATACAGTACTGTCAACCCCCAAAGATTTTCTCGCGGGACAGATTTTTTAGACCCAGTGCCAAAAATTCGCGGGATTTTGTGGGATATCCACCCAAATTCACGTGATTTTGTGGGACATTTAGGGATTTGCGTGATTGCACTACTTGGCCAAATTTTGACCAAATTCGCGGGACTATTCGAGGGATAAACACGCTAATTGCGGGAGAGTTCACAGGGTAACCACCAAAGACTTCATAGAAGGACAGATTTTTTAGAGAGACTGCCCAAAATTCGCGGGACATCCACCTAAATTTGCGGGATGTCCCGGGACAATCAAGGGACATTTGCGTGATTGGGACTTAATGTAAAAGTACTCAAATCAAACTCTCAGATACTGATTAATCAAATATAATGCACTTAACTTCAACTTCAATAACTTCAATTAAACTTCGTTAACTTCAATAAACGTCAACACGATTTCACACAATACGCATAGGAATATTATTACATATTTTCTTACTTAGGTCCAAAGCCTTCTCTATATTCCGGCTTTAAGTGATTGTTACAGATTACATAATCCAATATTTGTATATCATGGTGACACACGCACAATTGTTACAGTATAATTATATGAAACATTTCTTTATGCATACATTTGCACAATATCAGCTCACGTTTTTGACTTAATCGATTGTTATATATATTTTAATTTAGCTAAGTGGAGTTTCATTTAAAAATGGCCTCCATTTTTCTTCGAGTGAGCTGTATAAATGGCAGATCCTTGAGTTTGAGGTTCTTTCCAGAAAGAAATTTTGAAATATCTTGATCCAGACAAGCAATGCTTCAGCTTAAATATGATTGATACTCTTATAAATATTTATATATATATGTAGCTTTTCAATTTCACCTGTATTCATGTTCGAAATATAGGCAAAAGATTTGTTACATTATTTTTCATGAGCATTAAAACCATCAAAATTAACTTTGAAGGAGATCGTTAGCTGTTGGGGGATGAAAATAACAGAAATGCAAGAAAACATGAATAATTCGAAGAGATAATGTCATGAGGATTATTTGTTATTTCACAAACACCCTAGATATATTTAAGTGTGCAATTGGTCTTATTCAATTCTTATATTTAAGATGGAGTAAACAACATTTAGTTTTGCAATATTTTATAATATTTATTAAATGAAAGTATTGAGTGTCATGATTTGACTTTTATTGCTCATCAAAATTATGGATGCAGATGTTTCCTACAAACCTTTTTTTGTTGATAATTAGAAAAAAATATTTTGAAATATACCATATTTTGGATTAGAACCATATACAAAGTAAGGTAATAAAGATATAGCTTGCCAATAAGTTCATTTAGGTAAATTTGCATTGATTAAAAATAGAAACAAGAAGGTTCACGAAACCAAAACCTGATCCCAAACACATGTTAATAACTCAACATGGGTTTATTATGGTCACTGGTTATGGTCTCAAGCTTTTTTGTGAACTGTGTTTAGCAATTGGTTTATGGCGTTCAACATCTGTAACAATTGGTAGGTGGTGACATTTTGCATGTTAATGCATGTTATCATATTTGGCACAATAATATCACATTCAATGCTCTTTTGTTCTTCCAATGGTTTATTTGGTCACGATTTTATGGCCATTATATAAAACATGCTGTAAAATACTAGCATTGTGAACTTGAACTTAGGGGGCATAGCCATAGCTGTTCAATATATGAGCACAGACATCTTTGTTTAGTGGTTGTCATCTTCCTTCTTATCTCTTGTTCAATGTTTCAAGGGTTGTTAATGTAGATATAAGCTCCAAAGATAAAAATCTGGTGGGATTTTGCATGTTTTGGCTCCAAGGTTTCGGCATTTGGAGCATGATTTGTAGATAGTTATACAATTGTGACCATTGGAGACCAATGGAACTTTAAGGAAAGAACATTAAACAATTTTTAATTATGCCACATATGATTTGAAATCCATGCTGAATGAATGAGCTAGTAACATGCATTTGTTTGCTAATATTTTTTGAGTAAAACTTCTGAAATATTACCAAAATTCAATATGAATAGTGATGATTTATTTACAAATATAATTCAAGTGATAATGTTGTCATACAACATATTTTATAGTTTGTATACCTCATTTAACAATTTTTTAGAATAGTCAACATATTCTGTGTAGGGCACTTTAGAATATTTGTCTCGTTTCCAATATGCATGTGAAATCTTGTACATGTGTATTTCTCTGTAGATATTGACGTAGTTGTGACTAATGGAGTCATGTTGTGATACACTATGTCAGTAAAAGTGATAAATACCATCTCAATTATATTACAAAATTCTCATCTTGGCAATCCAGGAGAAAATGAATGAACCCCTGCATAATATAGAAATACTTTTTAAATGCTAGTATTTTCTCAAATTCACAAAATTTGAAAGATATTTTTCATCCATATCTCTGAAATTGCCCAGATGAGACGAGGCAAGAATTCACAAAATTGCTTGAGATAACAGTGTTTGAAACTTTTCTTATACTAATGTACTTTCAGGTATAACAAAAGATGGCGCCTGTAGATCTAGCATCAATGTCGGACATGTGGTGTTTAGACTCTTCTAACCCATATGTTATACTCGACTGTCTTCTACCAACAGGGATAATTGTACAATTAAAGGAATTCAAAGACGCTACTCTCAGCCAAGTGAAACAGGTAAGTGAAAGTCACTAAGCGATATTCTGGTATTTTTTAAGTGAGTTTCAAGCTCTCCAGTTCAGCAGCTATTATCTGATTTTAAATTGTACAGTATAGTTGACAGACGAAGTCGAAGAAAGTGATGATAAACTGAAGAGTCTAGGAAAACTAAAATGGTTTTCCCTGATGTGGAAAAGTGTAGGAAATCCACTTTAGTTTCAGTAGCCTTCGCTGTAGCACTGTAAACAAAATCACCTAGTTTTACAACTGAAAATATTTGTTAATTAACTAATTTTTTGAATGTAACCCCTCCCCATATTGGAAAACACAATATTCTCTATGAGTGACTTTATTGTATAAAAACTAGAGGTGTCACGGATACCCGTTTTTGTTCCGATCCGCGGAATTATGCCCTCGGAACGGAACACACGGAACAAAAATTAAGAATTTCGGTTTGGTTCCTGAACAAGAATATTTTACCCTTTCACAACTTCTGGCCCTTGAATCTCCACAAAACAGCATTTTTCTTTCAATATTTTGTATCAAAAGAGGTTCATTCTTTTTACTCCTTCTCTTTGAAGAGTTTTGAAGAGTTTTTCGCTACCAAATAGGCCTAGAGGATCAGATTATTTTAATCTAATACACGCAGTCACTCTGTTCCGAACCGTTCCGAAATTGTTCCGTTCCGAAGCAAAATGTTCCGAACCCAACCGTTTCGATTTTTTTTGTTCCGTGACATCTCTAGTAAAAACAAAGAACTGGGTCTGGTAGGGTCAAAGATTTGACTCTTAAATTATTTGCCATACTGGCCTTTTATGCTTTTTATTCATTTGGCCAGTTAACAACTTTAACAAACAAGTAGCACATTTCATATCCTATTACCACTTTGTTGTACTTTAGCTTCAGCACACAAATATTTTGTATTGTTTTAGAATCTCTGGGCAACAGCTAAAGAGTATCCCTTGCATAAGAGATTGAAAGACCGCAACAATTATGTGTTCATGTGTATATCAAGCCTAGCAGTTAGGGTAATGTTGTTTATATTATTAATTATTAATCTATCATTGTTATAATATGTTAGCCACATTAGGCATTCTGTATGACCCTCTATACAGAGTATTGCTATATGTTATATTTTACACGAGAGCATGGTATGAAAACTGATGTTTGATTTGAGCCTGGTTGAAGCCCAGTTGTATCCCTGGAAATTATCCTTACAAAATATATCTTGTTGGGTTTCAATTTTCAACTATCTATGATTTAGACATTGTTCAAAATGTTTCCTCTATGATGTCCTATTAACTATTAACTGATAATGATTTCCTCAACTCAAGCCAGTGCATATCTGAGATTACAACATCAAGTGTTTTAGCCATGTACCAATGTAAAATAATCATAAATTAACAATTTTCCATCTAACCAACCTCTTGAGCCAAATCACTTTAAATTGCAAGTTCAGAATTCTGTTGTTGATAATTGTTTTCGAAACGATCAATTCATTTAATCATAATTTATAAAGTAAATTCATAATAGTTGTCAGATAGGATATATATTATTCATAATGTGTTTATGTAAGTTCAGATTATAACAGATTGAATGTTTCTGGAAGATTTTATGTTACTCAGTAGACAAGACAACAGTCACTGGTGTTATTTATGCATACCAGTGTTTTATGCATGAAATGCTAGTTCATCTTCTGGAACAAATTTAAAAAAGCCATCATAACTGAAAAAGTAATTTGAAAATTAAAGGATTGCATTTTTGGTATCATCCCGTATTTTGCTATTTTATAATAGTTATAGTTTTAAAATAATGGTTTTGTTTTTTATTAAAAATTGTAAAACTCAATACTCAAGGTAGCCTGTTCAGGAGTTATGTATCTTTTACAGGAAGAGTTAGTAGATGAAAGTCGACGACTCAATGACATCCGTCCATTCCAGCCAATGCTGAAAGTTGTCGAGAGGACGGGCAACAAAGAAGAAAAATTACTGAACTCACAAATCAGTGTACTCATTGGAAAAGGTCAATTTTACGATAAATAAATTTTGGTCTGATTGAACTATTATTGATTTTTCAAATTAAAGGTTGTTACTTTTAGTAAAAAATTGATATGTGGTGATATGTGACAGACTTTTGTCCCCTCTTCCCATAATTTAATTAATTACTTTGAGTATATACATGTATATATAGTAGTATAAGTATGACTCTTGTTAGCAATGAAACTTATTTCATAATACTAATTTTTGCACTTCTAGGTCTGAATGAATTTGATGCGATGAACAGTCCAGAAGTTAATGATTTCCGTCATAAAATGAGAAGAATTTGTGAACAAGTAGGAGAAGAGAGAGATGGCAAGGTATGGTAATAGTAACATCATTCCAAATTTAAGCCACTGTCTAATGAATATCAAACAAATAAGTTTGATCTTTGGTCTTAACAAAGAAACTTTACAGTACGTTATTGATAGGTACAGGATTAATTATGAATGATATGCAGGTATTCTAGCTCAACAGAAAGAAATATGTTTTATATCATTTTGTACATCTATTACATAACATTAATGAATGATTGAGTTAGGGGAATGTTTGTATTATTTCAGTCGTGGTATGAACAGATGTTATACAAATATCCACCAGAGATCTACCCCACACCTGAGATGCCTCAATATATAAGAGATAAACTTCACGAGAAAAACATGTTTATGGTTACGGTTCTCCTTGAAAACAATGTCGATGTAAGTTTTGCGATATAAATAAACAACATTATTGCACTGTATATATGTTAAGTTTTATACACATTCGCAAATAATTTTATCCTTTTTCCTCACAATTATATAAAGCACTCTCTTCAGTAAAATGTAAAACGAAAGATTACATCTTTAGAAATAGACCAAAAACCCATGCAAGATCCTGGGAACGACAGAGGACTGCAATCCAAAAATATGCCACAGTTAAAATAATATGCTTGTTTTAGCTGACTTTTCCATTTGCTGATTTCACATTTCTGTTTTCTTCCTATAGTTCTATGATATCAGGTGCCTACTGGGTGGTCTGATCTCATTTACACTATGTGACATTTTAAAGGCTTAAAAATTACTACATTTTACATCCTACATTTGCAGGCCAAGTATGGTTTCTTGGTTCAGACCTGTGACACACCGTCTACACTCATAAAGCAAGTTTTGAAAAAGCGAGATGCCACAACTGGTCAGGCAATGGATGGAGTTGAAAACTACCTCCTGAAAATCTGTGGCCGCCAAGAGTTTTTACTGGGAGAATACCCACTGAGTCAGTATAAGGTATGCAAACCTTTATCAAATCTTTCTATTTTAGATTTGTATGTAATACTGAGGTTATGCGTATAAAGTCCATTGCAATATTTTATTTTGTTTGTCAAACAATTGAAATGATGCACATTCAGATCTTAAAGTTTCCCTACTTCGCCCACCTTAGATTTCAACTTGTTCTCATGTTATATCAACGGTAACTTTCTTGTAAATCCTACACATGCACATTCTGCTTTCATGTTTTTCAGTATCTACAAGAGATGACTTCCAAAGGTCTGGAACACACATTTATGCTCATTCACAGAGAGAATGTTCCAGGTAACCCCCCTATCACACCAAACTAGTTCTTACCCGTTCTTGCCAGTCCTACGAAAATGTCGTAAAACGGGCTCAATCTGGCTGCGGTCGGGATATATGTCTAAAATAATTAGCTACTTCGTTCATAAACAGTCTTCAATACGTCCATCTCATCCGCAGTTCCTTCAGGTCGCACCACGTCGGTGTGCAACGTTGTATAAACCGTCCCTTAGTCTAGAAGGTCATCATGACCTGATAACAGAACGGTATGGTCGCCATCGAATTTTGAATCGATTCAAAATTCTTAATCACATTCCCCGTCCGGGAAAGTCCATGAAGTTTGTAAACAGACCGTAGAACGGTGTAGCTACGTTCATTCAGTTCGCACACAGTTTAAAACCGATTCGGCAACGTTTTGACAATCACCAGAAATTTTTTGGCATGCTCTAAGTTCTGGAGAACCTACTCGTTCTAGTAGTTTCATGAAGTTTGTAAACAGATCCCAAACGGTTCTTAGTTGGTTCTTAGTACGTCAAATCCGTTCGTGCACAGTTTAAGCCTGTTTTGGAGAATGTAGTGAGAACTAGTTTGGTGTGATAGTAGGGTTATGTACACAAGATCCCCCACTGGGGGATTTCTGAGTTACTTAGCTCATTTGAGCACAGTACAGCTGTAGCTTGGAAATAATATAATTGCTACTTATAGAAAGTGACAGCAGTTTTTATCCAAAGGAATGACATTCTAATGGAATATAACGAAGCACAAAATTGTTGATGTCTGCATTGTCAAGGACAATTTAGCTGATAAACAAATTATAATTTTACGATGATGTTTTATTACCACAAGATAAAAATATGTGAAAATATAAATGAAATTAAAAAGATTGCATCAAGGCTAACTATGATTTTATGTTGAAAAACTTCTTGGAAATGCTTAGAACGCAACATTTTGAATGTAAAAATCAATTGTTTCACTATATTCATAGTATGGATTGTATTTTATTTTAGTTGAAGAGAAACCACCAAAAGTGCCGCCAAGAACAAATGGAAAGCGTCGACCCCCTCCTCCTATTCCATCCCCGAGAAAGGGGGATCATGGGAAAAGTGTATCTCTCTGGTCTATGAATGAAGGATTCAAAGCAGCTGTCCAATCTGTAGAAAATATTACCTGGGAAGAAAACTGTAAGGTAAATAAATAAATATTTATAGATACTTTACTGATATTCCAACTTTTTTAAATGAAATTATAGAATTATTCCGTGCATGTATTTTTATAGATTTGTAGGTGCTTTCAGTATAGAAAAATTGAGTGTAGAAAAAAGTCACTAAGTTAAAAGAGATGTGGTATTTAACATAACAATTAGAATGGGTTTGTCACATCAATTTATTGTTTTATCACTGCAGCTGAGTCTGCGAGTAGGTCTATACCATGGCGGGGAGACTATATGTGATATGATAAACACATCTGGGGAATTATTGATGGATGGTAAGGTGACATGGGACACAGACTTAAAGTTTGACATCCAAGTGTGTGATGTACCAAGGATGGCCAGGCTCTGCTTCGCACTCTGTTATAATGTCCTCGATCAGAAGCATACAAAAGGCACTACAAAAAATAAAAAAGTGAAACTCAGAAACAAGGTATTTCTATTTTACTATTCTTTATTTACATTAATAATTAGTATTTGGCTTCTTCAATTTGGAGTTATACATTGTGTATAATTCTGATGTTTGGATTTTGCTTAAACTAATACCAAGTATTCGGAAATTTGAAGTCTGATATCATCTGATGGGAGGGGTAGAACTACACCTCTTTTTGTACTATCTGCCCACTTTTGCAATTTCCTTCAATATTCAGAAAAACACACTTTTCCTGAAAAAAGGACTCAATAATCCAACGCATTTGTACAAATTCACAGTGCTGGGATTATTCTCTGAGTTATTATGGTTACTTTACTTTCTAGGAAATGATCCCCATATCCTGGGTGAATATAACAGTGTTCGACTATATAGATCGCCTACGTACTGGTGTCTATAGTTTACCTATGTGGGGGTTCACAGATGATATGCAGCTAGAAGACATCTTACATCCGTTAGGTGAGTTATGTGTGCTACACGATTGGCTGATTTTGCTCTTTGGGAGGGGTTATGGAGCAGAAATTTTTCTAATGAACACCTTCACAAATAAAAAAAGTTTCGTATTTTTTGGTTACATCACAATAGCGATAGGATTTGAAACTTTCAGAAGACCTTTCAAGCTCACATAGTTAGCAGTAATGTCTACAAGTTTCGTCCAAGTATGTCATCAAAATTTATATCGGCTGTCACTTTTATTGTCGAAATATTACTTTTGGTTAGTCTAACAAATGTGTTATATTGATTTGTTTTAAATTGTACTGGCAAATAAGTGCACAGGTTAACAATAATGTCTGAAGTTTTGGCAATATATTTCATAACATTTCAAAATGACAACCTCTTTTAATGATGAGGTTTGTTCAGTGCATTCAAAGTTGGGCTACTTTAAGTATTTTATTTTTGTGATTCTAGGAACCGTTGAGTGCAATCCAGACATGACAGAGACGTGTGTTTTAAACATTAAACTAAGTAACTTCAACAGAGATCTGCCGATTGTCTACCCAGGATTTGAAGAGGTATGTACAACACCAGGGAAAAGTACAAACAATGTTAAATGAGTCCACTTTCACATTCTAGGGCATTTTCTTCAATAGGGCCTCTAATAGCAATAATGCAAAATAATGATAAAGAAAAGCTAAAATTAGCTATCTGAGTTCTCTTTCATAGGGCCTCCTAATTATAAAATGTAATCATACATCTACAGTGAGATTTATTTTCATAATGTTTGACCTTACATGCCTTTCCAGAGTTACAAGACCTTCTGATACAATAAAACATGTAAATTGAGGATATATTGTCAGATTGAAAACTTTATTTTTGTTTGACCTTGATCGACATGTCTAGTTCCTCTTCCCCATGTTTGCATTTGCTGTACTCCAGAATTACTAGTAGTCAACTCAAAACTATTCCAAAAAAGTGCCCTTGATATGGGGTGTCTTCCACTCCGTGTATTGTATAACCTGAACTTTCGAAATTAAATAATAATGATAATGAAATTGATTGCATATGGTTTGTAGGTGTTAGCTGAAGCTGCTAGTCATGTGAGAAAGACTGGAAGCTTATTGGTATGTAGACATTTTGTTTTATAATTTCCATTATTGCACTTCGAATGCTAGTATCATGCTTAGAAACTGCAGTTATATTAAAGCAATTTGGTGTCTTTACCTCAAAAATGAAAATATGAATTAATGAATTAAAACGCAATATTTTCAGATTGAAACAAATGACCAGGCTAAAGAACAGTTACGCCTGATGATTGCTAAAGACCCCTTAGAACAACTATGTGAACAAGAAAAGGAAACAGTGTGGTCATTACGTTATGAATGTCATTATCATTTCCCTGAGTCATTACCGAAACTGCTCAGCTGTGTAAAGTGGAATAGCCATGTAGATGTTGCTAAGGTAATAGCTATATGAATATATTTATAAGTTAAAAGTAATGTTCAGAGGTTTGAATAAAATATTCAAAATAGTGGGAATGCTTTTTGTTGAAAATCACTTTTTAGGCAATATGTCTAAAAGTTTTGCATTGATTCGCTTGTGGGAATCTAATAATGTCCAGAAGTTATTTGAAAAATCATCTACCGAACTTCGAATTGGCCAACACACTTTTCATATTAATATTTTGTGTATGTAATATGTGTTTCCTCAATCATGACCATTTCTACTCTTAAATATTGCTTTTTTATCTGAGGTTTTTGATACATATTTGTCTTATATGGCACTTGGGCTTACATGTTTATTTCTTGCAGATGCAAGCTCTTCTACAGATCTGGCAGAAGTTGAAACCACTGGCTGCAGTCGAGTTGTTAGACTTCCAATATGCAGACAAAGCTGTGCGAAAATATGCGGTTGATTGTCTTAAGGATATCAGGTATTTACAAATGAGGGGTTAAGCCAGACTTAGCACCACTCTAGCATTTTATTTGAATTTGTACAGGGTCTATCAATTGTTGCAGTAAACCACTGTTTGTAAGGAATAAAGATAAGCTAGAGATAATATAGAATATCTAATTTTAGTTGTAAAATTTCATAACACACTTGGGTCATTTTGGAACAATGTTTCAATTACAATATAATTACCAACGGCGCTTTGATTGTGCTTTAAAGCGCAGTGCAAAGCCGCTTGGCACACCACTTTAAAGCGCCATCAAAGCGCCATTTGTGTGAACTTAGCTTTAGGATATCAGATTAAAAAGGGCCATGCTTTGGATAAAAAATACCAGTATATTTAGAAACGTTTCTTTTTATTATCAGATTCAGCACTATATATGCTTTAGGGAATTTCCATAGCATGTTTTAAATCTTTTTTATTTTCTATTTTTCAGTGACTCTGAATTGAGTATGTACTTGTTGCAAGTTGTCCAGGTCCTGAAGTACGAGTCATACCTCGATTGTGATCTTGTAGAGTTCTTACTGAAACGAGCACTAAACAATCAGAAAATTGGCCATATATTTTTCTGGTTGTTAAAGTAAGTAAATATTCCAGAACCTATTTTAAAAAACCGGTTTCTCCAAACCAAGTTGAAAGTAGGATGGGATTTGGACCGCTCCCTTGGTGTACTGGTGTAAATGCACCAATGTTGATAATCAGTAATGGCCCCTGAAAATGGTCGGTTGCCAAAGTTCAATTATTTAAAAATGTTGTCAAAAAGTATATCTATTAATAAGTGGCACCCATATACCTTTTAGAATAGTATTTAGTACATTTATATTGTATTATATGTATACATATTGTATTGTATGTATATTGTATATGTACTGGGATTCTTAATGGTCATTGTTTGTCTTGTTTCAGATCTGAAATGCATGTTCCTTCTGTATCAGTAAGGTTTGGCCTCATACTAGAAGCATACTGTAGGGGCTGTAAATCACACATGAAGATGCTATATAAACAAGTAGAGGCACTCAGCAAGTTAAAGGAAGTGAATGAGTTAATAAAAAGTGACCAATACAAAGATAGGGTAAGATATGGAAATATATGTATTTTTGAAATACCTTCAGTACATTACCATCTGCAGTACCATTATAGATGGTCAAAATTGAATATTTGAACAACAGACAAATTGTCACATTATTTCAATGGATTTTCAATTCTTCTGGGATGTCAAAATATTTTATCAAAGTCATATTTTAAAGGAAATCTCATCTTCTTAATGACAACAGTATGCCAGTTGTTGTCATTTGATTGTCTTTGACAATTGCAAATATTCATAAGTAGAATGATTATTTTTTGGTCAGCAAGTTTTTTGATAAATCTTGGCATCATGATAACAGGTAGGCCTCTTCCTGGATTTTCTCTAAGATATGGCAAGCATTTTTCAAAGGGCTATATCTTTTGTTTGAAAAATAATTTAACCACAAAAACAAATGGTTCTGTTAGATCCATGTCTTATCTTCAATAAATTACATTAGGATGATAATCAAGTTGATTGGATTATCTCTTAAGCTGTCCCTAATCCACCCATCCTCTCCAATTTTCCCTAATACTAACGCAATTTTCACCAAAAATGCAGGCCTTTTTAATAATTTTTAGTGCAAAGTTGTATTGAACTTTTAGACATGATTTAAACTGTAAAGGGGAAAAGTTAATTAGGAACCTACTTTTTGGTATTTTTTTCGTGATTTTTTCTGATATTATTAAGTGCTTCATACTAATATTATACAATAACAAAATAGAGGGCAGCTAAGTGTCACAATATTTTGTTTGTTACACTGTTTCAAACACTCAGCTAGTGACTTACTCAGCGTTATGAATAGGGTTAATCCTGTATTTTACCTTATATTGTTTGTGTATAAAACAGTTGTGTCATTCACGTAGAGCTATTTATATACTGAATAGTTCTTTGTAATTACATGTACCTGGTTTTGACTATTCAACCTAGATTTTTGTTTGGGCAGGCTGAAATGAATAAGTGTGAAAATAAAATGAATTACAGGGTGAGACAAAAATGCTATCAAAAGAATTGATATAAACTCATTCATCCAGTATGAGTTGAAATCATATTTGGTTAACTTTACCATGTAATATCTTTTTGCGTTTTACCATGTTTCATGGGTCCATTTCTCATGGTCACAATTCTATGGTCATTCTACAAATTTCAGCCTCGTCCCTTCAGGCAGACCTGCACTTGTCGGTTGAGGTTGTAAGTTCACAGTCACAGAAATTTTTCTCCAACTTTTTGTAGGGGTTGACATCAGAGATAGCCTGTAGTCATGAGATGAGGCTGGCGTTTTGGACCATGTTTCGTATTATAGCCATAAAATCCCGACCATTTGGGCAGGGCCAATTAAACTTAGTAAAATGAAAGAACATTAAACAGGGTTTTATTATGCGAAATAACACTTTAGCAGATGCGGAATTTGTTTGGGCTACATTTTTGGCTCACTCAGTATTAGACTGCACTTTGAAAGTATTCATGATGTCATATGTTGGGTAAAAGGCGATGATTTAACCTACTTTTGATGGCAAATTCATTTTAATATGAATGAAATAGTGGCAGGTACTATTAATATTTAATGAGGCATAAAATTGTAGGTTGATCTGGCAGCTGTTAGTTGAATTCGCGAATACTACTTATAATGTGCTTTCAAAGCCCGTGGTCACCTATATAGTTTCTTCATCCTAGGTCAAATCTACTCAAGAATGCCCTTAATTACAATGGTGTTATATTAGATGCAGCATTTATTAATCTCTGGAGTCACAGCACCTCTAAGCTTAATCATAATTCCGTCGATTGACCTACAGCATAGGCCTAGGGAAAAGTAGTAGGAAGGCAGCTTATGAGTCCTCTCGATGTTCATAAGCTTACTTCTACTTTTACATAGGCATATGGCCTACAGATAAGTTTGGGATCCCTCATTTGAACCAAAACCTCTATTCCTAATTACAGCCCCTAAAAGCAACAACCCCAAACCAAGTGTCAGCCAGGGAACCCAAAAGCATGTTTATGTGCCAACCTATAATGAGATTCCCTTTAGTGAATAACAACCAGGTAGTCGTCTAAAGTATACACTGGTGATCTGCTCGATTACGCTGGTTACCGAAACGGTTCGTTTTGGTAACAAAATGTCGGAACGTCGAAGGTACGATTTTTCTGTTTTCCTTATTTCACGCGTTGTAGGCAGAATCCCAACGACGTTCAGCATCATATGTTTTAGAAAATGTACATGTTTGCGGAAAAATAGCTCAGAAGACAACAGAATCGTCGATTTAATTCCTCATTTAAGTTACATAAACAGTTTGAGTTAAAAGTGCAGATCTTAACTGGTTTTGGAAAAACCGCTTATGTAACTTAAGTGAGGAATTAAATCGATGATTCTGTTGTCTCCTGAACTATTTGTTCGCAAATATGTACATTTTCTTAAACATATGATACTGACGTTTGTGTTAAAAAATGTTGTGGGAATTCTGCCTTCAACGTGTGAAATGAGGAAAAAAGAAAAATCGTACCTTTGATGTTCCGACATTTTGTTACCAAAAGGAACAGTTTCGGTAACCAGCGTAATCGAGTGGACCACCAATGGTATAGCAACGAATCTTCTTATCATTCATAAACTATGATAAACTATGAGTACTGGGTTTTATGAGAAATAATAGCAGAGGGGCTTGGCCTGAGTCTATAAGTTCTCATAAGAACAAGTTCGAATAGTTTATCTTATTTAAACCCCACACTGACTCTTATGAAAGGTAAATGACCCATGATCCAAGTTTAGAAAAAATCTTTTGTATTAACTATGAGGTGAGTGTGTAAAGAAGTGGGTTGGTTTAATTGGTTCAGCTTCAATGCACTGCATGTATCAGGCAAGGTACAGTTAAAAGATTTATTTATTTTTTGTTTACAATTCAACTATTGAGTGATTGAAAATGGTTTAATTAGTGCAGCTTCGGTGCATTGCATGTGACAGTCAAGGTGTTAATATTGAGCCAAACACTGTCAATCATATTTTGTGCCACACTGGTTTAAGATAGCTTGCAGTGTCCACTTTTCAAAAACAATAGAACAAGAATGCACTCTTCTTTGTTACTACTGTACATTCTTTAAGGTAAAAAAAGGTATTCAAATTGACCAAATTGACGAAGTATTGGCTTTGTACCTCGTACCCATGTGCGTGGGTGGTGATACAGTTTTTGAAGGGTTCAATTTTTAATGTTTTAAAAGATTATTCAATCTTAATGCTATCTAAGGTATTAATTAACATTCATAGTATCCATAGATGTGAAATTCGTCTAGGCAAAGATAGATAGATAGATATAGAGTCATAAAATAAAGCCAAAATTGTTAATTTTAGTTTTTATTGGTCAAAATAGTGCCTTTCAAAGGACTTTAATTTTCAATAGAGAATATCCATTCTAACACTGAGTTAAGTGAGTTAAGTCTAAGTTTTAAATATGTCGGGGTATTCTATGTTTCATTTTATTTAATCACAGCATGAATAAAGATAATTTTAGCTTCAGGAATCTTAAATTCACCCCAACACACGACAGTGTAATTTGTGCAGTTGTGCTTTACAGTGGATGATGATTCCATATTGAATGGGGGAGCAATGTAAATGTGGCAATATAGGTGACACCTTTAGACGACTTCCTGGAATTTCCCAGCAAATAAAAAATGTTTTAGTGTATAATGGTTCTATTTTGAACGAGCATTTCAATAAGGCATTTTTTATCGAGGATAAAATAGCAAAGATAAACAATTTTGCAATTCTGGCCTTATTGTATGACTAGAAATGTTAGATCTATAAGAATATCTAAGCACTAGTGTCAAGGGAAAGGACCAAAAGTTGTAATGGAACTTAGCAAGAAAAAGCAAACTCTAAGTGCATACCAGTCAAGAAAAACAAACCCCATATATCTCAAAACCATGATCTAACGTGAAAAGAAACAATGTCTTATACCCCCTTTCCCTCAAACATCCAAGAACCGATATCACAATCAAAGACCAGAACACCAAGGGACAGTTCATTCATACTGAAGTCATTACAATACATGTAGAAGAAAAAATTAGAAATTGATAGCCAATACTCATAACCTCAAAAATAGTTGTAGATACGAGTACTCATACAAGATAGAGCATTCAGTCTCAAATGATGTGGGATAGATAAAATCCAGTCTCTTCCAAGTCCATAGGCGTTTTAAAGGGTCAACATCCATTCTAAAAAGGCGTCGCCATAATCCATTAAACACAAGAATTCACAATGGTCATCAGGAATTAAGACATACCCATAGGTCTACGAGTGCATTAATACACCTACTATTCATATAATCTGAATAATCTGAAACGTTAGAAATGAAGCCTTCAAAGAATGTATCATGCCCAAAGTTCGTAAGTACGTAGGTACGAGTTATAAGCCCGAAGTATTGACTGAGGGAATACTAGTAGAGTGATCGAATGACAATATCATAATTACACAAGGCAATATACATATTGTCAAAGGGCAAAACCCATAGCATTAAACTGTTTATTCCATAAAAATTCCAATCAGCAAAAACAATTCAATATAATTTGAAATGAACAAAAAATGCAACAAATGTTTGGCCAAACCATTGGTGAGAATTATTATTTGCATGTGGTACCTGTTTACTTCCTGCGAAAGCTATTTGGATTTTGATATAATAGCTTTCCCACGGAGCATTTGGACAGCTCAATGATCGTGACCTTTGAAATCGAATTAAGTCGATCCGCGGCTTACTTTTGGTCTCTAACTGTGTCTTACATCAGTATCATCAATCCGTGTAAGTATTGGAGCGCTGGAGTACTTCTTTTTCGATCAAGACTTGTAATTGTTAGTCGAGTGAATCGTTTTACTGCCAAATTCCAATATGGCGGTTTCTGCTCGGACATTTTCGTAAATCTCCGGAGGTTGTCCGAACCTAACTAATTCTCAAAATTCATTTCGTTCGTTGCGTATCTCGCACCTAGCAAACCGCCATATTGGAAATAGGTCTGTAAAACTTTAACTCGATGAACAATTCACAAGTCTTGATCGAAAAAGAAGTACTCCAGCGCTCCAATACTTACACGGATTGATGATACTGATGTAAGACACAGTTAGAGACCAAAAGTAAGCCGCGGATCGACTTAATTCAATTTCAAAGGTCACTATTGATCAGCTGTTCACTTCTCCGTTTGAGAGCCATAAGTTTCAAAATCTAACATGGCTCTCGAAGTGAGTAAGTACCTGTATCAATACAACTACAAATAACACTATTCGTAAAATCATTTACAGCAAACCCCTTTACAGAAGGCACTTTCGAAACATCCAAGATGGTTGATGATAAAGAAAGATACACATGGGAAGAGTTAATTCATATAAGATGGTATTGAATCATTTTTTGGAACATCGCAAATGTGTAACATTTCAAATATCCATTTACACTATACAATACAAATATATAAACAAGTATTTCATATTATGTGTTTTACTAGGTGTTAAACACATTTATGTTTTACTGTACATACTTTACACGACACATTCATGTTGACATATCCATGCTCATTTCTATAATACGAAATTATGCAACAATGAATACACAGGGTATTAAGCACTCACCATAGAATATATCATGCCATCTATGGACCATATATAACTCTATCTATAAACATCATTGCATAAAATAGGGTACATCTTAATGTCGCTCTAAGTGACATCTTTTCATACACTATACACTAAGGTCATGACCTATGAGGTAAAAATGACAAATGGATTATCAGATAATACTTATCTCATTTAGATCATTTTTTTCTTTTTGGAGATCAATCATGTGACATAGCTCAATGTTTTCGTGCATTAAACTTATTAAAAAATTGCTACTTTTAGGTCGAAAATTCGGCCTAAAAAAATCATTTTTTTCGGATTATCCTAATCCCAAAGTAATTAAGTTTTCCTTTTTAGAGGTAAATCATTCCTTACAATAAATTGTAATTTTGCCATAAAAGCTGAAATAAAATGCTGCATTTTTGGTGAAAATTGCGTCAGAATTAGGGAAAATTGGTGAAGATGGTTGGATTAGGAACAGCTTAAGAGATAATCCATTCAACTTGATTATCATCCTACTGTCATTTATTGAAGACAAGACATGGATCTAACAGAACCATTTGTTTTTGTGGTTAAAGTATTCTTAGAACTAAAGATATAGCCCTTTGAAAATGGCTTGCCATATCTTACATGCCCCTTTATAGATATGTAAGAGGGTATAAATTTCTACAGTACCTTGTTATTTATTTCTTATTTAATTTGCAGAAAGTGAAGCAAAAAGCTTTAGCAGAGATGCGTTCGAGATTCGAGCAAAAATCATATTTTGATTCATTGAAAGACCTGCATTCTCCCATCGACCCCTGTCTTGTCATGGGAACATTAAAGTAAGTAAGAAAGGTATATATTATCTCACTTCCAGAAGTGGTGACATATTGTTATTGTCTCCAACTTTTGTGTGGGGTTCAGCGTCTGGCAGTCGGCCTCTGTAACAAGTAACAAATGGCAGGTAGTAACATTTTTTATGTTAATGCCTTGTTAGAATTGAGCTAATTCTTTAAGCTTACGATGATCATAAATTCTCAATAATTGCTATTTGTATCGCATTGACAACAGCCCAGGGTAAATTATGAATCCTTCGTGATTTGTCTATTATGTTATAAGAAATTTTTAATCTTTCACTATCTCCAAATGAGGTTTTTATTTAAAGATGTTATAATGCTATATTATTGTATTGTTACAGGGTGGACCAGTGTAAGTTCATGGACTCTAAGATGAAACCACTGAGACTTGTGTGGAAGAACCAGGATGTAAATGGGGATGATATCTTAATCATATTCAAGAATGGGGATGGTATGTCTTTGTCAAACAATCAAAGAAAATTGAAAAGATAAATAAAGATAAATAAAAGATAAATAAGCTGTATAAAGAAACAGAATATGAAATAAGTATTTTTTGACAAATAACAGGTTTTTAAGGTGCTTAGAAGTGCTTAAAATGAAAGTGAATCAAGCAAGCGTGACAATAAGAGTAAAATTTGTATCACATATCTAGTTCCTGTATATACTTAAAAGAGGGGGAATACCCAGGAATTCAAAGATAAACAGATCTCAATAAAAAGATGAACGTCTAGAGGATCATCTAAGAATTCTGTGTCATTTCCTCCTCATGCCACAAGTGTTCTGTTTCAGACTTGAGACAAGACATGCTGACCCTCCAGATAATTCAGATTATGGACAGTATATGGCAGTCAGAGGGCCTAGATCTCAGGTAAGAGAGCATTTGCCAGTTCATCAGACTTCCATTGAATCCTAATAATGTGTATATAGTGCTATGATGTAGCTTCTTATAAGAGGAAGTTTAATTCGGTTGTTGGTTTTGGTTTGGAAAACATTTCCATCTGATAAAAATTAATATTTCAGATACTGTACTCCGGGTAATGGTCGCGTGCGATTTAATTTCGCTTTGTTCGCGAATGAAGTAAAATCGCGAACATTTATCGTCGCGAAATTTGTCTTAAATCCCCGGGGATTTGACCCGGGCCTTTTGATATGTTTCGTTCGGTGTGAAACGTTTCTTCCAGTGTTGTTGGGCGAAGGCCTAAAAACATTTTGAATTGGCTTATTAAAAATATTAGGCCAACAAAGGCAAGAACTGTTGACGACAATGATATCCTACAAATTGAAGTTGAAAAAGCCATTCAAGAATATTCAAATAAATTCCCTAAACGTGGGAAATACAAACATTATTCGGCTTCTGAACAGTCTAAAATAGCCCGCATTGATTTAAGGATAATCGGAAAAAATTCAACTTGTTCAATCTGCTACATGTAAGTGTCATCAACTCAAATCCGCGAAATTAAATAGCCACAAAATCGCAATTTTGAAAAATCGCGATATTTTATAGCGTCGAAATTTACCCGGAGTACAGTATATCTAAAATTTATCTTTTTGCATTTCAATCTGTTAATTGATATTTATTTAGTTAAATTGATAATGTGTGCATTATGTGTACATCTCTATATTTACATTACTGTGGAATAGAATATTGATATACAAACTACAATCATTACAAGAGTTTTAATACCTGGTTGTGTAATGTTTGTTTGTACAGAATGAATCCCTATGGCTGTGTGGCAACAGGATGTAAGGTTGGAATGCTACAGGTTGTCACCAATGCCAAGACTATAGCCAACATTCAGAAGGGTTATGCCACAGTAACTGTCAAGTCTGCATTCAACAAAGAGTCAATCTACAAATGGCTCAGTCAATGTAACCAAGGAGAACCAGAGAAGTATGTACATGTAAAATATTTTATTTTTATAAATAGCAAACACCATTTGTCAAAATTTTAATTTTGAGTAAATATGTGACTATTTTATCCAACAATGACTCCAAATTTGAAGTGTGTGTGCTCCTTGGTACAACCATAGGCTTTCCGGTACAACAGCTCAACCACCATGTCCTTCCATAATGAGATATATCATGAAAGCATTTGCCAAACTGTAACCCTAAGTTGTACAGTACATTCCATTTAGGTTAAACAAAGCATGTCAGGAGTTTGCACTATCGTGTGCTGGTTATTGTGTTGCCACATATGTCCTGGGAATAGCTGATAGGCATAGCGACAACATAATGGTGCGGGAGAATGGACAGGTACATTTCAAGCTTTTCCTAGTAAATGTGTGAATATTTGAATTTGTCACCTGATCATCGTAACAACTTGCAGTGAAACATTTGGGAATAACATAGAATTTATCTCACGGATATGCACATATTAAACAAATTTGAATTCATAAATTTTATGAATTTAAAGCATTTATCTTCAAAATGTTCATATTTGCACATATATTTGTTAGTAAAACCCAATTATTTCTTGCAGCTCTTCCATATTGACTTTGGTCATTTCCTTGGTAATTGGAAAAGTAAATATGGTGTAAAGCGTGAGAGAGTGCCATTCGTATTGACCAATGATATGGTGTATGTCATCAACAAGTCAAGCAACAAATCAAGCCAGAGCCAGGATTTTGCAAGGTAAGTTAGCATACCGACTATTTAAATTAAGAGATAAATTATGAATTGGAGAATGGTCGAAAAATGTATTTTAGATGTGTTGTGTATCATCCTGCTGATTTTACTGACTGGAAAGTGGTTGATTTGATAAGCTATATGAATTGGTCTCTAATGGCAAATGTTTTTCTCTCAAAAGTTTATTTTTCAAAAGTTATGTCTATTTGTCTGAATGCTCTCGTAAAAGGTATCAATATTGCATTGTATCGAGATTGTAGTCAAGAAAGTGATTGGTGTATATTGCATCACTACATCATCAGATTGCTTTGGTATTGTCAGTTTAAGGCAACAATATAATGCTCCTTTAACATGTAAATAAATACTCAATGATGTACTCCATTTTCAGGTTCAAGGAGACATGTGAACGTGCATTCTTAATTCTACGCAAGAAGGGATACCTCCTCATTACACTATTCATGACTATGTTATCCACTGGCATCCCTGAGCTGACCTGTGTGGAGGATATTAGCTACCTCAAAGAGGCTCTTGTACTTAACCTCTCTGAGGATGAGGCAATTAAACATTTCAGGAACAAGTTCAACGAGGCTTTGAAAAACAGTTGGAAAACCAGTTTAAACTGGACAGCCCATAACATTGCTAAGGACAATGTGTGATCAAAGGGATGATTGATATTTACCTGAAAGTAACCTGAAAAATGGATACTAATTAATAAAGCCTAATTTGCTGGTATACCTCTGTAAGATCTAAAGATAATCTTAAAATTGAGGTGCAAATTATGCTTACCTTATTCTTATGTGCCAAGGATGGGGATTGGTGGGATGGTCCAATTAAACTTCTCTTTCTCTAAGAGATGAATTGTAATATCAACGTAACCAATGTATAATAAGCGCATAACATGTAACTACAATGCACATAGCGCATAACATGTAACTACAATGCACATACAGAATATATGTTTTTACTTCGTATGCCTACTTGTATATATGTACATAATATTTATACACAGAATCAAAAGATTGGAGATTATCTATATCAGAATACTCTACCATTTTGATTCATCACAGCTCACAAATGGATATTTTTAACTCACATTGTGAAGTTAAACATGAAACACAATTTGGAGAAGGGACCTTGCACAAATAATTTGCTCAAATACTGTGCCTAAAAGTATGAATGGATGTTAGAATATGATGTAATTATCATGCAACTTTGAATAAGTTGCATACTCGTACTATGCAATCTTGTATTACTTACTGTTGTGGCATATTTAGATTATAAGTCCAGTGCATGAATGCAATGTAATTGATCAATGTAATGTGAAATGTGAAAAAATGAAATTGTCACCTGGCTGTCTGATAAATTAACAAAAGAGTTTGTAAAGACATAAATGCTTACTATGAGTTGATTTTCATGGTTACAAAAAATGAATTACAATAATGAATTTTTATAAATAGTTTGCCTCTGTTTTAGTAAACATAGTCTGGCCATGTTATGGAATGCATTTGCTCATCGATCATGCTCATATAAACACATCATCACACTATCACACATATATATTATATACAGATGAAGTGCGATGGAACAGCTGTAAATGGAGGCACATAAAATATATATTTTGAGGCTGATTGCTGTATGATAATTCATCTTAGGAACCACAGCAATTGCCGTATATCAGTAAATTACTAAATTGTATTGTATAAAGCTATTATTTTTCGAATAAAATATATGGCAAAACAGACATGTGCTTAGTTTGTTTAATCTTTGACCAAATGTTTTTGTATAATCATTTATTTATATAATTTGACATTTAACCCTTTAACGGTTGGGGGAAGGGGGCAGATATTTTCGTAGTTTGTCTTTTGCTCTGAAACTTCATGACTTATCTTAAAATTGAACTAGAAAATGGCAACTCCACGGAGTAGCAAATCCCAACAAATAATATATAAATCATGAATCTGTAGTCACAATGAAATATTTACCATCTTCTCTTCCCTCCAATAAATATTTGAGATCATTGTAGTATCATGTAACCATACTTTAAAGACCTTCAAGATTTTTGAATTTTCTGAGGCTCAAATCAGAAAAACAATACTATATTTTGATCTACTCAGGAATTCCTTCAATTTGAGTATAATATAGCCATACTTTTGAGACATGAGAAAATAATTGCGAAATACCACATAAGGCAGCCATTTTGAATGTTACGAGTCCAGAATCAGAAAAATGATACAATATTTGCAATCTTCTCTAAATTGCCTTTCATTTGAGTATAATAAAGCTATACTTCAAAAAGGTTTCTAGACAACTCATCCCAAGAGAAGTCATCCCAAGAAATCTCATCCCAAGACAACTCATCCCAAGACATCTCATCCCAAGACAACTCATCCCACTAGTATAATTTATAAATTATTTAATTAGTCCATTATATAATATATAATCCTTTTTCATTTTTGCGATTACAAAGTGACATTTGATTATACACTCAATCTTAATATTGATAATTTTTAGCATTTTGAAATGGCACTTGAAAGTTATGTTCTACTTTTACGAACCGGTATTTTTTATTAATTCTGGGTTATTCTCAAATTCTCAATATATTTGAGAATATAGAATTGAAGATAAAAGTCAAATACATAATTTCCAAATTCAGTCATCATGATTCTGAAAGTTTAAAATTGGAAATCTTATTTAAGAATAAGCCAAATATGACATATTGGAATTAAGCAAAATATTTTAAAACAAAGACTGAATTAATCTGGGAGAATTATTCTGATAGTACCCCGGATAATACATTCTTATTGCATTAATCCTAATCTGACACCCTTGATGATATTTGATTTAATAATCAAAGTATATATCAATTTGAACACGTTTATCTTTATCCCAATCAATCAAAAAACATTAACTGAAACTAGAGTAAACTAACTACAAAATACAAAAGATATTCCATGGCCAAACACAGTGTGCTTACTGCTAAAATCTCTAAATATGTTTCAAATATTCTTTCAAAAGTTGAAATTAATTGTATAAAATCATGTTATATTGCAAGTTGGGAAGAGTTGTCTTGGGGATGAGTTGTCTTGGGATGAGATGTCTTGGGATGAGTTGTCTTGGGATGAGATGTCTTGGGATGAGATGTCTTGGGGATGACTTGTCTTGGGATGAGTTGTCTTAGGGATGATCGAGTTGTCCTGTTACCCTTCAAAAACATCTCAAAATGAACACGAATTCCTGTTTTCTCAACCCCCCATTCACGGCCCCTGGGGGTCAGGGTGAAAAACATGGGATTTATGTGAAATAGATAGATGTTTTGGCAAAAACATTGTGATTAATCCCCTTGGAGGAATGTTAGAGCTGATCAAAGTTACCGAAATACCCAAAGGGTCAGTAATTTTGACTTGAAACGATAAACCCCTATGTTCTTAGAAAATGAATTTCTTCATCAATATTGGCTCGATATAGTGATAAGTAAGCTCAAAATACTGGGAATTTAATAACCTTTCCAATGATACCTAATACAACCTCCTATAATTGTTCATTTCTGAGATCATAGGGGGCAGTGTTTAAGGATTAACTTACGCTTGTACAAGCACTGTAGATTGCTAATCTGGGTTATCTTGAAAACTTGAGGAAATCAAAATTTTTCTTTATCTTTGTATCATTTCTTCATACCACTCAGTGCTGCCATCTTTATATCAGTTTTCATAACTATAATACTTCAACAATAACCAACAAAAACATGAAATACCATAATATAATATCATTGTATTTATATGCAGTCTCAAATGAATGAATAAGTGGGTGAAGTTCAATCCAACTTTCACTTAATGAGCTATTTAAATACTTGACTGTAATGAAGTAAAACCATCAGAACCCATGTTTAATATAGATATATTGTTATTGTACTCATATTGTCTTATATTTTAATCCAGTAACAGATCCTAAAAGTCACTTCCAATTTTATAGAGTAATCTATGCTATGTACTTTACACTCTAAAGCTATGAAATAAGCATACAAACATACATCATTTTGAAAAATAAATATTTTGCGTACAACTACGTACAATGGAGACTTTAAGCTAGCAATGTGTTTCACAATGTAACAGTGAATGCATAGTCAATAAATCAATAAAGTAATGTGTATAGCGCGCAAACACAACAAGCGCTACTTAGTCTACTTCAGATACCCGACCAGCTTTATGTTTAGAATTGGAGATTTGCAATTTTATGTTTGTGTCAACGGGAATTATTATACTCATGTCTATTGAATACTATGCTGGAAATTTTGATTTAATAATGCTTTCTGAAGAAAATGTTGTATGTCATACATGTTTTAGCTCCAAATATCTTAAGAAACGAGCTTATTTAAAATATGTATCATAGAAAACCAGCTGTATAACCATTATTGGCATATTACATGATGATGTGTAAGTCTAAGTAACGGAATAAGTAAACAGTGTAACTGAACAATTATTTATGTGAGAAAACTACATGCTTTTGTATAAGGCAATTTATACGTACAGGTTGACGTTTCGACTTTATATGCCTTGCTTAAAGTCTCCTGTTATACATCTTTCCACCAAATATGAATAATTAGTACATTTATTTGAGTTATGCTCTGTATGAACAAATGGACAGACTGACAGATGGATGGACTAAGGCTTCACTATATCCCTATTTTATTTGTTGATTGCACAATACCCTGAAACTAAACGTAGTAAACCCAATGGAATGTTTAGAGAATATTAAGCATTTATCTCTTCATCTACAGTTGGCATTTCTCTGTATTGCATTATATTGCATTATATTGCCTTCACCTTAATTCTCTAAGATATTGCCAAATTGACTATCCTTCACTCTTTACAAAATTGTATATTAAAAGCTGAGCACTTCACTAGCACATTTGGCATATTTGAATCTAGTCTAATCCCATAACCGAGTAAAAAATGTCTAAAGGTATATACTACTTGTTACATTTAGAAAAATACAAACATACTGGATTCTCTACATAATGTCTGTACAAAATTATTTAGCCTCTGTACTCCAATAAGGCATAAAATTGTAAACTGCATACATAATTCACCAAATGGACATTGTACAACAAATGTGGCTTTCTCCATTGGTGGAATCTTTGATAAAATATACATGTAGTGTTTAATATCATTATCAATTTGAGATATTTCTGAATTTCTGTCAGTGATACAATTTAATAATGGATTTTAATTCTCCATTTAGTGGTTCGCTCTTGAATCTAGAATGTACGAAAATATGAACTTAAAAAGGCCTCCAAAAAGGACAAAATTTGATTGGTCGATATTGTCTCATGATGCATTTTTGCGTAGCTATTTGCGTGACCCGAAAGTACAATCAATAAAAGGTTGTATACAGTAATGATGAACACTATTCTGGAAAGAGTGCTCTAGATTTGCTTGCGGATATTGCACCAATTGACCTATATAATAGCAACACGTCTTCTTTGGTCAACTGCTCAGTCGTTTGTTGGTTTTCAAAGTAACTCTATAATGTAATTTGAAGATGAGTACTATTATTCAATTGTTGCATTGATATTGCGGTTTGTAGTGTGTATAGGATGGAATGAAAGGGTGGAAAGTCGAACGAAATTATTTTTTCCAATATGGCGACTAGTCAACCGATCACATGAGCTTCTCTATCAGAAAATATTCCCTCTCTTCACACATAGTTTCCTCAACGATGTGAAACCTCATGTAATAGTTTGTCCATATAAGGGAAAACTTCTGTGTCTCCTCGATTGAAGAGCAAATCGCGAATGGGAGAATTGTGAATTAAGACATACTGTAGGTAGATAGCAAGAATTTAGAAAGATTGCACCTAAAGAACTTTTTTTGTAATCTAGAGCTTGCATTTCTAGTCACTCTGGATATTTCAATATTTTCAAAAAGGTTCATATTTATCTTTGTGAATAAAGGGCTATCCAACTGGGGCTATCACTAAACTTTTAATCTTGCAAATGTCACTCAGTTCATTCGTAGAAATCATAATTTTAATTTAGAGAAACTGGGAGGAGTGGACATTGTATTTGTCTATAAACTGACAAGTCCATAACCATCCTAGTCTGAAGTATGCAGTAAAGGTATTATTCCCAATCAATAGGTTTGTTTCCTCAACTGTCTTTGTATTCATCACTACGGCAACAGTATAGCACCATCTGTCCAATGGCAATCATCATCAGAAGACAAGTTCCTGGAATGAATCATTTAATCCATATGTACATTTGCGAACAGTATAAGCTATTCAATACTTTAGATAAATTACAAAAAAATAATGAGCTCAAGAAAGGTTGTTCATCTTTCGAGAGCATATAACATGTTCTGTGTTTTATGAGACATCATTGAATAATGTTATCTATTCAATGATATTTGGGATATATGGTATTTAAAAAATGATTATTCTGGGGTAGTCACTAAAATTTCCCACTAATTGCTCAGTATTATACTAATGCTAACAACTTCCAGGATCGATCATATACTAGCTTACCCAAACACAGCCACCAGGACCAACTCAAAGGGAATGACAGCATTACTAAAATAAAACAACAGCAATGATATTTCTTTGATAATAAACTAAATCCTTGGGTTTGGGGGAAAAGGGGCTTGAACAGGGTGCACCCCAGTTGTCCGAAACCCAGTTGTCCGAAACCCAGTTGTCCGAAACCCAGTTGTCCGAAACCCAGTTGTCCGAAACCCAATTGTCCGAAACCCATTACTCCGAAAAATATAGTCATAATTTACTAGAGAAAGGGGAGACGTACTTAAGGCCAGTTTCATGCCATGTATTTGGCCAAATTAATGGCATAGACGCATTCTGATGTTCATAGATGTCTCTCTCTCACTTTGAATTGCATCCATTGCACGCATTACCAGACTGGCAGGAACGGGGGATTTATTTTACATTGTGATTCTAAAAAAAAGGTTATCAAAATACAATATATATTAAGGAACAGTTTATCTTATCTTCTTCAATCTCTTTTATATAGGCAAAATAAAATGAATCATTTTGAAACAGATAAAATAAGTTTACGCATATAGTACTTTAAGAATAAAACAGTATACATATTACGTTGTCAAAATATTTCGTCGCATTTAATTTCTTAGTCTCTGTATTTTATCAAATCGTAAAAGAACAAAACATTCTTAACTTAATCACTTGGGATCAACTGGAAACTAAGGCAGGCTGTCCTCGTATCAAAATGGATGTTCTCCCATTCGCAAGAAGTTTCATTTTCGCCATGTACTCACTTCATCCTTTTAATTTAATCTCTATTTCTCGAACAGAGTACATGAGTGAAGAATAAGTTTTGGTTTCAAAATATGTACATGTCAACTCTACTAAATAAATGCGCACTGGTTCGGGAAAGCTATTTTTCCTTTCATGAACGCCCATCACCCATTGGAAAATGTTGTTCCCTCTCAAAAAAGGCCCATGGGCCATAAAGATAATTGGTTTAAAAATTGTAGACCCCTATTGTATGTTGTGTAAACGCCATTTTACAATGGGAATAACATAATTTAACTTTGTTTGTTTGAACATCTATATCACCTGTATATGAACTTTCGTAGGCTAAACATTAAACAATTAACGTCTTGACTTAGCATATTTAGCCTAATTTTGCAATGATGTCAACGTTATTCCAATGTTATGTTGTGATTCGCAGAGGTTGCGACAACGAGATTCGTTTAAAAAAATTGTATTTTTCAAATAAGATCCCCCTAATTTTCAGAGAACTGGGTTTCGGACAACTGGGTTTCGGAAAACTGGGTTTCGGACAACTGGGTTTCGGACAACTGGGTTGACCCCCTTGAACAATATGTTAGTACCTTCCATTCAGAGCTAAATATACAGTATATCATTGAAATTTTTAGGTTTCAAAGTTTACATTTCCAAATATATGTTTCAAAATCCATTAAAATTCATTTGTCTATTTCTTGACTTTCTTAAACTTACCTTAAATATTTCAGTATTCCTGTCTAGATAGTAGTATGCAATTATGTGATGGATACAATGTCTTGCCCTCCCCAAAACAATTTACTATGGTAATTATAAGTTTGAATCAATCAAATGAGATAAACAAAAAATTTCTGGAATAATGCTGAGATTCTTAAAAATTCAAGAGATATTAAAACCTATTTGCACCTGGATACATGAGTATTGCATCCACTAGGAAAATCATGGGGAGAACACTGGTTATATATAAATAGAAGTGATGACATAACTTACCCAGGCAAGATGCAATGATATGGAAGAAAGTAACTGTGATGGCATAGTCCCAGAGCCTGCTGGGGAGGAACACCACATAGAACAGGGTTGAGAAGAAATAGGCACTAAACATGGAGATGAGATTAGCTGAAACATACAAAATAACATTTCATGACTGTGATGTAAAAAATTTGACATGCAAATTCTCTGATTAATTTTATCTCTGAATGATCTAATCTTTCACAAGCATTCCTGAGTCTTAAAGGGTTTAAACCCAGAATATTTTTCTAACCCAAACATTGACTCAGCTAATAAGAATTAAACATGTGAGTAGACTCAAAACTTGACAAGTTACCCCACCCAGTAATCAAAAAGTAGATATATTGTAATTAAATACATACCTAACTGCTGGGAAGAGTAGCTTGTACAACATAATGTAAAATCTATCCATGATTTAAAGTCAAATGGAATTTTTCCATCAAAAATCTCCAATCTGAAAAGATAACATACATAATCACACCTGTAAAAATGACAAAATGCATGGAGGACCATAACAATTTTTTGAGAAAGTTAAAGAAATCTATAAGATTTTTCTTCATGAGAAAGTTTACAACCAATCACTAATGAATAAGTCCTAGGTTTGGTAAAATATGTGAGTGTTTGAACCATGATGATGATCTGGTTATTCATGATATATACCAACCTGAAGGCACCAAAACATATACTTCCAGCTATGTAGTAGATACAGTAGAATGTGAAGAGGCACTTTAATAAATTCACCACAATGTCCTGCAATGTAAAGTAAAATGTGAACAGATAAAAGCGAAGAATATAAATTTAGATAAAAGTCATTACAAAGGTTGTTTGTCTTAGCAGTTTTTCTAGTTCCTTAATCAGACAACACCTATTCCAAAATATTACTACCAGATTGTTATTTTTGCTAATTTTTATTTGTAAATGTTCTATATACTGTACATGTATAATTGACATTTATTTAAAAAGTGACAGAGTGTTTGACACATACCAAATGTAGCATTCATTTGATATATGGTCTGCTGATGGTGATATTGGGTGAACATTCTGGAATATTTTGAATGTAAAATCAAAGAGATTTACATCAGATCTATGTTCCTTATTTTCAAAGGTTACATTGTAAGTAGTAAGCTTCTATATAAAGTCGTTATTATATATACATAATCTTACTATTACATTGTACTTTTCCTAGGCCTATAGTACCTGTACATTGTATAACTGAATAGACACAATTTCTCTCAAATGGTATTTCATGTTCTTCCTGATATAGCCCATGATTAGATCTACTTACAAGAGAAGTGATGTCTTTCATTGTTCATCATTCTTTCATTTTAGTTGTTTAGCTCAATTACATCATTCGTATTATTTATGTATTACAGCCGGGTAGCAGTAGTCAGGTTCACTAGACGGAAGGTCAGGAATGTAAAATCTTCACTCATCAAATCTATTTGATGTGGACTTCCGGATCTTTTCAATCTAAAGATATTTTATGTTTTCTCTAATAACTACTGCATTATTCCATCGTGTAACCTGAAACAAAGCAATATGGAACAAAACTTGTTTTGAATATGTAATATAAATCATGTATATATTTCATACAGCTGCACCTATGGCCACATTATGTTGATTTTACCATTTTGAAATGTATTCCCGCCATCTTGGTGACCTAGTTCTAAATAGTGCGAAAAAGATTAATCCGCCTATGCATGTACCATGATTTTAAATGCAGCTGGACGAGCGTCATTTAATTTTTTCAGTGAAATCTTCATTTCATACCTTTGTTTGTCTTATACCATGAAACAATTCATCAGAAAAATATAAATATTGCCGTTGTTTGCCTCAATTTTTCACGTCGCCAACTTTTGTAAATTTTTTTTAACAAAGTCAAAATGGTCAAAACGCGGCACAGTATAGGCATAGACGAGGAAGCGGTTTCTGCTTTTGACACAATTGGTAGTCGGAGTAGTCGTAGAAGGGCCAAAACTGACCGAGACATCAATGTAAGTATTGAAATAACCACTCAAACTGAAAATTTTCATTGTGTAAATTGGCGCCCATTTTTATTTTTCAAAACAATTACCCGAGGACCGCTTTTAACTCCACCGTAGCACATGAAACAGCATTAGCATCTAATATTCTTGTACGAGCTCCAAGTGATATTACATTTTCAATATTCTGGGACACCCCTTTTCCTTATATGGTGCCAACATAATTAGCCAATCGACAAGGCCAACAAATCTCTGTCATTGAGTAAACATGTATTTCAAGTACATGTATTTAGACTATCAAACGTTGTCTCACCACTAGTTTAATAACATGAGTTGATTTTAGAAATCGAATCCAAGAAGCCTGTATTTCTTGGTGATAAATTTCAAGTACATGTTATTATTTAGGAGTATGTAAGTGATGCAAGTGGGCCGATTGAAGAAAATCCACCCTTGAGGTCCATGCGGAGGAGAGCCCAACAGTCACATGTGAAGGAAGAACATGTGCATAATGCGAGTCCTGGCAGTGTCAAAGTCGAAACAAGGAGGATAACCAGGTAGGAATATCAACTGCTCTCATTGAAGAATGGAGATTCAAGACTTTTAAATGGTGAACTAAGTTGGTAAAACTGCTGAATCAGCAAAATCATTTCCTAAACAGTGGATGAAATTTAGAATTATACCATAATTATGGATCTTTGAGTAAAAATAAAAGCCTGTATTATACTCTCTGTGCCCGTTTAAAAAAAATCTGCTGAGTAATTAATCATATTTATACCATAGATATTACATGTATGTCAAAAATGGTTAATTTGATCTGTGACCTCAATATGTGCCATTATGCAGTTGTTGTTAGGTTTATGCAACCTCACATGCAGGTACTTTATTCATTCTTATAGGAGATCAAAGGGAGTTGAGGAGCCTGTGTGTTTGGATGACGCTGAAGAATATGTAGATGGTAAGTCAGTTACACAACTAAAGGTTTATTCCTAGTAAAGTTATCTAGGAGTCCTAGGGTTATTTTTACATTTTACACTCACAGTTTTCATTTTGAATTATTTGGTTTGAATTTGCCAATTTGTCTTGCAATAATTTCAAATTCCCTCTATATTACTCAAAATATATTGTAGAAAATTGAAATATCATGCCTCTGTAATTTCTAAATCTAGTGAGTAATGGCCAAAATAGTGGTAGATAGCACATTGCAATTTTATCTAAATTCCTGTAAAAAGATTTTTACTGATTTTTTTTAAAAATTATGTTATTCAGAGGAGGTTGTCCTATCTCCACAAAGAAAACGAGTCAAGAGACGACGTTCCTCCAACGAACGTCACGATTCATACATCCGGCGTAGTGGGAGGCAAAGGAAGCTCCAGTATGAATCATTCAACACCACATTGATAGAACATCAGCAGATGGTAACTGGTATAAATTCAAGAACAGACTCCCCAAGGAAACTTAAGAGACGTTTAGAAGATGAAGCTGAACAAGGTGAAGGAGAGGAGGAAGAAGAAGAGGTAAAAACATATTCTTAAGTATTAAGGGTTGATCTTTAGTTACATTTCTTTGTACATGAAGTATGAGTCACATATATGATTTGTATAGCTGGGAATTATGTGAACTTAGCAATGTTTATGTGTATGAAATAATTTTATACAAGATTCTGAACTGATTTTAGTTGTCTGGGTTCTTTGTAGTTTTGTATCTTCTGAGGGATTATTTTTCCTCCGAAAAAATCTGAAAATACAAGTACATTGCTGTCAAGGAAACACTTTGTAAATACTTTTCAGAAACAATTTTGAAAAACTTAACACCTATAAATCACCTTTAATAAGTTCATACAACACCTATAAATCACCTTTAATAAGTTCATACTCCTGCTTTTAACAAACAAAAAAATAAAGTATTTAAAAGTACATGTTTTGAAAACACATATTCCATAAATGGTCCTTTTTCTACTCAAATGTTGCACTTTCACAAAAGTCATGGTTGGTTGGTCTCCATTTTATTTTACCTCCAATGTTTGATTTTGCAGAAAGAGCCATCTATGTACACAAGGGTAAAGAGAGTCAGGAAGCAAGTGAAGCGAGACATGTATGGTGTGCCTATAACTGAGAACTCCACAGAGGAAGATAGTGATGACAGTGAAACAGAAGGTAAATCTTCAACTGTATTATTACATTTTTAGTACATTTTTCAAAAAATGATAAGTAGAAATTAGATGATACGTATGCATTCAAAGCTACATTGCCAGATTAAAATCATATTTTGGAATTAAAAATAAAAGATATTGTAATTTTTGAGACTGTTTACATTTTTATAGCACAATTGAGCTATATTGTAATCAGTTTATTCCTTTATTTAACGAATGAACAAATCCAAATGCTACTATTTGGAATGTGTATTATATTTCAGAGTCAAGCTCTTCAAGTGAGGAGGAAGAAGAACAAGACCAAGGCAAGAAATACAACTTGCGGGAAAGTAGACAAAAAACACAACATTTTGAAATACCAATAGGTGAGTCTCTTATCTTGAAAGTAAAAACAGTACTGAAATGAACTTAGTCCAAACATAATGTTGACCTTTGTATTGTAAATGTATTTTTTAATTATCCCACAAAATGAAGTTTGGGAGGGATTAGAGGAGCTGTCGAGTGGTTTGCCTGTCCATCTGTTCTTTCATCTCTCTTGGGTTCAAATTTCATGTATTAATACCTTGGGAACAGAGGACTTTCAAGAAATTTTTTTCAAGGCAGCCTCAGATTTATAGGCTAATGTGTTATCGCAATAAAACTTCTACTTAAGATTGAATTTCCAATATGGCTGCTCATTCCAAAATGGCTGTCATTTTTGTAATAAAATATAATGTTTGGTAAATCAAGTACCTGCTGTCAGATTTGATTAGATTTTACGTGCTGATGCCTTTTGGACAAAGGGCTAAGAAGGATTTTTCAAGGTGGCTTTTAAATAGGGGTGAGACGACAACCCGATGAGTCGAGGACTCGCGGGTTTGGGGCTTCGAGTCGAGTCGAATCGAGTCGAAGTTGATGAATCGAATCATTTTCGAGTTGAGAAAAAAATTCGAAAAAATAAAAAATTCAGAAAAATACTGTCAATATGCATGTTTTTACTCGATATTGCGTTGAATATATAAGTTTCAATGACTTGGATATGCTTGTATTAAATTATTATATTATATGTACACATAAATGAAAGAATATATGTAATAAAATCAGAATAAACTTACGACAAATTGTGTTTGTTTATATTTCCGGCTTTCCACCATTGACGCATTAAAAATACGAACGGTCAAAAGCGATGTTGTTCGCACTTCGCGCGACTCGAAACGGATTCGAAACTCGAATCGTCATTTTCTGACTCGAATCGGATTCGACTCGAATCGGATTTTTTCGACTCGTCTCACCCCTACTTTTAAATAAGTAATGGTCACATTTTTTAGAATGAATATAATTTCTGATTATTCTAAGTATTGATTTTGGTCCAAAACTGATGCCTTATGGGCATAGGAGCTCTCCCCTAGAACGTATTTGTAATATTGTCAAATCACTTCATGGATGTAGATTTTGCCAAAAGGAGACAATACTTTTGTCTGGATATTTCTATCATAATGTTCAAAATGACTAGTGATTTGAATAAAATGTTTCATCAGGTGGGATTTGCTACTCACTGGTGTTACTACAAGTATTTTTATTCTAGTTAATGTTTCTTCTTTGTGTAGAACCCCAAAGGCCAAGGATGCGTTCCAACACAATATTTGGTAGGTCCTCCACACCCCCACTGAGGAGACGCAGAACACAGCAGATAGCTCACCAGTCTCCCGCTCTCAGGAGCCCTTTCAAAAGAAGGTATTTCTTTTACTCTTTTTCCAGAAATGTCACAAGAGATAACCTATACCATTGACTATGGAACATTGTGAAGGATTTATCTAAGGATAAATGCTGTTTTGGTGGGAATTTTTATAAAATCACTGGAACTCTAGACAGCCACAAGTTACCTTTTGTATGGATGTATGTATCATTTATTTGCATCTAAAATAAGACAGTTACAACAGTTTGCTTCACTTATCAAAGGGATATATAATAATATAATTAGGGAACAAGATCAAGATCCAAACATTGACCACCTATTATATGCTATCCAATTAAAACTGCTGGTTGCCAAACTTATGGAGGAGAGTGGATTATTATATATTCAAGGTTAAGTAAATTAATTTAAAAATTGATTTCTATATAGGAAGAAGAAACGTACAACATTCCACTCTCATGGCAGTGATTCTACTAGCAGTTCAAGCTCCAGTTCTAGCCCAGGAAATTCCAGTGATGATGAGAGGCGATTTGAGAAGAGAAAATCCAAGAGTATGGCAAAATCTAGACAGAGGTGAGCATGGTTAAATATTCAGACTTTGCCTGTTTTATCTGAGAGCCTGGTTATAAAGTTTTACCCATTTAAAGAAATATTTTGAACATTTATTTTGATTGAAATTTGAAACTGTGTAATGGAATATTTGTAGGTGCTTGCCTATGAACTTTGACAAAGATGACCTGACGCAGACAACACTAAGAGACAGAGCAAAGATTGGGGCCAGTATGGCGGACATTGACCCAATGAACGTAGATAGATCAGTAAGTAAAACATTGGTTATGGGTTAATATCACATGTTATTGTCCAAACAAAAAAGTTCAGTAGGTATAGTAAAGCCCTCCATTCATCCCTCAGTCTTCCCATCTGTATATATCACAAGATGCCCAGAAAATAAAATTCAAATACTCAAGACAAATTTTTCATCATATATATGATGGAGTGATGTTTGTTGATTAAAAGTTTTACCCTTTTATTCCCTATCATGGGGGATGAAAATATTTTCTAACATTAAGTGATTTTTAGGCTTTTATGCATAACTATCTGAGCCACAGAAAAGTGTATTTGATATATAAAACATTTAGTGTATTCATTGGTCATTTGATGTAATATACTTCATATTAAAATTTCTTTTTCCAGGTTGATTTTGCTTCAGTTGGTGGATTAGGGAAGCACATCAGATCATTGAAGGAGATGATAGTCTTCCCCCTGCTTTACCCTGAGGTGTTTGAGAGATTCAAGATTGCCCCTCCCAGAGGAGTTCTCTTTTATGGCCCTCCAGGTGAGAAATAATAAGACTTATAAATTATACAATAATGAGACCTTATTAATCATACAATAATCAGATCCCCTTCTACAATTATGCCATAAAATTGAACTAACTGATGGAATTTTGATTTAGGTACTGGTAAAACTTTGGTGGCCCGAGCATTGGCCAATGAATGTAGCACTGGAAATCGTAAAGTTGCATTCTTCATGCGTAAGGGAGCTGATTGCCTCAGTAAATGGGTCGGAGAATCTGAACGCCAGCTGAGACTGCTTTTTGACCAGGTATTTTTTCTTGAAGCTGTTTTTATCAAATCTTTTGTTCTACAGAAACATTTATCAAGAGATGTTTTTGTTATTCAAACAAACATCAAATTATTTGATTATGAAACCAACTTTTATTCAATTATCAACCATCAAATATTTTGGCCTGATTCCTGAGCTAGGATAATATTTTTGATAATATTAAATTTTAATTAATTTTGGTACATCTCTTACCTAACTACATGTATTCTTCAATTTATAGTAATTAGAATATAATTAAAATACAGAATGTTTACATCAAAATTAATTTTTGGTTTAGATTAAAAATTGATTTATTTACTTTTGGCAACTCATTTAATGGCACACCCTGTTCTTCAGTCCCACAGAATCTATCATAGAATAAAGTTTATTCAATTTTATTCAATAAACCCAAAATTCAATTCCTCTGCTCGAAACATTGAAAACAAGTAATTCTGGCAAATTCTTCTTTGTAGGCCTATCAAGTTCGTCCATCCATAATCTTCTTTGATGAGATAGATGGCCTTGCCCCTGTGAGATCCAGCAGACAGGACCAGATACACAGCTCAATCGTGTCCACTCTCCTTGCCCTCATGGATGGCCTGGACAGTCGTGGAGAAATAGTTGTCATAGGAGCAACCAATAGAATTGATTCCATAGATCCTGCTCTCAGAAGGCCAGGAAGATTTGATCGAGAATTCTTATTCCCTTTGCCATCTTTAGAGGTAAGTTTGTTTTGAACTGGAAATACATGTATCTTAAAGGACACACTCAGTGTATGCTCTTGGTAAATCTTAATAGAGTTAATGTGATTTTAAGTGTTATTCTATTTTATTGTATGTATTCTTATAAACTGTTGAATTCTCTTAATTTTCAAGGCAAGAAAGCAGATCCTACAGATTCATACCAAAGAATGGAACCCAAAACTGTCTGATTGCTTTTTGAGTGAAGTTGCTGAGAGGACAGTAGGTAAGTAAATATGTCTTGCATTCTTGTTGTTACGCCTTGACAGTGCCTCAATCTAGTTAATGATATTTCACTAAGCATACTTTTTGATTTAGTAGTTTCACTTATATCCTTCATATGTTTCTCATTACAGGTTATTGTGGAGCAGACATTAAATCCTTATGCACAGAATCAGCCTTGCATGCTCTCAGGAGACGCTACCCTCAGATATATACCTCAAATGAGAAGCTCCAACTAGATGTTACCTCCATAGATCTAACTGCCAAAGACTTCCATACATCTATGCTAAACATTGTACCCACAGCCCAGCGCTCTGTTACCTCTCCTGCCAGGGCCCTGTCCGTTACCATTGAACCATTGCTCAGGGTTACATTTAATAAGACAATGGAGTCTCTCAGAAGGATGTTTCCACCAGCTCTTGCTAAACTTGCCAGTTTAGACACACCGGGTATGTAGCTTAGATGCAATCTCTATAAACTAGAAGTTAAATGTGAAAACAGCTTCTTAAGTGAAAGATTTGTACATGAAATTAAGACATTGATGATAACATCTGCTTCTCACATACATGACTACTCATCTTTTATAGCACCTAGTGGTTCAAAGGATGGAGAAGGGGATGCTGCTAATAACAGCAGTTCGGGCAGTGAAGATGATGAAGATGCGCCATCTATCTATGACGCATCCACCCAGGGAAAAGGACGTAAAAGACGCATTACTAATGAACTCACAGCTGGTCCATTTTTGGATTTCACAAAGTAAGTATTTAAAGTATATTGTATGTAACAAAATCATATACAAGTTATTGTATTGATCAATTCTATTATATTTTGAGATCTATGTAAGACGCAATAAATAGTTTAACTCCCAATTTGCAATGAGTGGTTATCTGCTTCCAGAGCTGCGTACAGCACTCCTACAACATACAGACCTCGGCTCTTGTGTACTGGCCTTCCAGGTCAAGGTCAGAGCAGCCATCTTGCCCCTGCCATCTTACATCAGTTTGAGAGACTTCCTGTCCATATCTTAGATCTGCCCTCTCTATATGCCAACAGTGCAAAGACACCAGAGGAGGCTTGTGCTCACGTATGTACTGTATTTATTATTTATTCAGTAGGAAGCTTGTGCTCACGTATGTACTGTATTTATTATTAATTTGGTAGGAGGCTTGTGCTCACATATGTACTGTATTTTTTTTTCTCATATGACTAACCAAGATACAGCCATCTTTACCCCATGCAAGATATTGCCATCTTTCATCTTAAAAAGTCACACGTGTAAGATGAGATTTACTTGTGACATCACCGGTCTATAAACATCAACAACATAGCAACAAATACACCGTTGCTACTAGTATCCATGCTCATTCTACAAAACTAAGCTGTGACGTCATAACGATGGAGCTTTGTTGCCTCGTGTATCCATGTATTTTCTACAATATTGTTATGACGTCATAACAATTGAAAGATGAAGTTCCATTAATCTGAAGCTATTTTGCACCCAGTTTTGTCATGAAGACGTGAAAATAAAGCATAATACAGAGTCATATGAGAAAAACTTTCTTGTACTCGTACCTGTGCAATATCGTCCATTCTTGACTCGCTTTGATAATGTTTCTTTATCTCGTCTGCGACTCGATAAAGAAGAATTATCAAAGCTCATCAAGAATGGACGATCTTGCACAAGTACTCATATAAGAACCTCTATTTATTAATTTGGTAGGTTATGTATTGCCATTGCCATTAGGAAAGGATGTTTCAGAACAAAAATGTTGGCACATTTTGAGCCAAAATGTGAATTGTGTATGAATAGAATAGTATAGATGTTCAGTTTATAAGCAGACTTACCAAATAGCTAAAATATTAGTTGTTGGTTTTCAGATTTTTCAAGAAGCAAAGAGGACATCGCCAAGCATTATCTACCTACCTCATGTCAACCAGTGGTGGGATATAATACCAGAGACACTAAAGGCCACATTCTTGGCTCTCCTGCAGGACCTCAACCCTTCCTGCCCCATTCTACTACTGGCCACCAGCGAGGAACTCTTCCAACATCTACCTCATCAAGTAAGATCATTTTTCAGGTTGTAAATTATCAGTAGCAAAAATTGCTTCAATAACCACAACTGGTTTAATGTGGCGTAAATAAAACTATAACTTGTACTTGAATATTACATACTCTTTGGGATATATGCTACGTCATGGGTGTAGATTTTGCAAAAACAATACTACTGCATAGTTATATCTATCACCAATTCATGAGTTAATATGTTTTGTTTGCGGTTGGTTGGGATTGCAACCTTGAGCAGTTGCTGTTTCTCTAGAATAAAAATGACCACTTAAATATGTCGAGAAATTATGAAAGTAAAAATTAAAAGTATCTGTTTATTCATACCAAAATGTTTTAAAAAATGTGCACTCTTGTGAAGTGAGACTCGTGTCACATAAGATTTATTATTTACTCATGCTTCAGATTCAACTGCTGTTCAGTGTTAACTCAGGGGAGGTCATTCACATGTACAATCCCAATGCTGATGAGAGAAGAGCATTCTTCCAGGACCTATTGCTCAATCAGGCTTGCAAAACACCAAAACGAAAACTAAGAAAAAGTAAGTATTATCACAAATTAAGTTTGAAACACTACCGTACACATACATGGTCTTTCATGTCTCACTATTTTAATTATCAGGAATTTTTTTATAATCACAAATTGAAATTTGTGCAAATAAGTATGATAATATAGAACTGATTTGCACCTCTTGCCCAGGTTACCAAAATATTGAAATGTTTCTTCCAGCTAGTAGCCTAGAGGTCCTTCCCTTAGCTCCACCCCCTGAACCAAGGAAACTTTCCGAAAGAGAAATGAAACGCCTCCATAACCAAGAAGAGGCTACACTCCGTGAATTACGGCTCTTTATTCGTGACGTCATTAACAAGTTGGCCCGAGACAGAAGGTTTAATATCTTTGCAAAACCTGTGGATCCAGAAGAAGTATGTTTTAGCACTTTCCATGAATTAAAGCTACACTGGTGTTATATTTATTGTTGCCTCTTCTTTTGCTAGTATTTTGGGGAGGCTGGGTACATTTTTGATTTTCTGACCTATAACCTTGTGTGTTAAGTCTTGTTCAAGCATTTTCAGCTCTACCGTTTTGCTCTTTAAAGTGCAATATTTATCATGGTGTGCTCTGTAATATATGTAAGGTTTCATTATGATATGAAACCACTCAAAACAACACAGACACCGTTTATTTGCTGATTGATTCTCTAACTTTCCAGGTAGATGACTATTATGATGTGATCAAAACACCAATGGATTTATCCACGATGATGTCAAAGATTGACTTACACAAGTACCAAACTGTCAAAGATTTCCTAGATGATATAGATCTGATCCGCAGCAATGCTTTAGAATACAACCCAGATAGACATCCTGAAGGTAAGTGAAATATGTAGTATTTAGTAATATTTTAGAGTACAACCTGGACAGACACAACTTACACAAGTGGGTGAAATATCCAGCATGCCCATTGCCCTAATTTAGCTATGGAAAATTTAAGGGAAGAACCATGTCTCTAAAAGTAAAGCATTTTAATTGAGAATTGGTTCCATTTCTTCCTATGAAAACCTAAAGCTGAATAGCTATTGTGGGGAGTTGCTGTTGTTCTAATTTCTGACTCTGACACAGTTGATTTTAAATTCAAATAGGCAAAACAAGCATTTGTTTGATTCTACAGTACTTGAGATTTATGTAAAAAGTGAAACAAACTAAACGACAGCAAAATGTTACCATATTTGATCTGTTTATTGCAGATAAGGCTGTGCGCCACAGGGCATGTGCACTCAGGGACCTTGCACACTCCATAGTTGATGCAGATCTAGACAGGGACTTTGAACGACAATGTGAGGAGATCGCTGAATCAAGGGAAAAACGAGGTGTGCAGCCACTGTTTTTTCGTTTTTGTCATTATTACACATGTATTTACACATCACCTAAACGAATCATTTATTAGCTAACAAACAGAAATCTAAATCGTCAAGTTACAGATAATTATATTCATAAAAAATTTGTCATGTATTAAATTCAGGTACATTTGTGAATTGATAAATTCAAAGTAATTGCTATTTTTTTTATAATGCATCCATTTAGGAATTGCCCCGAACCTAGTTAACTACATTGACTTAGTCTTCTCTTTACCCATAAATATATTTCTCTATTGTTTTCATGTAATACAACTTTCGAATGTACCAAAGGAATAAGATTTAATAAACCATGAAAACATTTCAGGTCCTTCTCTTCCTGAGACTGCCCCTGCTTTCTACCATGTAAAACCAATACAGAACCCCCAGGCCTCACAAGCCCCTAAACCACCCCCAACTATACCCCAGCCAGACAGATTCTCTCGTCGAACCCGGGGGTTGAACGCTATTCAGGAAGCCCAGGAAACCACTCCATCTACCTCAACAGGTGGCGCTACTACTTCACATCAACGCTCACACCCAGCATCTGCCCCTGTAATACGATCTCGCATACATACCCCCGGTAAAACCCCACTGACTATTCCAAAACCTAAAAAGCAAAAGAAATGCATATGGGCATCATCGAGTAGAAGAAATAAAAGGAGAACTCACTGGGCTAGTCGTTTTTGGGCAAAAAGACGTGCAGAAATGGCTGAGAATGAACCAGAAGTAGACCAGGGTATAGAAATTGATGATGGCATGGATATTGATGAACAGGATGAAACCAAAGATTTGAACACAACTGAAGAAATAGTCATTCTTGACAATGATCTCAATGAAACCATAAAGACTGCAGGTACATCTGAAACCACTGCTGATGTATTAAAACCATTACAAATAGACACCTCAAATAAAGCAACTGACATTAAAGAATCAGCATTAAATTCGCCAAGTACTCGATCTAAGGGACTATCCCCAGTAGCTCTTTCCCCAAATACACGTTCCAGAGCTAAGTCCCCGATTGCTCAATCTCAAGGTTGTAAATCACCAGGAGGCCATTCTCCAATAACAAAGTCTCCCCGATCTCTGCGAGCCAAGTCACCAATTGGGTCACAGAGAGTACAGACAATTATAGAGAGTGATCTATTAATAAAAGACTCTGAAGATTCCAATGATACCAAAGCAAGCTCAGGGACCACAATTTCCAGGGATGACAGCGGTATTTGTAGTGCACAAGAGAGTAATGGAGAAGTCCTAGAAAAACCAAATGAACCACAGGTAGGTTGATGCATGCTTGACATTTTTGCATATTCCCATGAACTGCTTCACTCCAGTAATTATAATAGCTGGCAACGAGTCATCTTTTCTAGATGTTGTGTTTCAGAATCAAAAGTATATTAAATAGAGATTTTCATTATAAAGACCATGGTCCTTTGATTGGATATTGTTTAGGTTTAATTCACAAAAAGTGATTTTGACTGAAGGTTATCAATCATCCTATATTCCAGGAAGAAGTCAAGCAAAAGGAAGCTGAGGTGGACGTTGTCATGGCAACACCACAGACACATGAGACACCCAAGAAAAATAATGAAGTGACTGAAGTTTCATCTGAATCTAAAGGTAGTGTCTAAAGAACATGATTTGGGGAAAACTCCAAAATTTCTACTCACCAAAATATAATCTCTAACTTCTAACTTTTTCTTGCCACTTGATCAATTACCAAAAAACAATGTGTCGTGGATACACATACTTAATATGCAGAAGTAGCTTTAGTGCTTGTCTGTAACAGTAGATGTCAAATGTTATTTGCAATATTATACAACAAATTGTACAGCCTTAAAATCAAGACCAACATTGAAACAAAGCAAAATACTGATTAGTTGAACAAAGGCCTGTAGACATTTGGGATTAACAGTTATATGTATACTCTTTATATTTCGAAACTTAGAAAAGCCAATTGTTAAAACTGAAATTGAATGTGATTATTGCTCTTTCTCAGAGTCCACACCAGCAATGAGGATGACACGAGGACGCCTGCACCAAAAGGAAGTTGAGAAGGCACATGAGCGGTTATACCTTCCTGCTCAACCTTTTGTCATTGATCGAGACAGACTGAGGTACATACTAGAGCAGACTGTACATATCACCAAGGACTTCATCATTGAAGACCTAGAGAGGGTTCACAGTAAATATAGCCAGTGTATATATCAACATAGGAAGGCTCATGATAGGACCCAGCTGTTAGTGGTAAGTAAATTGTAAACGTCGATGTTAAGGTCGTTTTGCACTTCCAGAAAATTGAAAAAAAAATTGGAGGAAATGTCAGTAACCAACACCAGAGTATAACAGCTAAATGTTGAATTCTCAAATGCTAAACTGACTTATCTGAATAAATATCTCTGTAATTTCATTTATTTATTATATGCAACACTAGATATGTCATTCTTGATTTTCTCTTCCAGGATCTGGAAGAAGCAATGAATATGTTTGCAAAATGAGACAACAACATCCAGGGATATCCTGATGGCATTTAAAGTTATTCTATGCAGGGATATTCATATAATATATTGCCTCAGAGAATCCTAAAATGCATTTACATGTAATCAACCATGACAATTGTAAATACTCAATGTTATCTTGTGATTCCTGTTTTTGTAAACCTGGTGTTATGAAATTTTAAACCATGATATGTGTGAAATGTGATCACTTTTCTAATATGTTCAGGGATTTTAACCAGTTACTGAGCATTACTGTACTTTTAATACAATTTTATAAGCTGCTTATTTTAAGCAGGAATTTGTTTTACAAATTACTGAATTTTAAAACAATTAATTACGATAATTATCTAATCTCGGAACAATCTTCAGGGAGATATAGAGAATGCCTTTGTTAGGCCTAATCCATCTGGGCAATAACTCAAATACCTCTGGTCTGATTTTGTTAATATTTTATAGTGTATGGCCGATGTGATTTCATGTTCTGTTCCAAAGCTGATTTTGAAATTGGCTCCTTGTTTCAACATTTTAGTGCCAATTTTACAATATTTCATTATATTTCATCCTGCTCATTAACTTATATAATTATAATTTGAAATGATTTATGGTGTTGATTTAGTCCGAAATCAAGTTTTTCCAAAAAGTGTCAGGTGGCCGGCCATCTTGGAAAATGTTGTTGATAAGATGTTAAATGGGATTTGCTACACCTTGGCATTGCTGTCATACAGTTTTTTTGATGTTTTATTTCTAGTGTGCAGTACCGTATTATGGATGCTGTGTGCTAAGATTAATTCTTGTTTGATGTTTTTGTAATCAAATTGTTTAGACATCAGGGATTTGATACAAATAGTCACGTCCATAGTCCCATCATGGGGATACACTCAACAGTATTGCATTTAAGAGTGTATAAAGAAAATGTGAGTCCTGATTCTGAACATGTATATTGTCGCTTGCAATGTCTTGTCTGTACACGTCAAAAGCAAATATACATGATATATCAGTCTGCATGCTTAATTCTTGTAGTTTCCATACATGCCTAGAAAAATACATTTTGTGAATCATTTAAAATGCAACAGGTATTAAACTAATGAAACATGTATTCCATTACTCACTGCCATGTTCTCCACTCACTGAGCAAGTCTATGAGAAATTTTATTTAAGGTTTTGAGTAGAATTCACATATTTTCATGAGTTCCCATCTCTATGTTGTCAAGTTTTCATGTATCAAATGTTCTAAATGTTTTGAAGTGAAGTGATATTTTGTATGTAAATAACTCAAATAAGTTCTTGCTCAATAAGACTTCAATTTTAAAAAACAATAAAATCTTTTATCTATTATTTACTTTTTTGAGTGATTTTTTTATACTTCTATATGTGCAAATGACACATTGTTTTTGGTAAATCATTGGCAAGTTTGAGAAATAATGACGTGCATTTTGTCTGATATTTACAATTTTCTTATTCGTAATAAACTATGTACATTTGATGAGTTGGAATCTCATTTTAAAGTGATTAAAACATGTGCATAAATTATCATTATGTTAAACTGTTAAAGGGGGAACTCAATACAGAAGAATGTAAACCGGTTTAAAATAAACATGTAATTCTTACTATGTATATATTTGTGTGAATATTGTAATGTAAATATTGGTGATGTACAGTTTATATGTTATATTTATCATACTTGGATGTATTGAATCAACAATTTGAGAATTCAAAATAAAGGTTATATATTGGTATTTATGTGAGATTTGACTTTTTATACTGATGTTTCAAAGAAGTACGCTGTTCATGTTTGTAAAATGATATCAACAAGTGCTTCAAACTGCCTCAAACAATCTGGTTGAAATAGGGGAGCATTTCAATAGTTCAATGTAGGATTAATAATTAATAACTCTTTTTCAGAGTTAATCTGTGTCCCCCTCCCCTGATAAATCTTTGAGAAATGTTGATAGTCACACTATATTTAACATAACATTAATATGGTAATATCTATTAACTAAATGGAAATTGTGATATTGCTTCTAGAGTTGAATCTTAGTACACAAGGCTAGTGTTTAACAATGCAGATATCTGTTCCATGCTGCTGAATTTGCAGCTTTCCAATGGTACCTCCATATCCAGAATGTGATTACTTTCTCTGCCTCTTGACGTACCTTCCCTGCGTTTGATCATGTGTTATAATTTAGCAACACCCAAGTGGCCCAATCTCTGGTAAAAGATTTTCTAAATAGAAATCATAAAATTATGACAAATGGATTAACAGAATATCCTTACTCTCGATAAATGTAGATTTACTTTTCATAGACCAAACATATGACAAAGCATAATCAAATCTTGTATTAAAAATATTAAAATGTTGCATTTAGGGTTTAAATTTAAATTCATTAAAATCATTTAAATTAAATTTAAATCTCCATGAATTCATGTTTCAATAAATTATGTCTCAAAAGTGTAATTGAATTCAAATCATGGTTATATTTTGGGTGAAAACTGGGTGAACACTTTCATGTATACAGGATGAGCCAAAAAACAAATGTTAAAAACTCAGCAATCCAGTATGAGTTCAAGGCCATGTTTTGCAGGATTGAACCTTGTTCAATGTTCTTCCATTCTGTAAAGTGTCTGTTTCATGCTTCAAATGCCAAAATCGCCCAATATGACCAGAAGAATTTCATCTTTGTGGCTATTTCAAAGATAATGGAGAGTTTAAGCTAGTATATAAAATCGAAATGGCGACATATACAGTCATATAAATTGCCCATATACATATAGCTTCCTCACCTAAATAGCTGTCGGGCTTCAGTGTTTGTTTAGACGACACCGCAGTGTCTGCTATGCATCATGTAATACACCATTGGTAGTTCTATAGCTGGTTTTCTGATACATCGAGCTCGTTTGGTAAGATAGTCCGAGCTAAAACATGCATGACATCATCTTCAGAAAGAATTCTACTTTGTATCGAAATCAAAATTACCAGCCAAGTATGGCAATAGACACCAGTGTAATGATTCCCGTTGAGACCAACGTGAAATTTGGAATCTCACGTTCTGAACACGAAACTCTGAAGCTGAACAGGTATCTGTAGTAGACTAATTAGCCCTTGTTTTGTATGTGCGCTATACATTGCTATATTGATTCATGTACTTTCCGTTCACTGTTGCGTTGTGAAAAACATTGCTTAAACTCTCCAGCATCTATATAAACAACCCTAGAAGCATCTGAGAGTTGAAACAAGAGGTAAGAAGGAAAATGAGAGCTATTATGAAGATATCTGTGACCATATAGTCAAAACAACTTCACCTGACACGTTCAAGTTTGCCTCCAGAGATGAGACCAGCATTTTGAGCATGTTTTGTAAAATGGCCATGGAATCGTGACCATTTGAAGCAGACCAATGAAACTTGGTTGAATGAAAGAACATTGAACAAGGTTGTACTAAATATGACTTAAAACCCACAGTGGACAACTGATTTATTAACATTTATTGGGTTACCTTTTTTGGCTAACCGTGTATAACAACCCCTAACATGCATGTTCGCATTCCCATTACACATCTAATAATAAACAAAAATACATTTTGTTTTTTAATTAAAATTCTTTATTCACAGGTACTATAGTTTACTATTACATAGTTTAGAAATCTAGATTCTATATATTGTTAAATAGTTCACAGTGTCTAAGACATTAGTTAGCTAAATGCAAAGCGTATTAAAATATACATCACTTCAACACAACCAATCTTCTTCATTAATGCACAGAGACATGAAAAATGCACCAAAAATAGATATTTACTGCTATAATGTTTCTCATTCTCTAACCAGGGAAAAGGGTATTTAAAAACTGTAAAAAATATTTGATCTTCATAACAAGGAACATATATGGTCTTCATTCTGGAGGAGGGATATAAAATATGGAGTATTGGAAAATATTCATTTTTCAAATTGAGGCTCATGTATCTACCAATTAACAGTATGCATCACAGGGAAATATTACAGGATATATTATGTATTCGAACATGACTGTATTCACGCTTTCTATAAACTGTGATCTAAGTCAATATTTCAACCAGGTTATATTCGCGAACAATAACCCTGGTAATACGAGTAATGTGTGATGTCATAACGACGGCCCGTAGTTATGGCAGACTATGATGAATATTCGAAACATTTTGGTGAGTTTTCATGTTCGCATCGTAATATAGACCTCAGAGCAGGTGTCATATTGTCGAATATACCCCTTAGGGCTTTGGTCATTCGGGGAACATAAAACATTTGTGCCTAGCCCTGGGGTGCGTATTCGACAATATTACCCCTACTCTTCAGTCTATTTTTCTTAACTATTATGTTATGTAATATCATGTCATGTGATGCCTGTTCAACCAATCACAGAATGAGAACCATGATAGTGAGATAATAATACATAATATCATATGAAATTTCTCCAAAAATTGAGAAATACCTTCATGGTTGCGTTTATAGTATGCCTGATAACCTTATTGGACGTAGAACTGCACACTTAAGCATGCACTGCATTGTAATTGGAATGTTTTACACAAACTATACTAATATATAATAATATATTTGGAATCTTGTATAGCCTATATGGATCTGGTATAATAAATAAGAAAATAAATACACACAATGGTCCCTTGGACAGTTAGTGTTATGGACATATCCTATACTTGATAAGAAATCTGAAAGTTAAAGTTTTGGTGATGCACCAAATCCACCAATAGAGTTTGCTGTCTCATCATATGCTCTATCCAGCTATAGAAAGGATGATAGATGACATTTTATACACAGATAGATAGTCTAATAGTATCACCATCTTCCTAAAAGACATACAGCTTGTCATTTTGTCATTCTATGATAGCCTTACATCAATCAATGGGTGGTTACACTCCATACCTCTAACTTCAAACAATTTAACATTTTACCCTCTCTCATACAAGTACCACACATGGTACATGTGGTAAAATAGACTAATATAATACCAGCAGCATGTTTTTACAGATTTTACTATGAAAACCTGCTGACTAGCTTGGCAATAGTGTTAGATTTTGCCAGAAAATTTAGCAAACCTACCTCATTTCAATAAAAATAGTTTAAACAATACTGTCATATGGCAGTTCTATAATATGACCAATTGTAAAATGGCAACTCCACAGTGACAAATCCAAATGAAATAAATACTTGTTTGTTTTCCATAATTGCTGAATCCTGTTGAGTCGCCCCTTTAAACTTGGACTAAATATATATGCCACTTGTATTATGACATCAACATTCAGAGTCATCAGTTCTTCAGTGATATAACATTACATTTCCAAAGTATACATGTACAGGAGTGTATATACTATATTTCCATCAAGTTTGATGACATGACTCCAAATATAGACCCATTGCTTAATTTATTAATCACCCTAATGTATCTCCATTCCACCAGAGTATTGTACACACTGTATCTCCATTCCACCAGAGTATTGTACACACTGTATCTCCATTCTACTAGAGTATTGTACACACTGTATCTCCACTCCACTAGAGTATTGTACACACTGCACATTTCTGAACATGCACCTGTTGTACACCAGTCTGCCTGCTTCCCATACTCCCATGTGACATATTTCGATTTGTGGGATTAGTTCGTTGATCACGTCCAACGGCATAATCTGGTATAACTAGTGGTTCACTGTTTGAACTGTATCTATCACCACTTGATAAAGTCGATTGAGAATGGTTGGAATTTTTAGCATTAAGTTGTGTAATCTGGGGAGTCATTTCAACAGATTTGCGAGGTGAAGGGATAGCATATCGTGATAAGCGCTGGATAATCTCAGCATAACGCGATTCAAGATCTGCATGAATACCTGATCCTCCATGACCCCCTATACCTGCAAATATAATCAATTATTGTGTTCAGAATATGTTAGTGTGTGTCTACAGAAAAACAGAAAATCGAGTAAAACCAGTGGATACTGAATATCCTTTGTGGAAATACTAAATGAAAACACATTGCTCACATTCACTGAATAAATCAGACATAATTTTATTCCATTCGTATTTATTATTCAAAGTCACACATAACAAAATGTCAGCATAATAGGATGATGACATCACTCATATTGGCATTCATGCTAGTCAAACCCCAATTATCCATGTGTGTATGTGCAAAGTGATTCTTTAAGGAAGAAATTAGTTAAATATGACACATTAACTCCACATATTTGGACATCCATTCCCAAACAAGGCATGAACATGACAAAATATCACCACCTAATTGGTCACAATATTGTGAGTTCAAATCTGAAGTCAGATTTGAACATCTGAGAACTTTTAGATGAAGCAAGTCATTTTGAAGCAAGTTGAAAAACACTTTTTGACGTTTCTTTACCTTGGGAAGGTCATCGAAGGTCATATTTGAATTTTTGAGAACTTGAAGATAATTTTGAAAAACATTGGTCAATTTTAAGCAAATTGAACAGAGACCTCTTTGACATTGAGAAGGTCATTGAAGGTCAAATCTGAAATCAATCTGACTTGTAGATGATTTTGAAAAAACAATTGGTCAAATTGAAGCAAGTTGAAGACCTTTTTTGACCTTGAGAAGGTCATTGAAGGTAAAATCTCAGATGTAAAGGCAGATTTGAACTTCTGAAAATTTGTGAATGATTTTGAAAAACACTGAATCAGTTAAACAGAGCTTGTTAAGTTATTGGAAGTTGTACGAATTTGTGACAGAAGCAAGATACCAGACGCCACCCAACGTCACAAAAAATGGAGACCATAACAATATGTCACCACTTTTGGTGCTGATATAAAAATGTAAAGTCATTTGCACAAATAGGTCAAATAATATCAAACTAACTGTATACTTCTAAAAATTACTCTTATTCACTCATTATGCACCTCATATATCTCCTTAGATCTTCTTATATACATGTATCTTTAACTATTGAGACCTTATACTATTGTCAGTGGTAGAATCAGACTAAATATAAAGTAGTATAGTGCATGTAACTTGGCCTACCTTTCATATCTACATAGACCAGCTGAGAAAAGACAAGGGACATGCCACCTGGTGGGGGCCAGGGGACTCTGTCAAACATCACTGGAATGATAGCTTTATGTAGTAGATCTGCGAGACTCAGCTCTCTGTTGCAGTGATGGGACACTATGTACTTGGGGCTAACACATGCTATAACAACCTAAAATAAAGTATAGAAAAATATTATTCAAAAGTTCCTCACAAAGAATTGCTAAAAAATGTTCTTGATTCGAAAAAATAGTAGTGTTTATAGACACTCTTATTCCTTAGAAATATTCTACCTTGTATGAATAAATATAACATTTTCAAATAAGAATATATGCATACATATAACGAAAATAGACATTTAATCAAGCAACTGAAAAAAGTGATGCAAAATTAGTTCAACTTGTTTTGTGAGAGCAATTTTTTTATTTGCCAAGTGCACCAATAATTCATTATTTCAAATAAAAATCCTTGACTTCAATTAAAGACACATTTTACATGTAATCTACCTTTGCATTTCTTATGCCCTCATCAATTTTAGCGTTAAGTTGGTCTCCACCTCCCATTTGTCCAATATCCATCCAGCAATTGTAGCCACTTTTCTCCAGTCGATCTCGCAATCCCGTCACCTCATCTTGGATGTCCCATTGGTAGCTGATAAACACCTGAGGGGGCTCAAGCTCTGCTTCTGCAACAAACCCAATGTTATTAGGGTATACAGTAAAACATATTATATCTGAACACCACTGGTGCCGGCAAAGAGTGTTCTGATTTTGATCCACACTACATTTAGTGCGAATAGTTTACACTTCCAATGAAAGTGGTTCTATACTTCTGGCTATTAAGGGACATAACCAATATAACACAATTATTAATAAAAAAAAAAAGTATATTTTATAAGTATATTTAGAAGAAAATCAGGAAATCAAATCTTCATTTACCTATTTTTGGGGATACTTTTAGGTTGTTAATGTTTCAAGAAATGTTGAATGTCTTACAATTGGTTAGGTTTGGGGCACAAATTAATAAAATCTCCTTAGAAACATATTGGACAAAATGAAAACTGGAATGAGAATAATGGGCCTAACCAACGTCAAAATGACTGTGATAACGTCAAAGCAATAATGACTGTCGTCAGAACAGTTCACAGTGTAATTTCAGGTCATTATCTCCAGAAATGAAAAGTTATATCTTATCCCCATTAACCAAAAGTTTTCAAAAGTTGATTGTATAATTTGTATATATTCATTGATTTCTTGAAATTGTCTTTTTATTGTGTGTGTAGTTTTCTTCTTTACCAAACAGAGGAATGAGTGGGGGGTAATTGGAGACACATTAGATAAAACACATTTGAATTTTTAAACAACAAAATTTGGACTTTTTTATTTACTTTTAAATATATTCAGACTTTGTAGAGCTCAGAAAATGAGCCTTGTCTGTAAATTTCCTGAACTACTCTATTAGTAACTTATAAAAAAATTATACATATACAAATGTATTACAAATATTTTCTTAAAATCTAATTACCTCTTCCTTTTTGAATAATCTCCACGATGTCATCGCGAAACATTTGCTCCAAGTAGGAAACCATCATATCAATGGAAAGTGATGTGTTTCCACTAGTTATTATCCAATCAGCAAGCAGCATTAGACCAGGGTTGAGATCATCGTTAAACTTGTCGATTTTGAACTTTTTATATCCTAAAAAATAACATTCTTTTTAAACTGTATTTTAAAGACACCTTCTTGAGTGAACTCATTAATAATAGAAAAGAAGATCAAGTGGACAGTTTTATACAAAATTATGACTTATGAAAGTGACTAATTAGTTAAACACATGCACATGTATAATTATGAGGTACAGGGGATAGTTGACGTATAATCCTTATAAGGTAAAATTCATTAATTTGATTATATTGAACAGAACGTAAACCCGCCATGTCATCTATAACAATTAATATTTATGTGTCACATATACAAGATGTCCATAAAAAATCACACTGGTCCAGTTTCATACTTTTACATCTATCTACCAATTATCCTCATATTTGCAAACAACACATGATAGAGTCATTATATTAGAATCTGCCACCAGAGATGATTGCTCAAGTATACATATACAATTTAATAAGGACTTCATTCATAAATCTTATATGGTCATTTTGATTTTGATTTTGAATTTCTATCAGATTTGATCATACAGATAACATAATATATCAACTTTCCCAGACCCTTGTAATCTGATGGTTTAAGTGACTTTCTGTGAAAATGGCAATACAGAACTTGATATATTTAGGTTCTGGGAATTTCCAAGGACCAGGTATGAGGAAAACAATTAAGAAACCATCAAGTTACTTTATAAATATAAAACAACATCTGACAACCCATTATTGAATAAATGGAAAAAAAATCATAATACTTTGCATTTAATGAAATTGATTCCTAAAGTAGAAATTAAGTAACTCATCTTTCTAAACAATACCTAGAAACATCATTTCGGTTTTGGAGGTAATACTAAGTTAATTGTAGACAGTAGAGAGTTCTTGAACACTCTGTACTTGAACATCAATGCAATCATAATCCTAATTTGGCTGTAATCACGACGAGAAAATGTACGCTATTGATGCTATTGATGACGGTTGATAAATCAACTATTAACAACCTCAAACTAATCTGCGTAATTATCTATCACAACCTGTCATTCATAATCATATGCAGTTTATTTAAAGCGAAAGAATTTATATATAGACCAAGGAACTAAAAATAATATTTCTCCATTTCAAGCGAGTTATTAGTATATGCGATGGTTGAAGACATGACTCACTTACAATAAATCATCTAATAATTGGGAACATAGCATACAATAATTAGGACTCTTAAAAATGGTACTGAAGTAAGCAAGTCAACCTCCACATTGGAAAGTTGATTTTAAACTCCAGATATTTTAGGCTTAAGAAACTGAGATTTTATCTAAGTGTTGATCTATAACATTGAATTTCTCAAACTAACCTTCATATTATTAGTTATTATTATATCAAATTATTTAGGTCAACTAAAACAGCTTTAATTCAAACTTGATTAAAAAGGATTGGAAAAACTCTTTTTTCTAATTGAAGGTCAACTGCAAGTTAAAATTAGAAGAAATATGATAACTTTATTTAGTGGGATAACTAACAGACAGATGGCCTCTTATACAGAGACATAAAGATTAAATCAACAATGAAAATGCTCAATTTAACATGGACTTTAAATGTACATTGTAGTATAATCCCCCTTCTTCTCTTTTTTAATACATTTGTGGGGCTATTATGACCCTTGGTGACTCATGAATAGGTGACCTGAGGTCAAGGTCATTCCTAGGTCAAAAGTTAATATTTAGGTATTTGGTGATTTAAGGACTTTGGGGCTGCAGAGAAGCTTGGCTACACATGATTAGGTGACCTGAGGTCAAGGTCAATGTTCATGGTCAAGGTCATCTCAAGATCAAAGGTCAATATCTAAGTATTTGGCTTTTTAACGACCTTGAGGGCTGCTGTGACCCTTGGCGACCAATGATTTGGTGACCTGGGGTAAAGGTCTTTCCAAGGTCAAACGTCAATATCTAGATATTTGGCATTTGAAGACCCTTGAGACTTATGTGACCTTGAAGACCAATGATTGGGTGACCTGCGGTCAAGGTCATTCCAAGGTCAAAGGTCAATATCTAGGTATTTGGCATTTGAAGACACTGGAGGCTGCTGTGTCCTTGGTGACCCATGATTAGATGACCTGAGATCAAGGGCGATGTTTATGGGTCTAGGTCATCTCAAGGTCAAAGATCAATATCTAAATATTTGGCGTTTTAACGACTTTAGGGGCTGATGCGACCCTTAGTGACCCATGATTGGGTCACCTAAGGACAAGGTCATTCCAAGGACAAACGTCAATATTTAGGTTTTTTGGCATTTGAAGACCCTGGGGCTGCAACCCTTGGAAACGCATGATTTGGTGACCTGAAGTCAAGATCAAGGTCTATGGGTCAAGGTCATCTCAAGGTCAAAGGTCAGTATCTATGTATTTGGTGTTTCAAGGACCTTGAAGGATACTGTGACCCTTGTCATCTCAAGGTCAAGGGTAAATATCTAGATATTTGGCCTTTCAAGGCCTTTGGATAAGTTCACCTCAATACAAGAATCAGTCTAGGTCAAACACTCAATAAACAGGTATTTAGCATTTTATGGGGGCTGTTGCCATGTGGGGCTGTTGTGACCCTTGGTGACTTGGATGGGTAGATTGCTAGAAACCCTTTGCATTCGTTTGACTTCGCTTCTCAAAAGAGAGCTTCGTCTTTACTCTTTCAGTTTCCAATAAATCTTTGAACTCAAACAGCGAATCAGAGATCGTTGTCAGATACAGAGAACTTTCTATATATGGTCATTTTCTCTGACATAATCGCATATTTATTGTGCACGCATTAAGCACTTGTTCTTCAAGCTCGCTGATTGGTTGAGAATAGGTTAGTGTGGTAGGTGTGAAATGATTTAAGACCAGTGCTATCACATGCATCAATCGTGGGGGCTGCTAAACTGTAATATAGTCTATACTAGACAGAGGGTAGTTTTTAACTAGACTCTGCGTGCAGGGTAATTGCTTGTGTATATTAAAATGGAATTACTGCCTTCCTCATTAACGAGGGGTCAGAAAAAACTCCTTTGATCAGCAACAGAAATATCTGTAACCATGCCATTACCTAATTTCTTTGCCAATGCAGTCCAATCCTGGCCCTCAGATCCACCATTTAACATCTTAGCAGCTCCTTTCACCCATGATGGCAGTTCAGGTCCTTTCGCTTCAATGTTCCCATCAGCCTCCTTTATAACTGTGTCGGGAATAATTGGTCCTTCAGTCACTGAAATACATATGAAAGAAATATGTATAGACATATGATGTTATTAATCAGTTTCAAGTAATCAGGCAGTAGAAGTGGAATCTATAATCAAGACACATAATCATAACCAGTTCATAAATCACACATTTCAATATCATTGTGAAGATAAATATGAGCTGCATCAATATTTCACTCCTTTCTGCCTAGTTTGAGATTGCATTTCTAAAGACTCAAGGTTTAATTACTGATAACATGTGGTTTTGAAAGATAATGGGACGTTGTTGAAGTAAACAATTATCTTGTTTAATAGACCATCCATTTCAAATCAATCCATCAAGTAGTTGGATTGGAAGACAAGACAAAGCAGACAAGAATTTGGGAAGAAAAATCCAAAATGGCCACTTTAAAATCCACGCAACATACCAGTTTGCCCGGAAATACATTGTTAAATTATTACTTCCCTGTGTTAATGACCTCCAATCATAAGGTTCTATCTTCTATACTCTGTGTATGGACAGGCAAAGGAATAATCATCATTTTATAGCAACCAAAGAATCCTTAAACTTACCAATCGGAGAAGGTTCTGGAAACAATTTTCTATATGGTGCCGTCTTGATTCGCTTGTAATCGCAACATACAATCTTGTTTGCCAAACATTCATCCAGGTCCAAGAAATGTATACAGGAGATATCAGAGCATGAAATGCGTTTATGTTTGGTGCACTTCTTGTCACAGGTGCATTCTATGCAGGCTTTGTAAGATATCCTCCTCATCCACATTTCTTTCAGCTCAAAGAGAACACTATCTAGGAAATTTCGCACCTGTAAAATTCACCCAGAGGTCAATTACTCTAAAAATCATAAAGGTATGGATCCATCAAAAGTCAATTATTTTATTTTATTTAAAATTGCTCCTTAAATCTGAAAATAGACAATATTCGTAACTGGCTTGTTGAGTTCATCCACAGTGTCTACCTCTTTTCATGTCATTTGATCATTCAAGCAACTGATTTCATAGGCATATATACAATACATGGAATGTCCAATATGAAGAAATGTGATAACCAAAGATAACAAGGCATTAACATGACAAGATGTCACCACCTAATTGCTCACAATATTATTAGTTCAATCTTAAGTCAGATTTGAATTTCTGAGATGATGATTTTGAACAAAAAATTGGTCAATTTGAAGCAAGTTTTTAACCCTGAGAAGGTCATTGAAGGTGAAATCTCAAATCTCAAGTCAGATTGAACTTCTGAGAACTTGTAGATGAATTTGAAAAAATGGTCAATTTGAAGCAAGTTGAAAAAAGACCTTTTTGACCTTGAGAAGGTCATTGAATGTCAAATCTATAGTCAGATTTGAACTTTTGAGAACTTCTAGATGATATTGAAAAAAATAGTCAATTTGAAGCAAGTCGAAAAAAAGACCTTTTTGACCTTTTTTGACCTTGAAAAGGTCAATGAAGGTAGAATCTCAAATCTAAAGTCAGATTTTAACATCTGATAACTTATAGATGATTTTGAAAAAAAAATTGGTCAATTTGAAGCAAGTTGAAAGAAGATGTTTTTTACCTTTTATACCTTTTTTAAATATATCTTAAAATAAATCTTAAATATAAAGTCAGATTTGAACTTCTGAAAACTTGTAGATGATTGTGAAAAAAACTGAAGTCAGTCTTAACAGTATTTGTTAAATTATTGGAAGTCTTAAGAATTTGTTACAGATGCCACCCGCCGACTGCCAACCACCAACCGCCGTCACAAAAAAATAGAGAGTATAACAATATGTCACCACTTTTTGGTGGTGATATAAAAGTGAAAAAAATCAGACCAACTTAAAAGAACTCACCCTAGCACAGACTGCAGGTTCTGGTGGAGGGAAATGTCCCCCATTATCTGAAACCTCATCAGCGTCACGCAAATCAGCAACTCGCAAAATTGTTACCTGGTAAAAAATGAAAGGACACATGAGATTCTTGATTTTGAAGTACACATAGATTAAATCAAAACATGATTTTACCTTATTTACTCAAAGAAAAGCTAGATACAGTTTCTACATCAGTTAATCTCTTACCTTCATTCTGGCAAACTTCATTGGTTGCATTTCTAGTACAAAGTCATGTTCAGGATCTATGAAGAACCTTGCCAGTCTGTGGTAAATCTTGGGCTCATATCCTCCACTTTCCTGTGACCATCTTACAGCACGACATAACATTCGGTGGAATAGACCATCTAAAATATGAAAAACGATATTTGTCATGTTTGATTTTTCTCAAAATATTGATATTCATTGCAGAGAAAGTGCTGTCAGATTTACCTGACAAGAGGCAAACGCGGTCACTATAAAATATTAACTACAAAATACCAGTCATCCAATGTATTCAATCGGGTCTATCATGTTTTTTGAACTGTGAGCCAGAAAGGCAAGTACCATAACCTGAACTGACCTGACTGTGATTAACATTACAAACCTGGCAGGAATCCATTAAAATCTAAGTAGAACTCTACATCTTGCTTTCCTAGTATATACAGTGGCTCGGATTTGTCAAGTTTCTTCAGTCGAGATGGTACATAGTATGTCTTACTATGTATCTGAGATTCATCTTTATTAGCCTGAAATGAAAGAAAAATCAAATTCAATGATGTACTCTTTCAGAAAATTAACTGGTGAATTTTTCCTAACAAGATTATTCAAACCAGGAGTTTAGGACCATTGGATGATTAACACCAGAGCTATTACATCTGATATGTTTGATATGGTGTTCAGCATCATTGAAGATTCTGCGCATGGATTTCATTTTAATCAAATGCATCAACTAGGAATAGCAACTCAATTAATCTGTAAATAAAAATTGTTCAATTATTATTATTGATTATTGTTCAGTTTATTGCAAAGTCCCTCATAAGACGGCCATTTTGAATGTTCCAAGACAGATATCATAACAATGATACGATAATTGGAATCTACTGTAAAATTCTTTTATACAACTATAAAAAAGCTAATTACTTCATAGAACACAGAGAAATAATGAAAATCCCCATTCTCCTGGTTGACTCCCATAGACGTTTTCATAAAACATTTCTACAATTTTCAAAGTGGCAACCATTTTTAAGAAAACATTTTTTGTGTAAAGCCATTTACCAAAATAAATCTTTTGACAGAAAAAGTGCATAGTAGTGGAGTCATTTCCAAAATGGATAGACAGATACAGGGCTCCACTATATCCCTAACAGACTCTGTATTTTATCCCTATTGAACACAGTACTCCCTTACTATCAACTATTCAAACTTTTAACTTACATTTTTAGGAGGAAGACGCTCACATATCAGATCAAATTTCTCCATAAGTCCAAGTAGGGCAGCTTTCTGGTCTGCCACATCTGACCATATGTCATCCACTAGGACACTCTCTAGAACACCAAACTCCTCTAGCTTCTGACAAGCCTCCAAGTGCTCTACCCACTGCAATGTTAGGCATTCAATAGATTATTGTCACACGAAACCAAGCAGGCATTGTCACATTTTATCAATTGAACCAGAATCATTGGAAAGATAGTATTACCATAGGGTAATTTGTAAAACTATACTATATTGTATAAGCTATTTGGGTATTTCTGGTCAGATTTGCCTGGTTTTAGACTAGCCAAGCATTGGTGTATGTTAGATATTTTATTTTGTAGTCACTAATGGTTTTCTCAAAGTACCAATTCTGTAGAGTCTATTCTCTCTTTTAGTTTTACCATGCAATTTGAATAAAATTCACTGCTAAGTAGATTTCTAAAGTGATCTAACCTGATGTTCCATTGGTTTGACAGTAATCACTTTCCTGAACATATTCACGAGCCATTGTGGTTTCAGAATAACTGTGTTACGTAACGTGTTGTCAAGAGCGCCGCAACTATTACCATAGTATATTATCTGGCCTAGATCGTGATAGAATTCTAACAGTGTCTTCAGTTCTTGGTCCGTAGTAATACCTTCCTCCTGGGCCACTTCCCCAATCTAAAGACAATATATAGAAGAACAATAGTTAATGGGTTATTGCAGATAGAAATAATTTTTAAATGAAGATGGTGGAGCAATGCATCATTTCACCACCATTGCCATCTTTATACCGGCTTAAAACATATAAGTACACTGTATATAGGAAACTGAACTATTCAAAATAGAACAAGAATAATCAAAACATGTATGGGATCAAATTTTAATACAGCTTTCACATGGTATATAATGGTATGTCTAATTCAATTCATCAATATTCATACCTGATCAAGAGAGACAAAATATGTTCCCTCCTCCACCAGTTTTGCTACAGCCTGTTCAAAGCGCAGCCATTTGTTGGGGATCTGTTCGCCCATATATGGTTGCTTGCTAGCTATGTCCTCAAGATGGCATCGCAATTCTAACACCTACAGTTATAATTTTATTGTTATCTGAGAGGAAAGTGGAAGATAAAAATGGACACAGTGAGTGTTCAGTTGGCTCACATAGTGATTCCTATATACTAAATGTAAATCCTTTTCTACAAGTAAGTCTTTTGAGTTTCATTATTTTTTGTCTTATTTTGGTGACCATTTTAAAAAAATAGTTCAAGTTGCAAAGGTAATTTTTAGTATTTTTAGTTTTGTTTAGGTTGTATCTGAAATGAGCTTACCTGTGAATCTTCAGTGTCTAGACTGTTCTCTACTGAGTAACATGTGCCGATTATATGACACTGGTGAGGTTTATTCTCAAACACTTCCTGTATACGACGGAATTTATGATCAATCTAAAAATAATGACAAAAAAAAAATGTAGAAGAAAATTTAAAACTGTTAATAACAATATTTTGTATTGCTGTACTCTGGCTTTTTTAATATTACAATTATGCTAATAATAGATTTCTTCAATTATCACTTTTACGGTGAATATAATGAAGGACTGCTTCTTCCATATAATGCCTTCTATTTAGCATAGTTACCACTTTGTGTCATTAATTAATCAACATGATAGGCTAGAAATATATCTTTGAAAAATGTAAGATTCCGGAAAAGGGAACAATTTTGGAATGGTTCGGAACAGAGTGACTGCCTATGTTAGATAACTTTAAAATCTATGAGTCGCATTTAAAAACAAAAACCATTTGGCCATTTTATTTAAAAAGAATCTAGAACTTCTTTCAGTGCAAAAATTGAAACAAAAATGCTGTAATGTGACTATTTGGCCAAAAGCTGTGAAAAGGTAAGATTTCTTTGTTGAGGAACTGAACAGAAATGTTGTTTTATGTTCCACATTCCAACTAGAGAGCCTATTTGTGCAGGTCAAACCAAAATCAGGTATTCATTAGACCTCTAGTAAAAATGTTAGCTTTCAAGAAGACTCTAGATTAAATATCAAACATTCAAAATTTGAAGATCTAGGACCTCTTGCCAATCACTACATGTAAATCAAAGGTATCTTGTAATTTATTTTAGATTAGATTTTTTTTAACACTCACTAATTTTTTCCTGATTTCTGGGTCAGGATCAAGACTGTTTCTGTGCGTGCCAACTATAAATATAGGTGGCGATAAGGTAGTATTATCAATGCTGTTTCGTGTATTCTGTGCGGCATGCGCATGTATGGAACACACCCAATGCTCAATGTAGTCTAAGTTAGTCAGTTCAGAGACATCCCATTCAATCTGAAATGACAAGAATAAGGCTACATCATAAAAATGTTAACATGGTTACAAAACAATATTCATTGAAGCAGGTTTTTTCTAGGTGTGATCACTTCCAAGCCACGATTGACCATTCATTAGTGATAGTACCTCAATGAAATCATGTACGTTTTAAACCATTGTCAGTATCTACAAAATTTTAAAGAAAATAAATAAAGACCACAGTGCAGTCTTATAATAATGCATTACATACGATGATTACAAATGTCATCAAAATAACAAAATTCAACGAGGTGAAACTACTTCCACAAAGCCTCAAAACTTTTCCATCCCTCTGTTTGTCAAAATTTTGTGAACAAAACCTGGCTTACCGAAATGTAATCTCCACTTAAAGTTGATATTTTACACAGTACTTAGTTTCTTACCTCCTGACTATTTTCTGATTTGGCTCTTGGTTTAGCTAATTCATCTAGGTCATTGCAGAGATTAAACACTATAATATAAACCGCCCTAGATGATAGAAACACTTGATGGGTCGTATAGTACACAGCTTGGCCGGCAAAATCCCATATATTTAATTTAATATTATGACTAGGGTTACGTGAACTAGCACTGCTTGGAGCAGATGCAGAGTTTTTTCTTGGGTTATTCTCTCGTTCTTTCCACATCTGTTGCACCAGAGTAACTACTCCCTCTGGCATCTCCTTTAACAGTTCATTACTAGGAATGTCATCTGAATGCAATGGAACATTGTGGCTTATGCTCTCCTTTTTCTCTAATTTTCTCTGTAATAAATAAACATGTTTTACATAAAAGCTGCAAGAATGGTTGAGAATCAATTAAAAGACTCATGTAGATTTTAAGGCTTTCTTAAAGTTACAAAACAGACAGATTTCTCCGTTATGAAGGTCTGGGATTAAGGATGTAAATTACCCCTATAACACTGTATAAAATGGATCAACATTGATTCAGATGGACATATGGACGAAAAACTCAGTGATTTACAATAATGTTGACATTGAATAGCTTTTTCCTCTAGCTTCATTTAAGACAGGATTGAATTTTGAGGGTAGTTGAACCCTCAGATCTTTTGTTGTATACTTGTTGTACCTTAGTTGTTGCACTGGTACGTCCACTGTGGCTACTCCTAGACTCCCTCCTCCCTGTATTGTGCTGTACTTCACCCTGGGCTTTCAAATGCTGTTTTTCCTTCTCTCTCTCCTTTTTCTTGTACAGCAGTTCCTGTACTATGTTTGTGGCTATAGCTCTGTGGTACTCCTCTTCCAGAGCTTCAGCAGTACCTACAATATATTGATCAAATACCAATAGGGCGTGGCTAATGGCTATAGCTCTGTGGTACTCCTCCTCCAGAGCTTCAGCAGTACCAATAAATATATTGTTCAAATACCAATAGGACATGGCTAGAACTCTGTGGTACTCCTCGTCTTCTTATGCATTGCAGACTAAGCTTTACATATCAAACCATAATATATAGAGTATTTGACTGAGAAAAGTGGTGTTTGATAAATGAATTGAAACCTTTGTTAGAATTGAATTATACAATTGATTTTTTGCTTACCATTCCCTTCTGTGAGGACATCTTGGGGACTTGTTTCTTTAGACTCGGTGTCACCAGGGGTATTAATAGCAATCTGCCATTTAGAACGATCACGCAGGTTGAAACTACAGGACGATGACAAGTCAATGCCGTCTGTTCTCTCCTCTAATACATTGTATCTGAAATTATACCAAAAGGTGTATAAACTCTAATTGAAATGAACTAATACATAGGGGCTCAGAGAGGTAAAATGGTTATTAGATTTCCAATGATATGTGATGTAATTTTAATTCTCAAGTTCTTATGAAAATTCATTCTGTCTGTTTTATATATTTCAATTGTACGGTCATGTTATAACTAAACAAAACTATAACAAATAAGATATGGGCTCAACAATATTGAACCCTTGTACAGAATATCAATATGGGTTAATAGATACAAGGCAATATAATGATGATTGTGAAGTATGTTGTTACCAATAAAAGACTTTACAGACAAGGTGTTAGTACAAAAATCCAAAAGAACACCTTAAAATTTACCCCGCATAATTTACATATCCCTGAGAATTTCAAGTTTCATGTAATCTCTCAAACTATCCCTGGAAAACTATAACAATATGTATTTTGGACCCTCATCACCCCTCTGTCAAATTGATCACAATATATTTCACAGGGTTTGTGATAAAGATGATTATGTTAATGTACAGACCACCATATTATATCAAATGTCACAGCATTGATTTTTTCATACATTTTTGATATAACAACCAGATAGTTAGTCGTACAGTATTATGCGTAAGTAATGTGACAGTGTTTACATTTCTTATGAACAAACCTTTTAGCATTGAAGTATGCTACTAGATGTGTATACACAAACAGATATAAATAATAGAGATATAACATTGATTTATTAAAAGGTCTATAGATTTACCAAGTAATTAGAGTAGGTCAGCTTAACCTCTTGCTTACTAGAGCACATTGCTTCATAATATCTCCATTGATATGTCAGAATTAGTATTTTTACAAATAATATGTATGTATCAGAAACAAGTCAAATTCTTTACTTCAGAGAATATTTTTAATTTATTGAGACTTTCGACTAATATCCCTTAGTCTTTTTCAAAATATAACAGCATTTTGAAAAAGAGTAAGGGATATTAGTCGAAAGTCTCAATAAATTAAAAATATTCTCTGAAGTAAAGAATTTGACTTGTTTCTGATATATTAACCAGAGAGATGAACTTACATAGAAATATGTATGTAATAAGTGAAACATAAAACGCCTCAAACTTACTTTTGCCCAGTTAAGGCTTTTTTCAAACTGGTTTTGCCGACACGGTCTTGTCCTACAATCATCAGCCTCGTTTTGAAATTTGGTTGCGTGCCACTCTCGCAAGCTGTATGGTAGGCATGGAGGGCATCGGGTCCACGAGCAAGGATTTCAACAGGGGCTTCCTCTTCAAATGAAATAAATGATGATTAAAATGACATGCATTGTAAAACAAAAAAAATGCAACCCAAAGAAATCGCTATATCTTGAAAAATACTGGTTCAGTTATGTTCATATTTTCAGGAAATAAAGAAGAGACTGTGTATGTATAGCTCCTGTAAATGTTTAGTTGTAAAACATGATGCCTTGGACACACAAATTTATATTTCAAATAAAATACATAAAATCATATCATAACAAAGCAATAACATGCAAAATGTCACCACCTGCCATTTGTTACAGATGGCGAATGCGGGAATCCGGGATATATAAAATCAAAATTACACTGGACTAAATCATAACTTTTGAATATAATTTGATACTTAATAGTTATGAGCACAGCCATTGAATATCTCTTATTTTCTAGTCATGTGTAGAACATCATAAACCAATCAGAGAGTGAGAAATAAATATGATGGTGATATAATAAAAGGGGTTAATCTTTCAATTCGACTTTTTGCAATTTTAAGAGTAAAATAATCAAGGTAAAAATGTCACCATCTGGTAAGTGAATGTTCTATGGTCAACTGCTACATATGTAACAAAAATGTAGGGAGACCTTACTGGAGGCCAGCAAAATTAGAATATGAATTTGTGAGATCTTACCTGCCGGGACGAATCTAGCAAAGCTAGTATTGCCGTAAACATCAAAGAGAAGCCAAAGGGGATTGTTTGTAGGAATGTGATTGAGGAATAATCCTTTATGTGCATTATTGATGAAGTAATGCATCTGACCATTGGAGTCGACGTAAAATGTAATTCTGTTCCCCGCTTCAGCATAATGTTCGCTTAATGCGCGTGCCCAGTTACCCTTCTGATTGGTCAGTTCTGGACATGCATAGCGGGGAAGTTCCTTTGTTGAGAGTTTGGACGGATCATTGGTGGTTACACCTAATCTTATGGCACCACTCCATTCTATAACATGGCCCACTTCAATACATATCTTTTTACCAATTTTAATTGGTTCGGAGCTGAATGCAATTCCATTGCAAAAGTCTCCAACTCGAGTTGCAGTGCTTGTATTTTCAGACAATACAATAGCTGAGCCATGACATTTATGGAAATGCATGGTAGTCATGGATACCATGACTCATGAGAATTTCCCCATCGTAAACCAATGAGGACCTCTATCTTTGAAGGGCCACATCACAACCTGGAAAAATATGAAATTAATATTAAACTGATCACAATGGTATAGTCTTGGGTATGATATACTCTGGACAGACAGATAGTGGGCTTTGTTATACCACCACTTTGTTGAGATAATAAAGGCATACTTATACAATCTCTATTCAAATTTTTGGAGGTGTGATCCAAATCAGAAAATTGGAAAATGGACACATTTATTTGAAATTTACATTAGATGGTTATGTTAGCATGATCAATACGAGAGTATCTACAAGCTTAAATTGCATAGCATGTGAGAAATATTGGAAACCTAGAAACAATGACAAGTGGAAATTCAATAGATGATGAATTTACTAAATATACTGTATTATACAAGATTTTACTTAACCCAGGGTCCTCACCTTGAATTTTTATTGAACACATTTTCAATGAAATGACCAAATATTTCATGTTACTACATCACCAAATAACAAGCTATAATTTGATCAAATCTAAAAGCTAAAGATTGAATCTTTTTTGTGAGTCAATCAAACCTACCCCCCCCCCTCCATACACCCATCACCCACCCTCAGCTTATACTAATTAAGAAAAACAATGATTTCTTGAACAAGATTATATATAGTGTAAAATTATAGAGTAAAAACCTCTCAAATCCACCACTGTGACCGCCCAAGTGTTTGGATCAGCAGGTCAACGCAGGTTAAAGTTCGCATTTTTGAATTTAAAGGATAGGTATCGATATGGTGAACTGAATTCAACAATGTTTTTCTCTTAAACCAATTATTGAAAACATTCTGTAAAAAACAAAGTCCGTTTTATGACCATTAAATTGACGATGTGTAAAATTTTCAGAATGTTTTGATGACTGGTTTAAGAGAAACGCGTGTTCAAAAAGTTACCATATCGATACCACTCCTTTGCAATCACGACAACTGCGACATGTAAAATGTGGTGATCTAACATTTGCTATATTTGTGCATTCTATTCTTAAGAGTCTAAGCCTAGGTGTATATAGTAGGTGTCAAATGGTTTGAGATTTCACGGTTTGATTCAGCGAATGTATTTTGTAGTTCGTTTCGATTCTGACTGCAGTTCTAACAACAAGCTCTGTGAAATGAGCGAACAAATATGAAATTGATCTATGAATCAGACAACATACTGAGTTTTTCACAGTGTTTTATTGTGATTTAAAGTGAACGATCATAACTCTTTACTATATCTCGTATCTGTCTAATGTTTGTTGATCTGCTTGCTCAATGTTCTTGTTTTTTCAACAGATAAAATAACTTTTTAGCAAACTTTGTAAAGTACTTCACTAAATGAATCCATATTTTCTTCAGAAATATAAGTTTATCCATTTTGTCAGAGGAAAACATGGACCAAGGGAAACTTTATACCGATACGAGAATATACAAAGTTCACAAATTCAATATATTTGGTATTCGGCTTCATACCATACCGAATTAACTTCTGGGTCAATATGCCGACGAATTATCAACATTATCTGATTATAATGTTTTTGAGATTTGCCACCTATATCAGACTAACATCCTAAATAAAAATATCAGGTATGGTCCGCTAATTGTATGATGAATAACGATCCCAGACGATGTTTTGTTCGATTGGTATTATATGAAAGTTTGAAATTGGGTTTAAATCTGAGTTCACATTTTTATTTTTCTGATATTGTGAAAAAATTTCACAGTGGTTTTCAAGATTGTGTGTGAGCTAACCGTTGTAGGGGTTCGAACCGCAGTAACCGCGGGCCACAGTTAACCGTCTGACTCCTAGTATCTAGGCAATTACATTTTGGAAGGAACACTCTTATTCATTTTGAAAAACCATTGCTTTTCTCTTAGTCCAGCACTATAGTCTCAGATTGAAGTAAAAAACTTTAAGTTCAAATTCAGAATTTCTGTTATTTCAAGGTATACTGTAACATGCAACCGACAAGATGGTTGAAAAAAACATTTTCTCAGGGTTTAAAGTCGATTTCATGGTTTAAAACCTTCTCTGGTGATTCTATTTTCGAACTATGCATGGAAGTCCATTCAAAGTCGCCTATTGAACCTTGAAAGCAATGTTTAGACTGAGGATTGAAAGGTCTTCACGACAACTTTCCACTCATCTTTTTACGACAGACTGGAAGTGAATTTTCGAGTCGAGTAAATGGTGATAAATTAATGTTCATTTTTATGAAGCAGGGAAGTCAAAACATTACTTATAGGAATCATAGTACGCATTAGAAGATCATTTGGAAGCATTTAAAATCGAATCTACGGCAAAATCTGAATAATTGAAATATTCACACACGGACGTCACAGAACGCACTTTTATAATCAATGATTTTATCAATCAAAAAGTATTTCTATGAATTTATCCGATATCTGCTGAAATATGGTATGTATAATTGTATTGATTGTTAAAATACAAAATAAGTACAAGGGTAAAGAATATGTAAAAGTCGTTTGATCTTGTCCCAGTAGTTATTTTTATCGACTAAAATTCCTTTCATTGATAATGACATTCAGTGGCCTGTAAAGAAGATCAAGTAAGAAGCTCAAGAAAACCGAACCTTTCTCATCTGCTCTTTTCTCTTTTTCAAGTTGTACTCCGAAAAAATCTACAGCATATTTTACATATGTAGCCCTGTGTTTACACTTACAGTTTTACACAGTCTAAATAAATTCCATCCTTGATGGTAAAAGGTATAGACTGTGGACCCTGTACATCGTTGAATAACATGTTTGAGATAAGTCATAAATTGTTCTTATAAAAAACAAATAAATGGAGCTTACCTTGTCGATTTTTATTGAAATATAATGATTTGAAACTGTCACTGAAAAATCAATTTCTATAGTTTTTAGAAACCAATTACCTTTGCGCAGTTCAATTGCGCATGAGCATTCATTTTTCATCTTCCAATATTCAAAATATGTGTCCTACATAAAAAAAATGTAACAGAATAATCAAATTGTGCTATAATAATGGCTTATTTAGTATATTTGGTATAGTAATTCTTTAAAACAACGATTACTTATTGAGTGAAAACCAAATACTACCACCGGAAGATGGAAGAATTGTGGGAATACTTTACCGGTCGCCATCTTTGTTAAAAATGTCCCTGCTCAGAAATATTAGAACTTTCCCTGTTTTAGTGCGACAGTGCACTCGTATGGCTACGGCTGTTCAGCAGCAGAAGCGTGGCTATGCTGAGATGGCTTTCACATTTGCCTCACCAAATGAGGTAGGTCTAATATTAACTTTTAGTCCGAGGCAAATAAGTCTCTGTCTGACTCTGGTCACTTGTGTTGGTGTGGTGGGAAGCAACTTACTTTTTCACTTATTGAGATACATTTTAAATTAACAAAGTTCAAATTTTCAGCCCAACAAATCCTCGCATCCAATCAGATCATATAGTCCTATTCAAAAACTTCCCATTCGTTCCACAGTGAACATACAAACTTCCTTCATATTATAGTTCGAAGGGGTGTAACGTCAACACCATTTTGGGGTAACTTAGACATTTGGGGTAACTTCGACACATTGTTCATTTGCTCTAATTTCAGATCTAGTGGGAAGCCAGGTTTTTTTCTTGCATGGATCGAGATCTTGCGAGATTTTAATTTTTCCAGAAATCAAGCATGGCGGACCACGGAAATTCCACTACCAAGATTTTCGACATCTAAAAAGTCACTCGACTTTTTTGCAAAAAACCTTCCAAAAAGTAACAGTCGCATGAATTCACATTGTCGTACTTACAAAATGATCCACCGCCTAACTTATGCACCATCGAACTCGGTAATATTGTACACGTAACTATTAATTACCGTATATTCCCATAGAAAACTGGACTTGCTTTTCAACATTTCAAGCGAAAATTCTCTACGGAGCTTTTGTTTTTCTGACGTAATTTCGGTGACGTGATAGGTTCAGTTCATCTTGTTTCGAAAGGGGTGTCATCTATCTAGAATATTTATTTTCATCTTGTCCAGTCCTATATACAACCTGCCCTTATCCTTTTCGCTTGTAAAACCGCGTAGTAATGTTGAAATTATGGAATAGATTCTCTGGGAGTGGCGTTAACCTTTTGGAAATTGTGACTGCAAAATAGTGACAAGTTAACCTTTTGGAAAGGTCACTGAACAGAATATATATCATTTTCTATTTCTAGGAATGTATTCAAAGGAAGAGGTGCATTTATTGGCATATACCTATGGTCAAAATGAATTTCTTAGGTGTAACATGAAGAATAGAATGTCATATAACTCTTTGAAAAATATTAAAGTGCTCGGGCACACATAGGCTGAGATAGGGGCCATTTAGTTCAGTAATGTTGTATTGACTTACATGGGGCTGTGCATCATTGACTTAACATGAGGATATCAGCAGATACCAATAGAGGCCATTGGTCTCCATTGATTATCACAAAAATACCCAAAATACACTATGACCTGAATCGATTGCAAACTTAATAACTTCACAATATGACACAAATGGTTTATCTCATCAAATGTGCAAATATGAAGTTTGCAATCGATTCAGGTCATACTTAAAATTAAAAGATTGTGCATTTTTTCATCATATTTTCCACTTTTTTCTTATGGGGAGATCCCAATGGAGAGTGCATATGGTCCTTTATCTCAATACTCCATTTGCGATAATCTGGAAGTTATCAGCTGCTTCTTTGAATGAAAAGACCATGATGCAATATTATATTCGAAAATACATTCATATTATACATGAATGACGTTTGTATCTTAGATTGATTGTGGTTTGGCTAATAAAATGTGTGGTCTTTTATACTTTGATGCTTCTCTGCCAAGTTATTTTAAAAATAAAAAAATAATGGCCTAAACTTCTTAATTATAAGAGACCACTGGTTTATTCCACATGAAACTAATTATGTATCTGAAATATACAAATGTTATTCATATACAATATGAATATATTTTTCCATATAATATTGCACTGTTATCTTTTTATTCTTATTGATGATAATAAAACAATGTAATGGACTACTGTATTCAACAGCTAAGCACTGCATCATGTTAAGAAATTCAAAAAATATGTTTGCGTTCTGGCCCGCCATATGTATGTTAAATCATATAAATTGTTAGAATAATGATGAAAATGTTTGTTTTAGGTTTTCTACAACAGTGCCAATGTGAAGCAAGTAGATGTCCCCTCATTCAGTGGTAGCTTTGGTATCCTTCCTGAACATGTTCCTACCTTAGCAGTTCTCAAACCAGGAGTAGTCACTGTCACAGAGGAAGATGGATCAGTCAACAGAATATTTGGTTAGTGTCCTCATTCATTTTATTTTGTAATCTTACACTGTGCTTTCATTTGACTTAACCTGCTACTGGACTTAATTGTAAAATATATGTTTAAGTTGTTAAATATTATAATTATTGTGCAACTTTCTACTGTAAATTCTGTTCCTTTTAAAAAATATTTGGTTCCAAAGACCAGTATACAACAGTGCTAATTTTTTGTTCCTTTCAATTCTTAGTGGTAATATTGGTTATTTCTTATTCCAGTAAGCAGTGGATCAGTAACAATAAACGATGACTCCTCTGTGCAGATCTTAGCGGAAGAGGCAGCACCTATTAGCAATCTAGATGTCGCGGTAAGATATAATGCTTTCAATGACAATTCTTTTAAACCAAGTTTGGGAGAAATAGGGAACTTGTCTCTCTGGGTAATAACTCATAAATTCTGTTAACCTTATGTTGGTTATATTTTATACACATAGCCCCTTGACCCTATGAGAGTACTGCACAAATCATTATTTTCAAAATGACTGACTGTTTTAATTTTTTTCATGTTCTTGATTTAGTTTATGATCATATATACATTTTTGAACAATCATTGTCTTTTTATTGCATCATTGTGTGCTATACAATATAGCCTGTACTGAGATCAAGTATTCTCTATGAATGTTAAGGCCTCCATTTTTTCATCCCAATATCTTGTCCATAAAGTCTTGTACACACATTTCAAGCCAAATAAATTGATCTGAAATTTTAAGGAATTCTTCTTGGAATGAATGTTTTGAACTGCTCAGTGTTTTGTCTTTTTGATTAAATGTTAAGGTGGCCATTTTTGACTCTCAGTCAGTTGTATACATTTATTTTCCAAAAGTAATGGAGAAATTTTATCGTTATATACAGTAATGTAAATACTTGGAAGTCTGAAGACACATTGACAATTAGACAAAATTAGTAGCTTGAACTTATGGTGTTAATTACCAGTATGGATCCCAATATAATTGTAAACATATTGACTGCTTTTGTTTTGATTTTAATGTAATGTTCTGTTTGCAGGCTGCAAGGGAAGGATTAAATAAAGCCACACAAGAACTGGCATCTGCACAAACAGAAGAAGCCAAAGCTGAGGCCCAGATAGCAGTAGATACATTTGAAGCTCTTGGCAAGGCACTAGAATAACAAGCATGGACTTAGGATAATTTATAATATATTATTTTGTGTGACATTCAACATTTTGAAGACTGAATAATTGCCAAATCTCATATTGTTCTATCAATACACTGACATAGAATTAAGGGAAATACTCTAGTTGCCGTGGATACAGTTATTGTTAAAGTTGGTATTCAGGGCAATATAGAGTTCATATTGATTGTGTCCTTTTAAACTGTTTTCTCTTAGATGGCATATTACAGACCAACTTGCCGCCTTTATTATGATTGCTGATCGATTACACACAATATTGCATATAAAAGAATAATAGTGTTTTATGTAGAGTAAATACATCAAAAGCCAATAAAAATGTACAGTTGTTGAAATATAATGTATCTTTCTGCTTTGTATACACACGTTTCTACAGGTGCAGTTTGTTTTTAAAGTTAGCCAGTCGTTTAATCACAAAATTGCTTAACTGCTAGAAATCAGCAACTCCAGTAGCAAATCCAAAAAAATGTTATTTTCATGGATCTGTATATGTCACCATCTACTCTACCCTTGATTAGATTGGCAGATTTTAAGAGATTGTATCTCAAAATTTCAAAACACGTGTATTTGGGTGACCATTTAGGAGTTCCAAAGGCACAAGTGACAAAGACAATACAATATTTGAGATTTAGTATAGTATAATGGTCTTAAGGCAGCCATTTTGAATTTTCTGAAGCATGAATCAGAAAAACAACACCGTAATTGTGATCTACTTTAAAATTCCTTCAATTTGAGTATAATATAGCCATACTTTGAAGAGATCAGAAAATTATTGCTAAATCCCTTTTAAGTGGGCATTTTGAATTTTATGAGGCCTGAATCAGAAAAATGATACAATAATTCCAATATATTCTAAATTGCCTTATACTTCAACACATCTCAAAATTAACAAAAATTCCTGTTTTACCGACCCCCTATTACACAGCCCCTGGGGGTCAGGCTGAAAAACATAATATTTGTGAAAAAGATAGATGTTGTGAATATACTACCAAAATTTCAAATAATAATTTTCATTACTTTGGTTAAAAATGAAAAACTTAAGATTTTCGCAAATAATTCCCGCAATTTCTAAAGAGGTGGCCATCTTGAAATTTTTTTGTGTAAAACTATTTAGCAATATACATCTTTCCACCGAATATGTCCACTAGTATTTGAGTTATCTTCAGGATGGACGGATGGAGGGCTTCACTAAAACCCTACTGAACTTCATTCATTGGGATAATTACCAATACAAGAAAGCCCCCTATGACTCTTGGTTAAAAAGCTTGCCTATTTTTGAAATAGCTCCTTTTTTGTTGAAGGAAATTCACTTGTTGAGCATTTAGTAGCTTTATGAATATTTTTTATAAAAACTGTGACTTGAGATTTTAGGCCATCTTTCACAATCTGGGTTTGCTGATACTGCAGTTCAACAATGGAAAGAGTTGGAATATCCTTGCACCCAAGGCATTCAGTAATTAGGACTCAAAAAGAATATCTATGGACCTTCAGAGAAAATTTCCTTTTTATACAAGAATTGGAATATCCTTGCACCAAGAATGTCATAAAAATCACTTATTGCAATCATTTTTTAAAACATCAATGTATATGAATCTTCTTGAATGTTTGGAACACTGGGCATTTAGTTATAGGCCTAAGCCAAAAGGCATTCAGTAATTAGGACTCGAAAAGAATATCTATGGACCTTCAGAGAAAATTTCCTTTTTATACAACCTTTTCAAATGAATATTGGACACACATGGGTCTATTGGCATGAAACTGTAGTGTACTTAAATTTTACAAAAAAATTTAAAATTAAAAAGGTGTTGTCTGACATGGATAATGTAGGGCATATTGTGTCCAGAATGAAGTGCTTTCCAATGATAAATAGCATATATCAGTGTTTTGTCATTCTATGTTGTGGATTGGGAGGGTGATATATAAGGGTTATGTACTGGGAGGTTTTGGATATGGGGTTTATCCAGAGGGAGATATGCATATCTACCTGAGGGACCGAATGTAGATGTGCATATCTCACAAGGGATGAACCCAATATCCAAACCGACCGTACATAACTGCTTTATCCTATACCAAGTAGAGTTTTCTAAATTTCTTTCAATTTTTTTCAATTCTTTTCACATTTTTTTTCTTTTTTCATTTGTTTATTCACATTTTTTCTTTTATGAGATATGGAGGTTCAGGATATGGAAACCTCAAAATCAGGATACGGGATATATCTTACCAACTTATCTCCCTAAAACTTTACTTGGCATAGGATAAGTCATTTTACACCGTGTGGTGGAGCTGTACAGAGTTTCTTGAATACATCTGATAACATGGTGGAGCTGCCAGCTGATTGACTACTCAGCCACCTTGACGTGCTTACATGATACAAATTTATAAAGTAACAAAATTAAATATTTCTTAGAATAGAACTTTATTCATCAGTTAATATAACTGAAAATGTACACATTTTACTTGTACCTTGAATTTGTTCACCTGTACAACAGGTTCCTCATCTTGCAGAATTTCAATCAGATCATTTATTTCTCATCAATAAAAATACCAAAACTTGTTACGTTCACTTAAGTTATGAACTATAATAGGACCTCACAGAGAAATGATGATCATGTGACAATTATCAGCTGAGATAAGAGAACAAAAAGTTTATATTGGAACTCAACAATTTTGCAATGAATCTTATTCATTTTAAAATTGTGTTTTCAAAAAGTAAATTACTGAATGATACCAATTGCGATAACCACCTTGTATAAACAAAGTTGTATAAACAGAGTTGCACATAGATTCATGATTGTTAAAAATTTGATTTGGCAATTTGTACAATCCAAACAGTTTTTGACAAAACAAACAATGGAAATCAAAATGGCTGCCAGAAAACATGATAGCTGCCAAAAGTTAATCAGCTCAAGAACTTGTGGTACAATAATGATCATGCTGCCATCATGATTATTATATCTCGCTGGTGGTACAATGGCTGCCACAAAACAAGATGGCTGCCTATCTAGCAAAGATCAACACTTTTAAATTCATTGAGTAATTGGCAGACAGGTAAATTCTACTCTTTACGACACTTAAGGTTTTGAGTATTACATTATTTTTATAACTTGGAGTAATATTGTCTCATTCTCTTAAGATTTAAATCTTGTGTAGAGGCAGTGGGTAGGAAAACAATGCATTAAAATATGCAAATCACTTAATTATCTTTTAAAATTGCAAATATTAACCAAATTGAAGTTTATAATCTCAATGTCCTGAAGCATCAGTTATTTCAGTGACATAGGTCATGGGGAGCCCAGGTTTTGAAACACAGTTTCTGACAAATATTTCACTTACCAACTAGTAAATCCTGAGGATATCATTATTATTAAATTGTAAGGACATTACTTCATAAGATAATATTTATATAACGAGAGGCACAGCCTTAAACTTCAAAATTAACTTTTTGTTTGATGTCCAATGTTTTTAAAACTCCCTCGATCAATTCATTTTGGTACCATATTCAAGTTGTCCCAATTTGCATTAGGTACCGAGAGACCTCAAGATTCCATGACAAAGTAAAACCTGTACATAATATGTGATTTGTCTATTTGTCAACAGAGTCATGTCATGTGGTTATTCTTGCTTGAGTGTATATCTTCCCCTTAAAATCATCGCAATATGTTCACTGTCATTCAAGTTGTGTAAAATTATCATTGTGTGATGGTCGCTTTTCCTATTCTTTTCACGTAGCCATACACATTATCAACTTCGTGCTTCCTAAGAGGGACAGGTTTTATAAACCCATACCCGAACATGAAAATATTCAAAATACAGCTACAGGATTTACATTGAATGTATCTTAAGGTCTCTAATGCTTTAATCAGTTCCCTGCAATGTCTAGTGTCCTAGGATTGCTTATTATATGGGTTTGGTGATAAGTTCTGTTGTGGTATTACATAGTCTCCTATCATAAACTGGTTGCTGACTGAAGACTGGTTGTAGACGGGACTACTTGGATTGCCCTGCAAGTACACACAGAAATAACATAATATTTTATCAGGCTTATTTGAACATCTGAACTGTATCTGAACATCTAAAGTAAGGGGTCACAGAACTTCCAGTTCTACTACACACAGTTCTAATAAGATAAGCATGCTATATACAGAGGTTATACTCCTAAAATCAATGGGATTGATCACAAAGAAGCATGTATGCTATGTCTGCATTTTCTTTATCTCGAATAAAATACCATACATAATTGTTTCTGGTTACCAGGGACCAAAAACACACAAATAATTCACAGTTTAACATAAAGAATCAAATCAAAAATTTTGTATCACACATTCAGTTTTATGCTACATAAGAAAGGTTAGAAATGTTGGTACATACACTTGCTAGCTCACCTGAAATAAGTTTGGTGAGATCCCTCCTCCTATAGATGTCCTCGTGGTATTTGCTATTGAAGTTAAGTGCCCTACACTTGGAATAGATCCAGGATTGATGGGGGCACTGACAGACATTGCATTAACTGGAAACATTTACAGATGGAATAAAACATTTAGTAAGAATTTTGTATGTCACAAACTTTCCAATTTGACCTGAAATCACATGTGAATCTTCAATAAGACACAAGATTACAATTCTGATGTTGAGTCACAGCATAATTGACTCAATAATATTTCAGATTGAGCCTTAAGTCTTTTCCAAAAACAAAGTAAGTGGCAATAAATGAATCATTTTGTAGAGGGAAGGGGTCAATCATTACTGTAAGCTCATAAAATGTTATATGGAATATGGACAAATTGTGGGTGTACATTTAAGTCTCAAATTGCATTTTTACCCAATAGCAAACACAGATAAACATTTTTAAGGACTGATCTAATAATTTCTACCTAAAATGCTTTTTATAGCTATACAAATAGTTTTATCTGAAATATTCAAATATTCAAAAACAGTGACTGACCTACTGGTATAAGATTAGCTTGTGATGCCATCTGCTGGGACTGACCATTCAGTATACTGCTGACTTGGTAGTTATTGGCTGCTGGAACAACACAAACAACACTTATCAAACATCCAAGTTAAACATATTGAACAGCTTTCTCAATGATGAAATTACTCATGCCACCTGTTCTTTCAAAATGTCCTCTATCATTCAAACATCTTCAATCAGTTGCCAAATACTATAAAGCTAAGACTTCCTCGATCAAATGGATATAATGAGTAGTAAGAGAACAATTGCAGACATGTACAAAACCTAGAAGATAAGATCTTGCATCTGCAAAAATTTCAAGTTAAACATAATCAACAGTTTTCCTTTTTTGTCAATGATAAGATTATTTTTGTTGCCTGTCCTCTATTCTCACATTTTCCACTTACTGTGTGTCAGTGGGAAATTGAAAAGCCTACATCCCCTTATAACTTATTTCCTGACAATAAGAACATTTCTTTACCCTTACTTTGTGTTGGATCAGTTCCATTCCAATAAGCCTCAGAAGGGGATTGCTGGTTGTTCCCTGCAGGTGCTGGTGGGGTGAGACCAGTGTAGCGGAAAAATGGATTTTTCAGATCAAGAGTATTAGTTGATCGTGTTCCTGTACCTGGAACTGCTATCTCTATGTCCACATCATAGCTTTGCCTTAAAAAAGAAAAGAAAGATTAGTTAATGATTTGTTAGTTAATGAAAACATAGAATGAAATCCTGTGCTAAGGGCTGATGTGAAAAAGTCAGTCCATCCCAGTTAACACTAAAATTACACAAATACCAGGTCAGTTTAGCAAGCAACTTTGGAAATACATAAAACCAATTTAAATTCATTTATACTTTCAACTCTACAAATCACAAGGCAAGAGCCACATCTGTACAAAAGGCGTAGGGCATTTACTATATTAATTTGACAATGGAGTAAACTCCTATATTTTGAGCCAGTTTTGGCAAGTAGTATCAACTGAGTTCATCTACCTCTTATTAGCTCTGAGTATGACTGATCCCTGTATGGTCTGGCCTTGCTTTACAAACACTGGGTTCTCCAGCAAGCACCTCACCTGGTACCAATGAGTTAAAGGCTGTGTAGGGGCTGTTGATAGCCACACTGAATTCCTGGAACATTCAACAAAGCTCAATATTGGCCTTACATATGAATCAAGATCATTGTTAAGAACAACAATTTTTTGAAATAACATTGCAGCCATTCTGAATTTTGGTAAATGTGTGAAGCATTCTCATTTTGAATATTATCAAAGAGCCTACTGATGTCTTTGCTAAATCTTTAATGTTTTTTCAAATTTGCAGTCAATTTTAATTGAGCATCCATATTGGGATTTATTGCCTCCTATATTGTATCTTCTAAATATCTCCATACAAATATAATTTAAAAATAATCAATTCATATTTCATTTATGGATATACTACTTACATGGAGCCTATAAAAGCCACATCAAACCAGAATGCAAGTCCATGTATGGTCCCAGACTGTAACATAGTGAAGACTAGGGGGATCTCAATACGATGTAAGTCAGTTTCATGTGCTGTTCTGAAGTCCACTGTGTGTTTCTGGGTGCGTGCCATGCAACAGCGTATATCAAATGTGTCCTACAAAAAAGAAATTAGATGTATTCAACATACATGTGATAACTATTCAGACTAAGAATATCATCCAGTGATCTTACAAGGTTCACCAGGGCACAAAATCCTACCTATCATTTTTGTAAGAGATATGATCTTATAAATAATACAATAAGACAATATCAATTGTTTTAACTCAAAATTCGTAGTTTTCTCACTTTAAGAGGTAATGTGAGGCAGTTTTTAGTCCTACAAATTATGTTTTAAACATCACAACATTACCTTGCAACCTAATGTGTAACAACTTCAGAATTTTGAAATGTTAAGTTTGAAAACTGATGATTTTTTATTAAGTCATCTGTTAATGGAACTTAAGAAGAAGAGATCAATCCAAAAATGAATTCAACTGTTAAACTTACTACAATGGGCTGTTTGAAATACTCTTGTACAGATCTCTGTCGTAAACTTGCCAAGTCAACTCCATGAAATGACTGTTGGTACCTGAAACACGACCCAGCATTTATGGTTGAGACATTTATGAATTTATAATATCTTTCATCTCAGTATACATTGGGATTATTACAGCAACAAATCACAGCCCCGTAGAAAAGGCAAGTGATTTCAGACAGTATTTTTGACCATGAAGACAGCTGTATATTTAAGATCCATTCATTATCTCTGAGAACATCTTTTATGTTGATTGTTCCTTCATCTGGTTGAGAACAATATTTACAGGTATGTCTGGACCTCATGATTCCAATTTAATTAATAACAGTACCTCATTATTAATTAATTCAAACTATTTTAGATGCAGGTAAATATATTAAACAATCTATCCCGGAGGAGGCCTTACCAGAAATTAGCTTTAGAAAATTGTTCCATGTATAGAGAATCATCAGTAAATGGTGTAACATGTAGATCACCCAATGTAGGAAACATTTTTCCTGAAAAGAACATTACTATATTATGAAACATGCTAATATATAAATTCATCATAATCCAACTACAATTGGGCCGGTTTCAACAGTAATTTTTGCATTTTTTGAGGTAATGATAGCCAAAATCTCCCGTTAAGTGTGGTTCCACATTATATTTAACTTTTGAAGATTATCGTACATTGGAATTTGTAACCAAATTAGTAATTTAGCACTAAATTACTGATATCTCAGACTATAAAGATTTAATCAATTTAATATTTTTCAAAAATATGAACGCAACCAAATGTATTGTTTTATGGGTAAAATCAAATGATTTCAACCCAGTCTGTATTTTTATAACTCAGTTAGGGACACAAAACTTTCCAAAGCAGACTACTCACCACCGGGTTTTAACCATTTCTTGGCATGTAAATAACTCTCCAACATGCGTTCATTAAATAACATGTAGCCCATTGGTTCTGAGATTATAACATCTACTTGTTCTGGCAATTCAACTTCTTCCACCTTCCCAGCAATAACCTGAATTCTGTCACTTAATTTGTTACTATTCACCAAGTGCTGAAAAAATGTTTTACCTCTTAAAACACATTTTATGAGAAAATTACTCCTTTGAACAAAAATCATTTTCTAAATTGTCTCTTGTTCATGAAAGTATTATTTATATATCCTTATTTAGACACTTTCCAATTTCTTTTGGCATATTCAAATTCTAAGACAAAATAATGGCATTCTTTTAACCCTTATTTCCTGAACTAAACCCATATTGTCTGTTTACAATGTTAGATCAAGTGATATCACTACCATGTTTTCAAACTTATCTATTTATACACATTTGTCATGTTTGTGCATGTAAATTTAAGTTCATCAAGAGCCAGTTTGTCATACAGCAAATAGGAACTTGGTCTTTCACAATATCACTAAAGTTCCATTTTGCAAAACAGCTGCAATGGAATCAAAATGTTGTTAAAAATAAGTGTAGCTATATGCTAACCTGACAATGTTGTGCCATTGAAGAGGCTTCTATTGCATACACCTTACGTGCCCCAGCCTGTACAGCAAAGAAAGATAGGATACCTGACCCTGCACCAACATCTAGAACCACCTGGAATACAACAATAGATCCTATTCACCTTTCCACAAAGTAAAGAAAATCGATAATTTCCGGCAAAATATTTTCAAAAGCATGCATGATTGAATATGTTACGGTAACTAAAACCATGGACTTTCAAGATCATGAAAGCCCATGACTAAACTAACTTTCTTTTCATTGGAACTTTTCCCAGTTGCAATTTCAGTAAAACGTAGAACGGGTTTCTCGCTAAACGCAACCGGGCCTCATTAAAAAACCTTCATTTCATCGTCCAAACTTGGAGAACGCCCATTGGCTATTAAAAGATAACTTCGAAGCCAAGAAGCTAGACTTAAACCATTACTTTATTATTTACCAAATGAAATTTGTTCATAGTACATATACGATATACCTTTTGGTATTAATTCGCCATCAGCGATGTCAATAACGATCAGCAATGTCAACATATCATCAATAAATATTATAGATATACACTCTTTCTTAAAAATCTTTCCGGTGATCATTATTCAAAATCGATCATCACATAACTAATTTATCCTATGACAAGTGAGGTTTCACAAGTGAAGTTTTCAGGACACCCTACATATTCAGGTTTGTTTTCTAAGCGTTCTCATTATTTTCGAGAAATCCATCATCATTTTGGCTAAGAAAAATTCTACGGTCTGCTGGATCTATTTTGACAGTTTTGCTTTAGCAAGATATTCTAACAAATTGACTGTTTCTACACTGAATAAAAAACATTTTCCCGGGAATATTTGGATCGGGAGATACACAGCGGGAAATATACATTGGAATATATCAATTCTATATTCCGATGTTTTCATGTATAATATTTTCAAGATACGATCTTATATATGACTTGCAGAAATAGATAGGAAGTAATCGAGATTAGTTAATTGAATTATGGGAGTAGTGAAGTCAATGATTAAATGAATAAGAGCAAATGTTTTTAATTTGAACAGGTCATTCATCAAATGACACTGAAGATTAACTTAAAATAGATTGTCTATCTATATATTTTTATGCATGAGAGACATGTTATAATGTTGGTGAACCAATGATTATGATAATTTCACCTGTTCACATGCAGTTCCCATTATGATTGAAAAATGACAGGGAGTAATTCTCTTCAATTTATTTACTCATTATGAACAGAAATTTAATATTTAAATCGCTTAGAAGGCGTAGATAAATGTCAATTTGACGTTCAATAAAAAATCCGTCAATAATTTACTGATAATTTGCACATTTGAAGAGGTAAACCTTACAGCAATCAACCGAGGATTTACATGTAAACTTAATTGCATTTGTTTTTCGCGGGAAAAAGTTTCTCCCATTGACGTCACAGATTTTTAAGTGGCTCATTATAATATTCATGAGCTGACTTTATGGAAAGGTGAATAAAGGATGATTCTCTGGCAAACAAACGCAAGTACATGGTATTTTAAGTCAAACAATTATGTAAACCTTATAAAAGCCAAATGCAGTCAAAGTGGTTGTGTGAATGTCACAGAATTACAACATATTAAAAAAGAGAAATTTTCTCCAAAATTAGGAAAGGCCCATGATTTCATAATCCTAGGAATTGATCAGGGCTATTGTTTCAGTTTGAACCTCATGTAAATTTAATTTGTGGCAAACAACTTTACTTGATAATAACGATGACAATATGACTTCACGGTTTAACTTACTTTATCTTGGAAATCTGCAGTGTTTTTGAGCATTGCATTCTGGTATGTTGAAGTCCTTACATAGTCTTGCATCATGTTCTGTTGCTGAGACAAATACCCGTAGAACTAGAAAAAAATAAATGAAACTTCATACAATAATTTAATAAATTGGAGCCTTAAACTTCACTCATTTCAGGCTTTAAAGTTTATTTGGTGTAAATTTTGTATTTTAATGTTTAGGATACATATATGTATCAAGGGTGAACTAGAAAACCATCAACTCCCTCTCTTGCCACCATTGAAATATGTGCTGAAGGTGAAATAATAATTTTACCTGGAAATACTGTTCAGCAGAAGCATCATCAGTCCTCTGGGCAAAGATAGAGCCTTTCTTACCTGAGCACAGACTTTGCATTTTGTGATGAAACGACTTCATGTCTGAAGATGAAAAAATATTTCCTTCAATTCTAAACATTTGAGGATTTGCTTCATACAATAGATAAATAGATGGCATTAATGATCTCAGTTGGAACTAGAATTCTATTAGCTAGTATGAAGAAACTGACAAATCTTTCTTTATTCTTAATTTATTATATATCTCAAATTAAATTAATCTAAAACTTTGGTATGAAACCAGACATTGTCTATTCAGGAGTGAATCTGGAACAGATATTTTACATTTCATGTAATATTTTGAATTTTAGCTTGGTCAGCTCTTTCTGTACCAATCTGTATGAGATCCTCACCATTATCATGTGCAAAATGCAGTATAAAGCTTGTCTGTGCATAGGTGACAACCGCAGACTTTTTGCCTACTCTGGCACATTCTGTTTCTGTGTTAACGCTGATCTTCTGAACCAATTGGTTGCCTGAAAATACCAGTTTAGTTATAAGATAATTCAAGGGGCATAGTTTACAGCTAGATATATGTATGTTGTCTATTCTACTTAATCTTAAAACGTTTTTACATTTATTATGCAGGAGTTTCACTAGAATTTCTCACAACAGGCTAAATAAATGAAAACAGGCAAAGTACAGGCGATTTTCACTGATTGTTTTCTAATAATAAAACCCCTGATGATCTAGCCTATAGGCCTATAGATTAGCAAATACAAAAGTAAAGTCGGAGACATTAATAAACCTCAAACTCTAAGTTTCGTGTCTCAAACTCTCCCAAGCGGTAGAAAAATAATTCCTGTTCACTCTAAGTAGCACGATAAATGAATTCAAAGCTTCATACATGCAAATGATGGATATATTTCTACCATATCCAACGAATGTTTTCATAAATTACAATGTTTTTGATCCAAGGAGGATTGACTCCCAGAATGCATCATCAGTTAACCTTATTTACCAAAATGACGGAACCGCATTTTGAAAGATGGCACTTGTTATGTTGCATTCTGGGAGCCAATCCTCCTTGCGGCGTAATCGGGCTGCAAAATCACCTCAACATTTGAAGAGTCGGCATTAACTTGGGAATATTCACTTCAAATTTTTAAGTTCCTATTTGTCATTATGGACTCAAATTCCACTATATTTGGACTTTACTAGGACAGAGAAAATAGAGCACTGAATACACCGAGGTAAGAATTTATTACATATGCGACGGCATGTATTTTTCATAGCTATAGTAATTCTTTATGTTCCCCACTGTACAGAGTTCAATAACAAAGAGACAGGGAACAAGACAAAAGCACCAAAATATCAACAACAATAATTACTCAAAAGATAAGCTTGATGTATGGCACAATTTAGGTCACACCAAATTTTGAAAGACAATTATTGAATCACATTTACATTTATGGGTATAGAATGAACCGGTCGGGAAGAAAAAGAAAAATACAAAAGATTTCTCATTTTCCGTCGATTTCTAAAGAAGGAAAACACTAAAACTCCACAATACAAATTAACTTAAAATTCACATACCATTGGAAACTGTCATAAATACCCCTTCTTCTTCATCCAATAGTTCGATTTTAAAGGGGACGTCGGATTTTGGAGTAAAATCATCATTTTCAGTCACAGATGAAAGTTTCACGTTCTGAAAGACCGATGCCATGTTGAATTTGAAATCGAGGCCGCACTCCGAAAAGACTCCTTCGACGAAACTACAGTTGTTTACATATTAAATTTCAATATTACTATATGACACACCGGATTGATACGGTTGAATGACACACTTGACTTAGTCATTAGGCCAAGCTTTGTATATTAATGAATTAGAAAGTTAGACAACCTAGATTTCAACTTGCTTTTCCAAAACTTTAGATGTAAAATATTTCATAAAACTTTTATAACTTCTAAGAGTTCCGAAAATACAGTTCAACATGGAACATGTGGGAAAGATCTTTATGCCAGGCGATGTTTTATCCAATTTACAGGCTTCACAGAAGTCAGGAAAGGTTGTGTTGGGACCAGGTTTGAAGTGCGATAATGATTCAGTATTTGTTAACAAGCCAGGAGTTCTCAAACATAAGGAACCAAATTTCTACTGGATTGACAGCCATCAAAAAAAGGTGAAGTGAATATTGTTTTGTTTTGATTTACTGCAAAGAAAATCCATCCCCATTCTATGTGTACCAATAAACAATATGTTACTTAGGAGAAAAAAATGAACCAACCAACTTTCGCCCTCTAAACTATTTTTAGTCTAAACAGGGGGCAAGGGATCAGGAACCTGCGACGCGACTTATGCCTGGCACAACCTAGTTCAACATCGTTAAACTCAATAACGGCGTTATTTATTTTTTAAGAATTTTCTTGGGGCCGTTATTGAGTTTAACCTCTTTGCTATTCTTTCCATTGATGCAAGTTTTGGATCCACCGAAACCATTTTTCCGCGATAACATGCAACTGATACTTGACAACAATATAAAAACACATAACATCAAGCGATTCAACACAATATTATTGTATTAAATGGTCATTTATACGAGTAAAATTAGGTTAAACTTACTAATCTCTAAAATGACATTTCCGCATGTCCGTCATTGTGTCTGTTCGTCCCGGGTTAAAATTTAAACTATTGAAACGAAATTGTTGTCAAATAGATTGATAATTATCACGCGATTACTCGGGATAAAATAACCATTTTTGAGGATAGCAGGTATCTTTGATTTAAGGAATAAATAATGATAGGCCATTCAATATGGTGAAATTCAGCACGAGTTGGACAGAATGTTGTACAAAGCACGAACCGAAGGTGAGTGCATTTGTACTAACATTCTGTCCAACGAGTGCTGAATTTCACCATATTGAATGGCCTATCATTATTTATTCCGATTCAAACATAAAAATTAGTAAAAGCCGTGTCTGTGGAACGGGCATGAAGGAAGAATACGCATGCTGTCAAGATGCTGAAGAACAGCTATCCCCAGACAGAGCCCCAGATGTGCAGCTGAGATGTGACGTCACTCAAAACAATGCAAATTGCAGATTGAATAGAGCATGGTCGTGCATCTATGGAGAATTAGAGAACGTTCTATATTGGCTATGCTGCATTCTGATTGGTTGAGAAATTCGAATAGAGCACGGTCATGTTTGAATGATTTATATAGCGCTTGTATACACATAAAATAGTTATTAATTGCAAACCTACTGTTTGTTGATGCAGTGTCTTAATGACGGCTAATTCCTGATACGATTTGCAATATCGATGTTACCGGAGCTGACCGATATTTTCGTAAAATTCCAAACCTGTCTCCAATATTTTCGTAATTATGCATCAATATGGTCTAAAGGAGATACGGGATGGTGTGTATGTATTTATAAGGTATGTATGCATGCTTGAATGACATTCTTTATGTAATATTACCATGTTTTCGGAGTTTAATTAGTTCCGCTTGTCGGAACCTGCGGAACGATTAAATTAACGCATCAAGGGCAAAATGATCATGGAGGTTAGACCTAGCCGGGGCCATAAGACATGTCAGATATGAAACGAGGCCCAGGCTAGGTCTAATGTTGTTGGACTAGGCACAACCATCACCATGTTACTACTTTTTTCAAGGCCTGACTGCGTCGCTAACATGCTAAATATAAGAGTTAGCTGACGTTTGGGAGTCTGACTTACCTTCTAAAGGTTAGAACCCGAATCTTAATGAAACCATATCACCTTTGTTCCGTCAACCATGGAGCATTTGCCACAACATCCAAGAGGTAAATCATGGATCGAGAAAATGAATGATTTCCTTGTAAGTTCCGGAAGTTTCAATACGAAAAATTACCGAACATATGTGAAAACCGAATATTTGTTCGTTGTTTTCACGATTTACAGGTTCGTTTGTTCTTCAATGTTTTGGTCTAAATTATAAAGCATCACCAACAGGTCTTAGTCTTACTCTATTAATCGACTAATACAGCAGACGGCTCATATTTCTACGTAGCATTTCATTCAGACCAATAGTGGGAGTGTAGATCACGCAGTTTCGTTCGTTGCGTACTTCACTTGAAATTGGTAATTTTAGATATTGACTACTTCACTTAGCTTGGCGGATGTAGAACATTGCTTAATATTCTTTTAATTTTCACACCAGACATGCTTGGTTGACACGTCAACAAAGTAAAGTTCAAGGGTCAATGCGTTATTTCGTGATAACTACAACGCCTTCCCGGAAGTCAACATTGATGAAAAATGAAAAAGTCGGAAAAGCATTTACGCTAATTTCTATCAAATGCTATGTTTATGCATCATCATCGACGCAACAAAGGTGATATGGTTTCATTAAGATTCGGGTTCTAACCTTTAGAAGGTAAGTCAGACTCCCAAACGTCAGCTAACTCTTATATTTAGCATATTAGCGACGCAGTCAGGCCTTGAAAAAAGTAATAGTTGCGTAAGGATCCTACCATGACAGTGGTAGTGTTGTCGCGATGTGCCATAATCGTACATCGATGCATCGGCAATTTTCAGTAGTAAACATCGATGCACATCGCGATGTACATCGAGAAAAAGTCCGAGAAAAGTGCACTGAAATACCGAACGCTAATGCACTAAAATACCGAACATCCGGTACATCCGGGAACTTCTAGTAAGGGTGAAATGAAAGTAAAGTAATTTTTTAGATTAATGGTTCATTTCGACTAGCTAAAACAGTTTTAAAGCGAAAGAATATCAGAAAACATTGGAAAATGAAATAATACATGAGAAAGATAAGCGATTTGCGTCAAAATAAGATAAGAAAGGGTGATTTTTAGCAAATTAATTTTTTTTAAAAACATTGATGTTTTGTTTCAGACATCGATGCATCGCGAGAATCAGCTTTGGCGATGTATATCGCGATGTATCGATTAATCGCGACAACACTAGACAGTGGTAGTGTTATTGTGAAAGCCTGGCGTGACTGTAGCCTTTATATGACATATATTATCCCACCGAACGAAGTTCGAGGGGGATATAGAAAAGCTGTCCGTTCGTTCGTTCGTCCATCCGTTCGTCCGTCCATTCGTGTGTCCGGGCAATAACTCAAATACCGGTTGACGGATTTCATTAAAAATTTATAGGCTTATGACTTATGGGTGTAGGACCTCTGCTCGAGAAGGAATTTTCAATATGGCCGCTATATTCAAAATGGTGGCCATTTTTCCGAAAAAATATAATCTTTAATTACTCAAATATTATGGCGGCCATTTTTTAGAAAAAATATAATCTTTGATAACTCAAATACTAGTGGATGGATTTGGTTCAAATTTTAAAATGCTGTTGCCTGGTTACAAAGGAGCCTTGCTCAAGAAGACAATTTCAAGATGGCCACCATATTTCAAAATGGCGGCTATTTTTCGTAAAAAACGTTATGTTTGATAACTCAAATACCTGATGCCTAGGGACATAGGAGCTCTGCTCGAGAAGGGATTTTCAAGATGGCAGCTATATTTCAAAATGGCTGCCATTTTTCATAAAAGAACGTAACCTTTGATAACTCAAATACCAGTTGATAGATTTAGTTCAAATTTTATATGCTGATGCCGAGAGAAAAAGAAGTTCTACTCAAGAAGATATTTTCATTTTGTATACTGGTGCATAGAGATAAGGGAGCTCTGCTCAAGAAGAAATTTTCAAGGTGGCTGATATTTATCTAAATCTCTGCCATTTTTCATTAAAAATGTAATCCTTGATAACTCAAGTACCAGTTGACGGATTTGGAATAAATTGTATATGCTGATGCCTTGGGACATAGGAGCTCTGCTAAAGAAGAAATCTAAAGATGACTAAAGAGTCTTATACGATATTCAAATGGTATTGCATCTTTGACAATATCAATACTTTTCAATCATCATACCATTAACTTATGACCTCAGCAAAACATTTATCCACAAGTCGATACTTTGTAAAATACCCAATCCACCGTCTAAACAACAGTTTAAGAACAATTATCTTTTCAATACAATATAGAGTCTTATACAATAACAGTACCCAAACGTTGCGGACACACTGAATTAGCTCATTAAAGATTCCTCATATTAATACATGTATACTAAAAGTTGCCATACCATGTCTGTCATCCAAAAATGCCTGATAATTTTATTTTTCTGACACTTTCACAGTCATAATTCAATGATCATTATGATGTAACAGGAATGACAGGAGCACCAAAGGGTACATTTTGGGCCTTTTCCATCGTTATGAAGGGTCACTCTTGAAAAGTACATATTTCGATGGTGTTTGTGAAAAGTGTATTATGTATTTTGTTTCCACATATTTGTTTACCAATAATATAAACTTCTTTTCCTCTTTCTTTTGCAGGTTATTTGAATGAAATCGGACTACAAATTCCTGAATTATAGCAACTTTCATGAATCCTGTCTATTGTTATAGAATTTTTTTATTTTATGCTTTCGCACATTGAATACCCCAGGACTTTATAACATAAATACACTTTCAACAACTGCAAAAGAACATATTAAAATCTTAAATATATACTAGATCAGAAATTAAAAGACCGCAATGTATTCTTAATATTTGTTGAGATACAACACTTTCCATGGTATTTTGTGTATCTGAAATAATTGTCGGTATATAAATGTCACATAAAGGCGATGGTCGTTGCGGGCTTTCACAATAACATTACCACAGTCATGGCAGGATCCTTGTGCAATTTAACAATATAGTGATGGTTGTGTCAGGCATAAGTCTTGCAACAGATAGCATGTGCAAATTTGGCAAAATATAAGGCCCATTTGTTGACAATTTGGCCTAAAAGGTCCTACAAAATCTGGATCTCTTTCTGCCAGTGAGACCAGCATTTTATACTATATTATTTGTATTATGCTTCAGATCCACAAATAATATTCCATTTACAGTTCTACCATTGGAAACAATGTTTTATTCTGGAGAAGATGATGAATTGAGATTACCAGACTGTACAGTTTGGGCAATAAATAATTCATTTTGGATTTGCTGAAGTGAGAATCTTAGTTTATTTTTTCAGGAAAAAATTTGTTATTGAATTGCTATATGGATAGGCGCATGGTATGGAATATGGGTTAGGTCTTCTGAGAGGGGCGAGCAATGTGTCTATAAAGTGAAACAACTTTACACAAATTCTTGTACATATTTGAAAAATGAACTCAGTAACTTTGTAAGAAACTGGATGTTACACCTCTGAAGAATGAAAAAATTGGGAAAATTTGTAGTTATAGGACTTAAAGTCAACTCACATCTCTTATCATGTCTTATACATATTGCTCCCCCCTCCACCCCCCCCCCCCCCATTCGTCCCATTCTAATTATTTTTTATATCATGTTTGGAAAGTTATTCTATAAAGTCAGCAATGGCATTAATTTAGTTATGATAACATTACTTACAAGTATTTATTACAGGTCGTATAGACCCTTGTTCCTTGATTTATAGCAAAAACATTGACATATGCACATTGGTGGCCTTGCACCTTTTTTAATAAATCTCATATCTTAGAAGCCTATCTGTAAAAAAATCCTAGAAGACCTAACAAATTTTACCATACTCTGCACCTATTCATTCAGGAATTCAATTGTAAACGAATAAATCTTCCAGATTTTTGCTCCCCCTCCATCTCATTTTCACGATCACCGGGCGTGATGTTGAAAACAAGAGAATTTTCAAGAGGCCATATACCAGTGGATGAGAGATCAGAAAATTTAAAATATACAAATTTTAGGGGATATGTATCTTGACAATAGTGGAAACTATAGGCTTTCAAACCACCATGGTTTGGAAATGGTGATAGAAAATACTCATTTATTTATGAATTGCCCAAACTGTAAGCATACATTACAGATCTTATCTTTTTTTCTGATTTAATAAAATTTCTTTGTATATTATGCCCCATTATCTTCTGTTTTTAGTATGTGCCAACAAGAGGGGAACATGTACTTGGGGTAGTGACCAATCGCATGGGAGATGTTTATCGTGTTGATATAAGAGGAAGTGAACCAGCCTCACTCTCATTTCTCTCCTTCGAAGGGGCAACAAAAAGAAATAGACCTGACATCAAGGTAAAGATTTAGTCCAGATAATAGATTTCATTTTGAAAAATATACATATTATAATATGACATACTCTTTGCAACAGTCTGATTTCGCTTCATCTACACTTAGTTTTAATACTAGCCTCTGTATTCCTGGGATTATTACATGTACTTATGGGTAATTCTGGCAACAGAGTATTTGTTATATACTGATATAGAAGAATAAATAGTTTGAGCCATATTGCTATAGTCTTCCAACTTTTTTGTGGATTGTATTTGGTGGTTGGTATAATTGGGGCTATATGGACACCCTATACAGGGTGTCAAAAAACAATGGCACTCCCCCCCCCCTCTATGTATATATTTGTACTTCTCTCATCTGCAGATAGGAGATCTTGTATATGGTAAATTGCTCTGTGCCAACAAAGATATTGAGCCTGAGATGGTATGCATCGACAGCACAGGGAGGAGTAACGGAATGGGCGTCATAAGCTGCAATGGTGGCTTCATGTTTACATGTTCGCTAAACCATATACGCAAGTAAGTATTCACATGTACGAGTGTATAGAGTGCTTGCTTTAATGGTGATACACAAATATGAATTTGGTCAGCTTTTTAAAGGACTTTTGTTATCCCGTGAATGAAGTTCTGTATGGACATTGAGAAGCTATCCTTTGTTTGTACAGGTATGTTCATATTCATCCCTCCATCTGTTTGGCTGATAACTAATATAACAGTGGTCATGTTTTTGTTAAGTTGAACCTTGATGATTGAAGGCCCATTCATTTACATTGAACACAAATCTTTCCCTGATTTAAATCAACAGATTTCAATGGTCCTTTTTCCATATAGAGCTTTGAAATCTCGTTAAAATCTCGTTTTTAAAGAGATTTTGGGAGATCTGCATTTTAACCCTTAAACACTGCTACCCACCTAATTACACAGACGTATCGTCGGTGTATCATGGCGGAACTTCCTCCGGGACTAGGTTTCGGTAAGATTTTTTTATTTCCCGATTTACACCTACTTATAAGTCACGTTGTGGATAATAATTTGGCTCGAAATTTAAGGAAGATAGTCTAGTTTGAGAATGTGTCGATGGTTTTAGGTTTTATATGTTAACAAAGACACAATTCACGTATTTAGTCCCTCGCTTTTCTTACACTGACGAACGACCAATATCAGTGTAATATTGGCAATATTAACTCATTCAATACTGGGGCAAAAAGCACTATAATACTGACGATATTTTGAAAATTGCCATATATGGTACCTCTGAAATAATATATATTGTATATACATGGGCATACATATATAGTGTTATATATCATTTTAAAGCATATGATATACTCTTTCAAAATGAATAGTCTTTTTAAGTCCAATTTTATAAGTTGTCATGGTTACAAGATTCCCAAAAATACATTGGGTTTGTGCTTGGACTTGATATCACGTCCTTAGTAGTCAACGTATGTGCTTTATGACGTCATATCAAGTCCTTAGTAGCCGATCGTCAGTGTAAGAAAAGCGAGGGACTAAATACGTGAATTGTGTCTTTGTTAACATATAAAACCTAAAACCATCGACACATTCTCAAACTAGACTATCTTCCTTAACTTCGAGCAAAATTATTATCCACAACGTGACTTATAAGTAGGTGTAAATCGGGAAATAAAAAAATCTTACCGAAACTTAGTCCCGGAGGAAGTTCCGCCATGATACACCGACGATACGTCTGTGTAATTAGGTGGGTAGCAGTGTTAAAGACGAATTTTTTTTTTAAGTTGATCCAAATGGAATTGTTTCTTAAATCAAAAAATTAAGTTACTCTGGCAATACATTTACATGTATTCTAGCCCTACCCTTGCCCTACCAATACCCATGATGCCATCTATTTTCCATTTATATGGAAAAAGTTCAATTGACCAACACTGTTTTCGTAATGCATACACATAACATAATAAATAATTAATTTGGTCATTGGCGTCATTTTCGCTCTGTATCTCAAGCTAAGTTGAGAGTGTGTGTAAATACAGAATATATATTTAAAGTCCCCGTCTAAAGTTTGAAAATATTTTTTTATCATTCATTTACTATTTGTCATGACTTAAAAAGTTATTTTAGAGATTTTTGAAAAAAAAAATTTCTTGAGAAAAAAGTTGTGAGCATTTCATTTCTCAAATATTCAAATTTCCCGCCATTTTTCAAAAAAAGTTGAAATTTTTTAATTATCAAATATTTCTTAATGCATTTCAAAAAAGATTATCTTTTTAATACCAATGCAAAGATTGATCAAAGGACACACTATTTCAAGAATAAAATGCCATATTTAATGGGCCACTTCAATGTTTTAGCATATCAAAAATATTTGAAACATTAGTGATGTCACTAAGGTAACAAAAACTTTTTGAAAAAAATTGAAATTTTTTTTTTTTCGATGTCAATCTTTTCTAAATATGCTAGACTTCAATAATAAACCAATGTTGATTGTCTAAAGGCCCGGTCACACCGCCCGGATGTGCTGGAGCGTTCCTTGAACGTTGAAAAAATTCATCAACGCTCGTCAACTCGCACAAAATGGGGGAAAAAAACAAAAACACGGGCATTGGATTAGCGGTGCACCGCTGAAGTCGGCGTTGCTTTAGTGTTGGTTAAGCGGTTGCGAGCGGTAGCTAGCGTTTGTTTAGCGGTAATGCGAGCGTTGGTATAGCGGCGTTCTGCGCATGAGAGCGTTGCTTCGGCGGGGGTATAAATAGCAGCAGCGTTGGTTTAGCAGCATAACGCGTTTGACTACTGGGAAATTATTTCAAGTGGGAAGTGTTTAAGAGTAAAGAACTTTATTGGAATTTGTAACTTTAACAAAAGTCCTTCAAGGATTAAAGAAGAAATGTTTTAAATCTAAAGTGCTTCTATTAATGTAATATGACATTAAGAATGAATAACATTACAATTTTCTTTAATAATCTCTCATATCATTTCAAACAAACATATCACAATTTAATCGTTGCATTTCCATTACTTGGAACCGATTTACGTTCAAATTGCTTTAACAATGTCAAATAACATTTACAGCAAAGCAATAATCATGACGCATGACAAATTTTTGCATTGCTGTGCGCGCATCAACTTTTTGTATAATACCATGACGAGTGCAACATTTTACAAGCTGCGCAGAAAATTCACAGATAATTTATTGAATTGCTTGACGTGAAAACACTAGGTATATACTATATTTGAATAAAGGTCTCAGTAAAAGTCTATTTGTATTAACATTTAATGAAAAACAAAAATCGCATAATTCACCTTTTTAAAATCCAAAATCACAAACTTTGAGCGCTTAATTTAGGAATTTACAATGCAAAAAATTGAAATGCCAGACATGAATATATATCAAATGTAAAATGCACAAGTGTCTCCACAGTGTTCTACACAGTGGTGCATTTCTCCACGTATTTATAGCCAAATTCTGGTCCCACTCCGACACCTCTATACCAACGCCAAAGCAAAGTTCATCGCCGCCATGGAACGCTGCGACAACGTCCGACACCGTTCCAACAACCCCATGTACGCTGATAAAACGCTAACAACCGCTCCACCGACGTTTGTGCAACGTTTAATCGCCGCCCGGGCAACGCTGGCGAAGCAGCGGTGGTCCAGCGTTAAGATTTCTGCGTTGGTCTAGCGGATTCAAGCGTCCACGAACTTGCGTCTAGCGGTGCCAAACTTTGACTGGGCGTTGGTGGAGCGGTGATAAACTTTGCCAGGGCGTAAAATTGTCCCTTTTTCAACGGTCGCAATATTTTGAGCAGCTCAAAACTTTTGGAGCGTTAGGATGGCCACTCGAGAAACATCCGCGTTGGCCAAGCGTTTACAGCGTTGCTTTAACGGATGCCAACTTTTGTTAAACGGTGGTGAACGTTTACGAGCGTTGATGATTTTTTTCAACGTTCAAGGAACGCTCCAGCAACGTTTAGGCGGTGTGACCGGGCCTTAACCAGGTTAAAAGGAAGAATATATTATGTTTAAGATATCATTGTACCATTGGTTTCTATGAGAACTAAAATTTTGAAATGCATTTTTCTCAGAACCATTTTCATGAACTGGTAAGTTCATTTCTCGCTTATTTATGAACTGATTTTCTTAATTTTTTCGGCAAAAAACATTTGAGGATGAATGCTATGCATTGGTATGAATTGTGGCTAACTAAAAGATATTTGTGACCTTTAAAAGTTAGTTTCAAATAAATTCACAAATTTTGGAACAAAAAGTCTATCAAGAACCACTTTTTGAAATTAAAAAAAAAAGTTTCACATATCACACTTTGATAACATTGGGTAAGACTACAATATAAGCCAAAGTGGTTTAAACTTTATACGGGGCCTTTAAGTCACATGGACCAATCAGGTTGCAGGGAATTTCACCATCATGGAATAAACTCATTTATTAACTAGAAAACTGGCTGAAGTATAAAAGATGTAATAAGATGCAATCAGCTATTTTATAAAATATGCACCCAGTACTGAAAGATCTTGAAGTCTTCAACCATACAATTTTCTCTAGCTTCAGTTATAGGTATCCAATCCAATTTTGAGATGTTACGTTTATATGAAAATGTAAATGGCATAAAAGGGTGTATATTCATGAAATTAAAAAAAGTTGATTACTGAAATCCAGCTTGAAGTTGGAGAAAAGTTATGGCCTCCTATTAACATTACAGTTACAGAAGTTTGCTAGTTACAAAGTTTATTAAATAGTTCATTCATGAATATTTACAATAAGGAAATAAATTATGAAAAATCTATATCTTATTCAAATAATAAAATTAGGAACATATAGTACTTCTTACATTTTACCCTCTTTACGTCTAGTTCTTAAATATAAATTGAACACATACAATTAGCTTGTTAGATTGTTAGAGCATGCCGACATCAGTTAGATAACCCTTCAATATCCAGGCCCATAGCCAGGAGGGGGTTCGATGACCCCCCCCCCCACCCCCGGCCACAAAATCTTTCAAAATCATGCAGTTTTTCATCATTCTGAGCATTTTTTAAGTGATATTGGCCATTTTTGGACCATAATTGACACAAGTGAACCCCCCTGGAATTTTTCAAAAAGTGAACCTCCCTTGGCAAATCCTGGCTAGGGGCCTGAATATCTGTATTGATCACACTATAGTCTGTTCAATGATTGACTGATATTTACAGTGTTTTTGGTTATCTACATGGTGGTTATCTTAGTAGAAACTTCCTTATGTCCATCTGGTCCAAACTTATATATATTGGTATGATTCCCCGCACCAACCAATCTATCAATGTGACATTTTTTCGATTGGTCAAGACTGAAAAGTTGAAATTGTGAGTCTAAATCTGATGATGGATTAGATAGCTTTTTGAAGCAGACATTTGTACGGCTTTTATCACTTGGGTCATAGGACAAATAGAGATCTTGATTCAGAAATGAAACCAAATGCACAAGATTTGATGGGGCACCTTCTACCGGCTTTACAACAAAGAACCTTGGGTCTTCTTCCATACGATGAACATCTTTACGGGGAGGTTTGCCTCTGATCAGTGTGACGGGTGAAGATTCATGCGCTTTGTAACTTTTTTGAAGTTGCAGGAAAATCTCCTTAAGGGTGCAAAGCATCATTATCCTTGTAGGACAATGGTTAGGTTCATCCATACCACTGAATGTGTAACATACAAATCGGAAAAACACTTTATTTTTGTCATATGTCAACGGAGCCAAACAAATTTTATCCCCATTGAGTTTCAAGTAGTTGCCGGTTTTTATATTTTTCAGTTCAATAGGGATTGCACCATTCACTCTCATTATGCCATCTATATAATCAAATGTTAATGCGAAATCTTGAGTTATATCGAGTTCCTCACTGTGGACAGTAACATCACCACTGGATGTGATTTGAATACTTATTTTAAGTCGTATATACTGCTCAGTGGGTATAGGGATATGATCATTATTATTGACAGTTTCTCTACATAGAAGAATGTCAAGTGTTGTTGGGTTAATGTTTGTCATTGTATCGATTAAATGGCTGTGGTTCATTTCCTTTAGTGATACTCCCATGAACTCTATCAGCTTGTCGCCCTCTTTCAACCGCATCTCATCAGCCAAACCACCACCTAAAACTTCAGTAATTTTATGACTGTACACTTGTTGAGCCTCCATGTTGGTTTCAAGTTTAGCGAGTATGTCCAATGTCTTGGTTTGTTGATTGTTTGTTGTGTCATTTAGTGAAGGCATTGTTCCATCAGTATATTCTACTTCAGTACAGTTTTGTATGGGATGGTAGAGATGTATATTACTCGAATCCATTTTGTTAATTTGGAGGATAGCACCCTTGGTGTAAGTACTGGATCTTGTAGATCTCTGAAACAGATAAGTGTTTCTATTGATACCAGTTGTCAGATTTGGCTTTTTTGAACAAAGTTCAAGATAGATATCAACAACCCTGACAAACATTGAAATACACAGCAACATTTGGCAACATATCTAAATTGCTTAGGTTCTTAGAAAAAGAAAGGTGTGTGCTTATTGGAACATGTGTGTGTCTATAAAAGCCATATGAAGGGCCATATGGTATAAATACTGTAGATTGGGTTCATTTGGCACCTTCTTTAATTTGACGAATTTGGCAAAATAGAAAAAACGCCAATTTACATCTTTACCAAAATTAAGAAAGGATCCCCGGAAATTCCATCTGGTGTATATTTCCGGATTAGATTTTACAAAATCTGAAAAGAATTAGGGTGATAATCAGAACATGTCACCCCAAATTGGCTCATTGAAGGAATGTGTGTAACAATTTGTATTTTGTTCCAGTGTATATGGAAATTGTAGCATCTAGTGTTCGCCAAATTGAAAAGCCGCAAATATGACAAAAATGGCAAAATCACCAAATTGAGTAGTACCAAATTAACCCAATCTACAGTACATGTTTATATCCTTTAGAGCAATGTGTTATCTTTATCAAAACCATGTCACTCCCCTAAATGCTCTTTATCATGCAGAGCTTCTTAACTTGAAATGCACAATCAACAATCAACATGTCCTTGAAGTGTTTACTTTGAATTGACCTCATCCTTCAAAATCGAGCTTCACTGCTGTACAACATCTATGGAATGAATTATAATATGGCTTGGACCAAGGATGAAGTGACCTGACTTTCAATGAATGAGAGGTCATTATAGCATCCTTCTGCTATCAAAATCAATGTGATCTACTTAAATATGATAATGAATCTGCAATACTTACCCAAGAATTTGTTTGTTGTCTGATTTCTCACTGAGTGTTCTCTTTCCTGATTGTTTGTTGTGCCGATCCTCTATTTTGCTGATCCTCTATTTTCCTGGTTCTCTATTATTATTCTGGCCAACTAGCTGTTCAACTAAAAGTGAAAAGTGTAGTTAAATCTCAAATCAGAATATGCATGTTATGTAGTCATATATTTATATTCAAATTCAATTCATTCACATGAGTAAATCAATATTGAAGTTTATTTGATAAATACCAGTATTTAATGTGTTTTTTTACTGTGCATTCTTAAGAAGCGGGTTGCTCATCTAGAGTTACACAAACCGTCTCAAAGTTCATGTTCACAAGCTTCTTTGCTCTTAACATGTGATAAGGCTCAAATGACATGAATAGTAAGGTAATTACAATACCAGTATGTATGCTTTTAAGCGATTTGAAGTGTTTTTTTTGTTTACCTTCTTTTATATTTTTTGCTTGAATTAGATTTAATAAGGGTTAGTGAAGGGCATTTTTCAAAATATTTACACATCTTTCGGAGGATAGGTTGGTTAAAGTAGTTAAAGAGAGAATCAGAGATAGTGAGCAGCCTAACAAAAAATTGTTTCGATTTTAGAACATATCTGGCTTATGTCATTCCTTTTCATGTCTATTTTCTATAAATCCCCAAAGTGCACACTTTATTTCAGGAAAACTAAAGATTGTTGCAATAATGTGTTATTTTTCTATAAGAATGGTTACCATTCTTATTATTTGGGATAATTTAAACATTTTTCACCCATTTTTGCACCTTGAATCCATTATAACTTCACCAATTAGTAATATATCGAAGATCTTTTGGGAGATATTGTATTTGAGATTGTAAGCAATAGATTAGTAGGTCAATTGGACATGTTGCTTGTAATTTTGTCACCCCTATAGATCTGATTCTGCCTTTAATTAGAAATTTAAATCTGTTTCAGACCAACCTATCAAATGTACAGGGTGTTTCATAATGACCATCCCCCCATCCAGAGCCAATCCTAGATCATGTGGCCCCATAATCTATATACCATGATAAAGGCTATTCAATTCTGGACTTATGTGCAAAATTTTAGCATGACTGGTCAATGAGAACATAATTTGTAAACTTATGTTGGATAGTCACTTTACCCTCAGTTTGTGTGATTTGTGGGTACCATTTCTTATAGATTTAAAGAGAGGGACATATTGCTATATAATCCATTGAATCACTTAGAAGTCTCTTGGTATTTCTTTGATATATTTTTATACTTTTGTCTTTCAAATATTACCGGGATATATCCTCAGCATATCCTCAGGCACATGGCTAATTTTGGAAAAAATGTAGCTTTCAGATCATGCTTAAGGTAAAATGGGTACCTTATGTAGAAGCATGAAGCAAGTTGTTAAGACTGTTGAGCTTACTCAAAGTTATTTAAATAAGTCTAGAATTGAACAAGCTTTCATATGATATATAACATATGCTGGTATGCTATTTGGGATTGGCGGTTGATGGGGGGACGGTCATCATGAAACACCCTGTACAATCTAACATACTCCAAAATTTAAATATATACTGTTCATCTGTTAGTTAGTTTGTCCACGCAAAAATTTGGCTGATGCCATAATTTTCAGTATTCAAAAAGCCACTATTTTATTATTGATAACTCAGATACTGGTTGGCAGTTTAATATTATCAGGGATGGTGTCCAGTCATCAACTTTCGGTATTTTTTCAACTTGTTTCACATTGGCAAATGTTTTTTTCAAAATCATCTACAAGTTATAAGAAGTTCAAATTTGACTTCAGATTTGAGATTTGACCTTCAATGACCTTCTCAAGGTCTAAAAAAGTTTGTTTTTTTCAATTTGCTACAAATTGACCAATTTTTTTCTTCAAATTCCTCTACAAGTTCTCAGAAATTCAAAACTAAGATTGAACTAATAATATTGTGAGCAACTAGGTGGCAACATTTTCTCATGTTGATACCTTTTCATAGTCTTGCTTTAACCCCTTATGCCCCCCCCCCACCTATACACCATACCGCCACAACAAGGGAAGGTGAAGTGAAATGTTTCTGAATATTAAGTACATTTATTCCTGATAAATTAATTAATTTAAAAAAAAGAAAAATAAACAAATAAGAAAATTTTAAGATGTAAAGATATAAAAAGATTTTAATATGTAGAAATAAATAGATTTTTCCTTTTGGCAAGATCGAAATATTTAACTGTACTTACCATTCAGAATGTGATCTTTGACTGAAATGAGATATCAGTAAGATTAGCTTTATTTAAAGTGTAGAGAATGTTAAGTGAGTCATGCACTTCCTGTGTATTACTGAAATTTTCAAATTTTATTAAGTTATTTTTCTCTTCCTGGTCCATTGTCTCTATTTTTCTTTCAAAATTTTTAATCTTCTTCCTGGTTCAAAGTCTTAAAACTAATTTCTGTCACCCAGCCAGTATGGAAGATGAGAACACTACCCTATTGGTAAATAAAGAAGAGCTTATTTAAATGTGTTTTTAATAACTTCACTTCTTTTAAGTATGAGATCTTTTGAAAAAGGCACTTATCAAATCTGAATCTGCATGTGAGAGAGAGCGAGCTAATGAGTGTGTCACAGAGCCTGATTTAGAACTACCTGGTTTATGACACGCATTATTAGATATTTACAAATTCCAAGCCAGTTCACTTGTCATACTAAAAAAATAATACTCCTACGCATAAATTGGTGGCTGTTAAATTTTGAATAAACTTCCCTGATTCTAAAAATAGGATTTGCATTCCAAGGGAAAAGGGAACTCTAAAATTAGCAGGTGTGACAAATATATGCATTTATAAGGTAAATAAAATTGTCAAATATATCATGTGCTTGGATTACAAAGTTGTAGGATGCTTCATATGCCTTGCTTGCTGTGGCTACAATTGAATGAATTTTCCTGTACAATAAAGCTAAATTGCAGAAAATTTTGATTGGCTCATTACTAGAAAATTAGGATGTTAGATCAAGGGGAATCTATATTAAATGGATGACTACAATTTCCATTTGTTAACATTTGATCTTCTGAAGAGGGAGGATTTTTTAAATATTATAGAAGTTTTCAATAGAAAGGTGTGATTCTGTTTTAAAAAACGTCAATATCCCCAGTAACATAAACCTTATTTTTCATGAGATATGATCAACATATAAACTTCCAGGTCATGATTGAATACATTCATATTAAATGTATGTATGTAATGTACTTTAATGACTGTGAGCATTTCTTTGGTTTTCTTCAACAGTGAGGTCATCATAGTTTCAGTACTTGTACTATTAGTCCATATTCATTTACTAAGTTGATTTTCAGTCATGAAAAATATAAAAACTTCATACCTTTGTAATACAAGATGCTATTCTTTTAGTGTTCAAAGATGTGACACTTTTTGTATTTTGGGATGATTTTCCGTGGGCGTGGGCTATATTTTGAGTTTGTACGCCCACTCGGGGATTTCTGATCTTGTGGGGGCTGGGGGTATGTGCCCCAGGAATTTTTTCCAAAGACAAACTTTAAATATTCTATTCTGCTAAAACTTAATGGTTAAATATACAAATACAGAATCATCAATAAATGTGCAAACAAATTAATGCATTTTTAACACATTTTTAATTTTTGTACCAGGCTTTCATATTGGTACTCGGTCAACTCGGACCCTAGTTAACTCGGACCCTAGTCAACTTGGACCCTAGTTAACTCGGACCCTAGTCAACTCGGACCCAGTTATATTCAAAATAGATCAGAGGCATTTTGCTATATAAGAGGTGAAAGCAATTAACTTGCAAAATATTAAGAATATTGGAACAGTTTAAGATATAATTCAATTCATTACTCAAATCTTTAAATAATGATGTTTATGTATATTCCTGATTGGTCAAAATAAATATTTTAAAACCTTTATACTTTTATGCTAGTTGCCTCATATGTGATCAAAATATTCTTTATAATTAAATAAGAATGATTTTGATTCATTTTATATTGACTTTATTTAGAATTTAGAATTTATCAAAAACTTCATACCTTTGTAATACAAGCTGCTATTAATCCTCTTTTAGTGTTCAAAGATGAGACACTTTTTGTATTTTGGGATGATTTTCCGTGGGCTAGGGCTATATTTTGAGTTTGTACGCCCACTCGGGGATTTCTGATCTTGTGGGGTCTGGGGGTATGCGCCCCAGGAATTTTTTCCAAAGACAAACTTTAAATATTCTATTCTGCTAAAACTTAATGGTTAAATATACAAATACAGAATCATCAATAAATGTGCAAACAAATTAATGCATTTTTAACACATTTTTAATTTTTGTACCAGGCTTTCATATTGGTACTCGGTCAACTCGGACCCTAGTTAACTCGGACCCTAGTCAACTTGGACCCTAGTTAACTCGGACCCTAGTCAACTCGGACCCAGTTATATTCAAAATAGATCAGAGGCATTTTGCTATATAAGAGGTGAAAGCAATTAACTTGCAAAATATTAAGAATATTGGAACAGTTTAAGATATAATACAATTCATTGCTCAAATCTTTAAATAATGATGTTTACGTATATTTCTGATTGGTCAAAATAAATATTTTAAAACCTTTATACTTTTATGCTAGTTGCCTCATATGTGATCAAAATACTCTTTATAATTAAATAAGAATGATTTTGATTCATTTTATATTGACTTTATTTAGAATTGGAACCTATAGTATGTTTAAAAAGAAATTAATTCAATTTAGCCTGTTTTGTATAATGCTGTTATATTAAGTTTGATTAAGAAACCCAATTAAGAAATCTTGTATCCTCTGATAAGCATTTAATTAGGGTGTTGAAGTAAACAGAATATATAGCTAGTATTACATTGATTCCAATATACAGTATGGTGAAATGTATAGTGCATTTGTGTTTTAACAAATATTCTTTCTAGTCTGGCAGAAATATAGGGTTATTTTGACATTCAATCGTTTTCTTCGGATTACAATGTTTTTATTTTAACTTATCAACATGAATATAGGATTGGGACCTCAAAACCACCGGATGCCGGTGCGGCACCCTTGGGCAACTCTCTACAGAGCAATTCTTATACCCCCCTGATAAAATATACAGGGGGTACTATAAGACACCCTCATATCTCAGATACTGATAAATATATTAACTTGAGATTTTCAGGAATTAGTTTTAGTATGATGCTTGACATGTATGACAAAAATCAAGAAAAAATCTAAATCCGTTGCTATAGCAACAGCAACAGAACACTATTTGTTACCATAGAGATGCATTATTTTGCTGGTTTTCAACATTTCTTCATATAGTTGATTCTTAAACTAGTATATAGTATTACACTTGTATATAGGACACTGCATATTTTATTTTTAGTATATACATGTATATCAAATGAAATCTAATGAATTCATACAGTAGTTAGGTTGGCATATAGTCTAGACTTTGGCATTTAGAACATGCATCATAATAAAATCTAATGTAATTATACAATAGAGAGGTTGGCATAGTCTAGATTTTGGCATAATGTCTAACTTTTATAAGCATTTGCTTTCCTCATCTGAGCAATCAGACTACTGGGGGACCCTGTATAGCTTCTGGGGGCCACTGGGGACCATCATATAGATTTTAAAGGCACTGTGAATATTTGATTTAACATTGAATTCAATTGGATATTTCTCTAACAGTGAAATTTAATGGCCATGAAACATTTCAGATTGACAACATCGTGAATTTTTGTCAGTGAAAATTTGGGCTTACTTATGGGGGCCACTGGGGGCCCTCGTATGGTTTCTGGGGGCCACTGGGGGCCCCTGTATAGCTTCTTAGGCCACCATATAGCTTTTTTGGGCCACTAGGGGCCCCTGTATAGCTTCTGGGGGCTCCTGTTTAGCTTCTTGGAGACGCTGGGGGCCACCATATAGTTTTTGGGAGCCACCGTATAGCTTCTGGGGGCCCATGTATAGTTTCTTGGGGCCATTGGGGGCCAACGTACAGCTTCTGGGGGCAACCATATAGTTTCTGGGGGCTACTGGATGCCATCCTATAGCTTCTGGCAGCTGCTGGGGGCCACCGTATAGCTTCTGGGTACCATCATATAGCTTCTGTGGCCTACCATATAGCTTCTTGGGGCCACTAGGGGCCCCTGTATAGCTTTTAGGGGCCACTGTAAAGCTTCTTGGAGCCACTGGGACCACCACATAGCTTCTGGGGGCTACTAGGGGCCCCTGGATATGCTTCTGGGGGCCACCATATAGCTTTCCGGGGCCACCGTATAGCTTTAAGGGGGCACTAGGGGCCACTGATTAGATTCTGGGGGCTACTGGGGACCCCTGTATAGCTTCTGGGAGTCACCATATAGCTTCTAGGGGCCAGTTGGAGCCCCTGTATAGCTTCCGGGGGCTACCATATAGCTTCTGGGGGTTACTATGGGTCCCTGTATAGCTTCTGGGGGCTCCTGTTTAGCTTCTTGGGGACACTGGGGGGCCACCATATAGTTTTTGGGAGCCACCATATAGCTTCTGGGAGCCCTTGTATAGTTGCTTTGGGCCATTGGGGGCTACTGTATAGCTTCTGGGGGCTACCATATAGCTTCTGGGGGCCACTGGATGTCATCCTATAGCTTCTGGGGCCTACCATATAGCTTCTTGGGGCCACTAGGGGCCCCTGTATAGCTTTTGGGGGCCACTGTAAAGCTACTTGGAGCCACTGGGGACCACCATATAGCTTCTGGGAGCTACTAGGGGCCGCTGGATATGCTTCTGGGGGCCACCATATAGTTCTCCGGGGCCACCGTATAGCTTTAAGGGGGCACTAGGGGCCACTGTATAGATTCTGGGGGCTACTGGAGGCCCCTGTATAGCTTCTGGAAGTCACCATATAGCTTCTAGGGGCCATTTGGAGCCCCTGTATAGCTTCTGGAAGTCACTATATAGCTTCTAGGGGCCATTTGGAGCCCCTGTATAGCTTCTGTGGGCTACCATATAGCTTCTGGGGGCTACTAGGGGTCCCTGTATAGCTTCTGGAGGCCACCTTATAGCATCTTAGGGCCACTGGGGGCCCTGTATAGCTTCTGGGGCCACTGGGGTCCATGGTATAGCTTCCGGGGGCCACTGGGGGCATTTTTTATTTGAACCTTAAAAATTAATCTATTTTTGCCAGATTTGGTGGCTGTCGAGGTGGGGTAAAATTAAATTATAATTTTTTTTTCAAATTCATGTGACTATTTATCTCTAAAGCAGCACTTTTTTACCTAGGGAGCATAACCTTTTCAAGAAGAGTTATTTTGGACCACCTTTTTAAAGAAAGTGAAATGTAAAAACCTGATTATTAAGTGCTGTTACCATAGCAACTGAAATGTTAGATATATTACATAAACCATATGATGAATTATTTCATCTTTACTTCTAATCATGTATTTAACAGATATGTATATACTTCAGATGCTTTAAGAATCAAGAATATGAAGAAAATTATGAAACTCAGCAAAATAATGCATTTCTACGGTAACAAATTGTGTCTATTTCTGTTGCTATAGCAACGGATTAAGATTTTTTCTTGATTTTTGTCACATGTGTCAAGCATCATACTAAAACTAATTCCTGAAAATTTCAAGTTAATATATTTATTAGTGTCTGAGATATGAGGGTGTCTTATAGTACCCCCTGTATATTTTATCAGGGGGGTATAAGAAATGCTCTGTAGAGAGTTGCCCAAGGGTGCCGCTCCGGCATCCAATAGTTTTGAGGTCCCAACCCTATGTTCATGCTGATAAGTTAAAAAAAAACATTGTAATCCGAAGAAAACGATTAGCTTTGAAGTTTCTGCCAGACTATTCCAAATTCATTTTCTAAACATATGCGTAAAATTACTTTCTGTTTGTCGAAAATACATGATTATTTCACAACACCTTTTTATTTCATATTTCAAAACTTCAAGGCGCATTTAATGGAGATACAATGATTAAATAATTTGGTGATCTTGGTAATAATTGAATGGGTGGGGAATTTGAAATATATTTTGATTTAATAAATCAAAGAATTACAAATGCAAATTGCAAAGGGGACATGCCATTAAGAGGCCATTCTCTGACTTAGTCATTTTTTCAAAAGTGTCAAAATAAAAAAATTCATGAAAAGTCCTAAAAATATTCTGAATAACAAGTTGAATATATATATTTAATGATGGCACAAGCAAAAGTCTGAAAATTAACATGAAATGAAGGGTTTTGACAGATGCAAAAGATGGTAGATTTGTGATGAAGAAATAGAGGTTTTTGCAGTAACAACACAATTACCTCAAAGTTATCCGTTATGAGAGGCTGAGGACTAAACTTGACATAATTTTCAATCTCAGATTATCAGTAGTATCTAACTTAAGCCGGACAGCCACTCAAAATGTATATGGAGCCCATAAGATTCATTTTTCTCAATTGAAGTCACTATTTCTGTTTTTAGCTTCAGAGGAAAAGAGGTACATGAACATGCTAAGTTTACCTAGATCACAAGGCTTACCACAAATATAAAGTATATAGGAATAGAGTTGATATGTGTGAAAACCTTAAACTTCACATTTTATTGGGGATGGAACTTGTGGACCATGTGTATTTCTAACTTCTTCACATGTGCATGGATCTAAAATTGTGGCAGCCATCTTGGATTTGTCATATTATGTGGACATGGTTTTGGTTGTGCTGAATTTGTTTCAAAATAACATTTCTTGTATACCTTCGATAAGTGAGATAGGCATTTGAAATTAAATACAGATAGTATACTTGACATTTAATGCATTAAACAGTAATACAATTCATTCTTACATAATAAGTGAGACCAGACAAAAAGTTGTTATTGTGTTAGTTTAACTGGGCATAAATTACACTCATTGGCCTTGGTTTTCTTAATTGGCTTGGATAAAATGTTGTTCTGTTTATTCAGAAAAGGAGTATAGTTAAATATGCAAGTTCACATTCGTTCCATCCTCTTGTAGAAATGAATCTCATATTATTTCATCTCAAATATAGAACACAAAAATATAATAAAAAACAAGTTTCTATTAATTGCAAAAGTTAGCTTCTATGTCATGACTGAGTTTGGGTTCCGCTTCTAGGGAAAAAAATATCCATCTGGAAATATCGTATTGACCATTGCTATATACACTCCATATTTAATCCTCCCAGTAAATAACATTGATATACAGTATACAAGTATATATGACATCGAGGATCTGGTGTTTGGGTAATGTGAGACATGAGGCCACTTGTCTCTTTGAATCTCATATTCAATATTCTTTCTTTAAACCCTCATATTTATTAATATTTTTGGAGTGGTAATTCAATTATGTCTCTATTTTTTATTCGTTATCCCATAGTTGAACTCTGTTCCGCTCTGTTAGGTAACATGAAAACATATTTATGATATTTTGCAAATGCGTGGAAAAAGTGATATCTGTGGAATACGGAAAATATTTCACAGATATTACCTTTTGGCAGGGATTTGAAAACTACCACCAATATGATGTGTTTTGTACATAGTGATTTCATGACATCACGGGGATGAATGAATGAATGGATGTTGTTTTAATATGCTTTGTTTAGTTTTAGAGGTGAACTATGGGAAAAATAGAACATCCTATGAATTTTCGTGATATTGTGTTAATCCAACTCATTGATATCAATATCTGCGCTAATTCGCTATGCTAACTTGGCAAGATATTGATATCAACTCGGAGATAAAGATAAAATCATTTAAAATCATATGATATCCTATACATATCCTTTACTGTGCTACAACTTTCTCATATGTTATATATTTTGGCACAGGCCATCATTTATTTTCCTTGAATTCATGCTTTTGTTCCTCGTTTTAGAAATGAGAGGAAATCTTTGATTTTCCTTGTATTTAAGTTGCTTAAATGTTGCCCTGTAATGTTGATAAAAGTCAATAGTAATCCATTACAGTCACAGTTGAAATGTACCCATTGCTAGCCCAAAACCTACCAAAATAGCATTTGCATTTTGTCAGTATTGCCCTATGTGCTTTTCCATGAAAATAATTTTAATCGTATCTTTTCTTCAGTATTTCATATATTACATTTTAATATATTTAAATTGGTTAATATTGATATGCTATTTACTTAGACAACAATAAATAAAGAATTTTTTGTAAAAACACCAAAAATGGTATATGATCCTTAAATGACTGTTGTGTGAACATCAAAGGTCAAAATTCGCTGAAATTGTATTTTTATAAAGCACAAATGATTTTTCTTCAATATGATATGCATTATTATCAGATATCTTTGGGGGCTAAAAAGGGCCCTTAATGACACCCCTCCTTTATCAAACATTGTATTATCATTTGATTTGAAACTTTAATGTTTTACTTTTTTAAGTAATTCATTAAAAATCATTGGCTTTCAATTTAATTAACATGTTTATAACTATAACTTGGTTTGAAGAATTAAAGTCAACAAAGTTTAATTCACATTGAATTTGTAATTTATTGTCAAATACTATTTATTTGTAATATAAATTAACCGGTTTCATGTAAAATCAAACTCTTGGTTATTAAATATTTAATCCTACTGGTATATGATTTCACAATTAGGCTGAGTGGTTTATGAGTGAATCGAAAGTGTCAGAATTTTTTCACAATTTTCAACCATTGTTTGGTCTAACAATTATATATGATTAATGTTTTATAAAAGACTTCTATATTTCTTTTCATTTTAATGCTCAAACTGAGGAAAAATATATAAAAATACATCGGTCCAAGTTGACTAGGGTCCGAGTTGACTAGGGTCTGAGTTAACTAGGGTCCGAGTTGACTAGGGTCCGAGTTAACTAGGGTTCGAGTTAACTAGGGTTCGAGTTGACTTAATAAAGCAATGTGGAATCTATGCATGGTATGTTGAATATTTAATAAATTTTTAATTCATAGCAACATTTGACTGAAAATAAATATTGATTGAGAAGCATAGTCTATAAACATTTTGATTGAGTCTATATAATTAACTTAATAAAAATATGCTCTCTTGCTCCATAGATACCAGCAATTTCATTATGTTACAATTACAAAATATATTCCATTCACTTCTCTACTTTCGCTTTTGATATCTAATGATTCTTGAACTCAAATTGCATGCTCTTTCCCCTTTAATAGAAATTTGGGGTCAGCCCATTTGTACTAAATGAGGACTCAGTACAAATAAGGAATGTTCATACATGGTCATATGGTGCAACATGACATTTTTTGACATTTCATATATTTATTTCATAAACCTGGCTCTTAATATAGGATATTTTCATATTATTTTGTAAAAAATGAATGTCACCTCCAAAAGTATAGTATTGGTCAATATAGTCTCTAACTTTTTCTGGACAGTGTTCATTGGTTGGTGTCTGTAACAAATGGCAGTCGGCATCTGTAACAAATGGCAGGTGGTGACATTTTGCATGTTCATGCCTTGTTCAAGCACTTCACTTCATTCCATAGCTGCTATATAGCAGCGAAGCCCGATCTTGAAAGATGACACTGCTCTTCATTTCATTTCATTTCGTCTGGTATATATTTATTTAAAATGAACATTTTTTCTAATTTCAGGATTCTGTCCCCACAGTTCAATCTACTGAAGACACTAGGAAATTCTTTGCCGTTTGAAGTAGCAGTCGGCATGAATGGTCGGATATGGGTGAAGGGAAGATCTATTAAAGAGACAATAGCTATTGTTAATGGACTAAATAGTGTGGAATATATGGACACTAATGAAATTAAAGTAATGTGTAGAAAATTGTTAGACACTTTGGCAGGTTTCTGATTTGTGGAAATATATTTTTTTAAATAAATCTTTATATAATACACATGTTGTTTGCAATGTTGATCTATATTAAGATATGTAGTTTCCCAGTTTGAGGTTTCAAACATCAGAGTCAAATGACTAGATGAGTGGCATTTTCACTGCCTGACACTTTATCTTCAGAACATATTCTATTGAGCATAGAAAACAAAATTCTCGGCAAAGTATTCACAAATAACATAGATTCCAAAACAATTTATTGAGTAAATCAAAACTTTGAATGAGCAAAGTGCAATATGTGGAAAACATGCATTCATATTTTGGATACAAACCTGTGTTTCGTGGTTTGGCTAACAAATGATATATTTTGATGCTTGTCTGACAGTTATCTGCGCATAAAACTAATTATCTAAACTATACAAATGCTACTAAAATGTTACTAAAATATGAATGCATTTTGGTCCTTTGATCTCCCATACTTCAAAGTCCATGTCCATGCACTTGAGTGGGTGCAAAATTGTATTTCCATAATTTAGCCTAATTTTTATGATTTTTATGTGGGTGCAAATGGATTCTCAAGAGGGTACAGGCCTGTTATTAAAATCTCAAGTGGGTACATTAACCAATTGTTAAATGCTATCTCAGCATGGTAGAGTGACCAATATGGGCTCAACACAATGTCTTTAATATACAGTCACATAAAATGATCAGCGCAATGTATTTATTCTTCACCTGAAGTGACCAATATGAGTTGAACACAATATAGTTCATCTACATAGAGTGGATATGAGCTGAATACAATGTACCTCATCTACATAGAGTGCACATGAGCTGAACACAATGTACCTCATCTACATAGAGTGCACATGAGCTGAACACAATGTACCTCATCTACACAGAGTGGATATGAGCTGAACACAATGTACCTCATCTACATAGAGTGGATATGAGCTGAATACAATGTACCTCATGCACACAGAGTGGATATGAGCTGAACACAATGTACCTCATGTACACAGAGTGCATGAAATGAGCTGAACACAATGTACCTCATCTACACAGAGTGCATGAAATGAGCTGAACACAATGTACCTCATGTACACAGATTGCATGATATGAGCTGAACACAATGTACCTCATCTACACAGAGTGCATGAAATGAGCTGAACACAATGTACCTCATGTACACAGAGTGCATGATATGAGCTGAACACAATGTACCTCATCTACACAGAGTGCATGAAATGAGCTGAACACAATGTACCTCATGTACACAGAGTGCATGATATGAGCTGAACACAATGTACCTCATCTACACAGAGTGCATGAAATGAGCTGAACACAATGTACCTCATGTACACAGAGTGCATGAAATGAGCTGAACACAATGTACCTCATCTACACAGAGTGCATGAAATGAGCTGAACACAATGTACCTCATGTACACAGAGTGCATGATATGAGCTGAACACAATGTACCTCATTTACACAGAATGAGAGCTGAACACAATTTACTTGTATCTCACCTACACATAAAGTGAGCAATGTAGGCTTAACACAATACATTTCATCTAGTACACAGAGAGTCACCAATGCGCGACGAAAATAATTTATTTCAATTCTTATTAAAACAAGACAACATTTTGGGCTAAGTTTTATATTTATTTATTCACTTATCCAAATGATTAACTGCCCTTACACTTATAAACTTTGAACATAATTGCAATTCCTATATGTATAAACAAAACAATACAATGGATTGCATCTTAATGCCAATGCACACCAATCAACAGAATTATTCATTAATTTAACCATATGGCAAGCCATGTGCATTAATTTTGAATTTTCAAAAGTTCTCATTTTGTCATTAACCAAATCATTGTGATTGCATGCTATATATGTTTAAATCATTATATAGTACAAAACATGTTTCTACCTATTGTTATTAAGACTTACATACGATACTGTTGGTTTTATTGCCATATTCACTTCCCTCCAAAAGCCAACCCTGACTTACAATGTTTTGTGTTTGAAATTTACTTTTCTTCAATGACTGGATATATATGATTTCAATGATTTTTTAAGTAGCCAAGTATAAACAGGCATGCCGTCCAATAGAGGTGTTGGTGTGGCCAATTCTTTGAAAAGAAGTGTATATGCTTAGCAACAGTCATTTGGTACAATGTATTATATAAATATTTCATCAAGAAGTAAAACTTGTGCATCGTTCATCTTTCCTGAGTACAGTAAAACCTGAAAAGTGGAACACCTCTCTGAGCGGAACATCTCCAGAAGTGGAACACTTTTAAGATCTGTTACCCTTTAACTAAAATAAAATAAACCTCCAAAGTGGAACACCATTTTGACGTACCACAGGTTTTTCCCTTACACAGGTTTTACTGTAATTTTAGAGAATATTTCAAAGGATTGTTACTTGTGAAAGCGACACAGGTATTACCCAAATATAGAATGAAATATTTGTTTCATTATTTCAATTACTTATAGCCTATGTTTGATGAATACCTGCATCGCTTTCACAAAATAAATACAGTGAAACCTGTAAGGTGGAACACCTCTAGAATGGGAACATCTCTGTTAGTGGAACACTTTTCAGAGTCCCAAGACCAACTGACTTAATGTTATAAGTGGAACACCTCCCAAGTGGAACACATTTTAGAGGTACCAAAGGTATTCTTCCACTTAGACAAGTTTTACTGTATTCCCCTAGTCATATGTCTTCCTTCGCATAACTATATCAACCCCCCCTCCCCCCACTCCTAGACATAATTTATAATTGCTTCAGGAAAATACATTGATATTGTTTGATTGAGCTCCTGTTCATTTAATAGTTTTAACTTAACCAATGTACTGTTGAAATTACATAAACCAAATGAGCAAATAATAAGAACAAAACAGTTTATGGGTATAGAAATGATTTGTAGAATTAATCATGTTTTAACAATCCATTCTTTACGCTCCACTCTCTAGTTCCACTATTTAAGCACAAACTGCATATTTGTCATACATTGAAGCTTTCTCCACATCCACATGTTCCTTTTATATTAGGATTGTTGAAGACAAATTCACTAGATAATAGTCCATCAACATAGTCCATCTCAGTTCCTAGCAATGTTAATTGTGCTTTAGAGTCTATTAAAATTTTTATTCCTGAAATAAGAAATCAAACAAGGCATTAACATGACAAAATGTCACCACCTAGTTAGGTCATTGAAGGTCAAATGTCAAATCTAGTCAGATTTGAATTTCTGAGAACACGTAGATGATTTTGAAAATTTTTTTTAGTCAATTTGAAGCAAGTTGAAAAAAGACCTTTTTGACCTTGAGAAGGTCATTGAAGGTCAAAGGTCAAATCTAAAGTCAGATTTGAACTTCTGAGAACTTGTAAAGTCAAATTTGAACTTCTGAAAAGATGTAGATGATTTTGAAAAAAAAATTTGGTCAATTTGAAGCAAGTTGAAAACAGACCTTTTTGACCTTTTTTGACCTTGAGAAGGTCATTAAAGGTCAAATGTCAAATCTAAAGTCAGATTTGAATTTCTGAGAACATGTAGATGATTTTGAAAAAAAAATTAGTCAATTTGAAGCAAGTTGAAAAAAGACCTTTTTGACCTTTTTTGACCTTGAGAAGGTCATTGAAGGTCAAATGTCAAATCTAAAGTCAAATCTAAAGTCATATTTGAATTTCTGAGAACATGTAGATGATTTTGAAAAAAAAATTTAGTCAATTTGAAGCAAGTTGAAAAAAGACCTTTTTGACCTTTTTTGACTTTGAGAAGGTCATTGAAGGTCAAATGTCAAATCTGAAGTCAGATTTGAATTTCTGAGAACACGTAGATGATTTTGAAAATTTTTTTTAGTCAATTTGAAGCAAGTTGAAAACAGACCTTTTTGACCTTAAGAAGGTCATTGAAGGTCAAATGTCAAATCTTAAGTCAAATCTTAAGTCAGATTTGAATTTCTGAGAACACGTAGATGATTTTGAAAAAAAAATTTAGTCAATTTGAAGCAAGTTGAAAACAGACCTTTTTGACCTTTTTTGACCTTGAGAAGGTCATTGAAGGTCAAATGTCAAATCTAAAGTCAGATTTGAAGGTCAAATGTCAAATCTAAAGTCAAATCTTAAGTCAGATTTGAATTTCTGAGAACATGTAGATGATTTTAAAAAAAATTTAGTCAATGTGAAGCAAGTTGAAAAAAGACCTTTTTGACCTTGAGAAGGTCATTGAAGGTCAAATGTCAAATCTAAAGTCAGATTTGAACTTCTGAGAACATGTAGATGATTTAGAAAAAAATTGAAGTCAGTCTAAACAGTATTAGTCAATTTGAAGCAAGTTGAAAACAGACTTTTTGACCTTTTTTGACCTTGAGAAGGTCATTGAAGGTCAAATGTCAAATTTAAAGTCAGATTTGAAGGTCAAATGTCAAATCTAAAGTCAAATCTAAAGTCAGATTTGAATTTCTGAGAACATGTAGATGATTTTGAAAAAAATTTAGTCAATGTGAAGCAAGTTGAAAAAAGACCTTTTTGACCTTGAGAAGGTCATTGAAGGTCAAATGTCAAATCTAAAGTCAGATTTGAACTTCTGAGAACATGTAGATGATTTAGAAAAAAATTGAAGTCAGTCTAAACAGTATTTGTTAAGTTATAGGAAGTTGTAAGAAATTGTTACAGACGCCGGACGCCAACCTCCAACCTCCAACCACCAACCACCGCCGTCGCAAAAAAAACGGAGACCATAACAATATGTCACCACTTTTGGTGGTGACATAATAATCAGAGAATTGAATTTCACAGAAAGGATTTGGATGTAGGAGGATGTACATGTAAATGAAGACAATATGAATGCAGGTGAAAGTATTCCGCTCTTATGAATTCAGAATATATCTCATGACACACCACATGTTAAAGGAGAAGCTGATTGCATCTTTTATTCAAGTAAAAGTGTACAATTGATAATAAAAACAGGGGTTAACGGCTACTTAAACAAATATTTGGTGAGCAAAAGTAATTTAATTTTAAAAATGAAATGGCACTTTTTTAGTTCGCCATGTATATTTTTAATACCAATGAGGACCAATATTAGTATTTCTCTGTCCTATGACAAGTGTCACAATATCTCTGTCAGATGATACATCCTAATTAGAATACTTTATTTGGGTCACATGAGAACAAACCTGTTATGAACTTACCATCTTGAATAACTTCCTCATCAAATTTTCCCTTCTCTGTAGCATAGTCTAAAGTATATGATAATCCATTGCACCCTCTTGTTTTTACACCGATTTTGAAACCGACCTGAAACAATATAAAAATTATCTCTAAAAAGCAATTCCATCCATGTCTATGGATTAGCAAATCCTGAACAAAACTATGATGCACCTAAATGCACCCAATAAAATATGATGCACCTATACAATCCTTTTGGACTATACAATGCACAAATTAGACAAGGCATTAACATGACAAAATGTCACCACCTAGTTATGAGTTCAATCTTAAGTCAGATTTGAATTTCTGAGAACTTGTAGATGATTTGGTCAATTTGAAGCAAGATGAAAAAAGACCTTCTTGACCTTTTTTGACCTTGAGAAGGTCATTGAAGGTCAAATCTCAAATCTAAAGTCAGATTTGAACTTCTGATAACTTGTAGATGATTTTGAAAAAATGGTCAATTTGAAGCAAGTTGAAAAAAGCCCTTTTTGACCTTTTTTGACCTTGAAAAGGTCATTGAAGGTCAAATCTTAAATATAATGTCAGATTTGAACTTCAGAAAACATGTAGGTGATTTTGAAAAGAATTGAAGTCAGTTAAACAGTATTTGTTAAGTTATTGGAAGTTGTAAGAATTTGTTACAGACGCCGATCACCAACTGCCAACCACCAACTGCCGTCAAAAAAACGAAGACCATAACAATATGTCATCACTTTTTGGTGGTGACATAAAAAGAGAAGAACAATTCCTACTTAACGTATTTTGTGTAAGCAACAGCCTCTAAAATTATAAGTTATTTGAAGAATATGTACATTAACATGTAGGCACAATGGATTTTATCTATTGAACCCCATCATGATAAACCATGAGATCTCATTTCTTCTCAGCCCTGAGATGTTTCAAGTGAAACAGAAAGATGCTATGAGTATCAGAATGATTGTACCCCTGGAAAGTTGCATATCTTTGTAAAAAGTTTTTATAACAGGCCAATAACCAATATGATAAATATATTTTTTTATTTTCTATAGATCGAAAAACAGAAATGAATATTTTTTGGAGGAACAGAGATCATCAAGGCATATAATATATAGGCTTACCGCAGTTGGCTTTTCCTGTAATAATTCTTTAATTCTTGAAACAGCTGCAGGCGACTGAAAAACCAAAAACAATGAGATCACATTAATGAGAAATGAATTCCTGGAATTCAATCACTTTGACAAATGTTACAAGTTGTGATAAGGTTGACTTTTTTATTGATACTGTCCCCAGGTCTGATTTCGGTGATCGGCTAGTAAAAAAGGTTTGAGGGTATCATTTTGTTCCAGACACTCTCTAGAGTAAATTATCCTAACTTGAGTAAAAATGTGTGGTAAGTAAATTCGCAATGGGCAGTTAAAGAGGCGCCAACTATTCATTTTAGTGACATTTGGTTACAAACCTGGCTGCTCTTCTCTGTACCTGTTCCAACATATCAATATCTTTTTGTCGGTATGGATCCCATGCCGAGCTGGCATACTCTAAATTAGGCCGGACTAGTGACTTGTACGCCTGAGCTTTCACTTTTTCAGGGCATTGATGGAGGTTGCGCCTGAGGAAACCAAGCACCTTATTGGCTTTGGATACAATAGTTTGAATATGTGTAGTCCAGCGTAAGTTATTAGTGATGTCAATACCTAGGTATGGGATGTGTGTTACCGACTTAAGGTTTTCCCCTAGCATGGTGTAATTGTGAATGATAGGGGATTTACCTTTGTGAATATTTAGCACATAGCATTTTGATGGATGGAATTTCATTTGCCATGTTGATGCCCAGGAGACCAGTTTATCAAGATTCTCCTTTAGTGTTAATGCATCTGGCTTGCTTTCAACTGTCATGAATAAAAGGCTGTCGTCAGCAAATAGCTTAAGACTGGCTGAGGATGATAGGTTATTGCCCATATAATTGATATAAACAAGGAAACAGAGTGGTCCAAGAACTGTTCCTTGAGGAACTCCTGATTTTACTGGAGTTTTTGAACTTGATTCGCCATCGAGCACTACCTGTTGTGATCTTCCCACAAGCCAGGATCTGAACCAGTTCAAGTTATTATTGCGAATTCCATAATAGTCGAGTTTGAGCAAGAGGCGTTCGTGAGCCACCGTGTCAAACGCTTTGGAAAAGTCTAATACCAACATGTCTGTTTGTTTATGGTTGTCGAGGGCCCAAGCTATATTCTCTATTGTTTGACAAGTTGGGTTTCACATGAGTGCTTTGACCTGAATCCATGTTGGAAGTTTACTAGAATTTCATAGAGGTCAAAGTGGGCAATAATATGATGGAATATAATATGTTCCATTATTTTACATGGAACTGACGTCAGAGATACAGGCCTGTAATTCACAGCCTCATCTCTTCGTCCCTTTTTGTAGATAGCAGTAACATTGGCATGTTTCCAGTCCATAGGCACTAAGCCTTCATCGATGGACTGTTGAAAAATTATTTAAAGGAATGGCGATATGCTGTCACTGCATTCCTTCAGGACCCTAGTCGGAATAAGATCGGGTCCAGTGGCTTTTGATGGATTTAGGCCAGTTAGCAATTTGTGAATTCCTTTTGTCGAAATTTTGATATTTGGCATTTCACGAATTTGACTGGGTACCATTGTCGGTAGAGTAGCATCCTCATCTGTGAATACAGAATTGTATTGGTCATTGAGGATGTTTGCTTTCTGGCCGGCGTCTGTTATTTCGTCGCCATCTTTGTTACGGAGCACGCTGATACCTGATGCATCTTTGCGTTTAGACTTTATGTAGCTCCAGAAGCGTTTGGTAATGCCTTTGTGCTGAACATTCTCATTTATGATTTCGCTTTCATCAATGTCGAGCAGATCGTTGATGTAGCGTTGATGTTCTTTACGAATTTCACTATGGATTAATTTCCATAGTGATTTGTATTTATGCCAATGATGAGGTTCATTTGAACACAACACAACACCAAAATTTATGAAATTGGTCATATTTTTCGAAATATTATGTGGTTATTTACACGTCACTAAAGAATACATAGTTCAAAATCAAAATATTTCCACAAATTATTTTTTCAATATTGAATTTATTTTTTCGAGGTCTCCTCTGCCGAAGGCAGCGCGAAGTAGGAGCGTAGCAACTACTTTGCGGGAGACCTCGAACCATTGATCACGTTTGCTCCTGTAATTATTCACTTCTTCACCTCTTTAAAATGTGATTTCAATCAGTTGATCAAATCGGACTTTGACCTCAAATTCAAATATTGATATTTATAAGAAAAAATACTGACTCATTATTATACTTTAAAAAGTCTTTCAAATAAAGTGAAATGAAGCCAAAATCAGCTAAAATTATGCAATGTCGTAAAATGGCGTTACTGGAATATGATGCAATCACCTGTGACGTCAGACACGTATCGCCACATCATTGATCAACAACTAAACAAACAATTAATATAGACTTCACTGATTGGTTTAAATATTCTTTGCATCATTTGTGACGTCATAAACACGTTACCCAACCAACAACTAAACAAATAACAAATAGGCATATAGGTTCGTTCAGTGCCACGCTCCTGAATCAGTTATACATGTTATAAACATAGATTCCGGCCAGATTATTTTGTAGTAGAATCAGTAGCTCAATAAATATTCTTTGAGCCTATGAGATCCTACTACAAAACGATCTGGCCAATATCTGTGGTTATAAACAGGATAATCAACAGATATATGATAGGGTCAGGATTTTTTTTGACTTGGGGACCTCGACTCGAGGAGTTTGCTGCATTTTCTTGTTTTAGAAGAAATTCAAAGTGCGCAACTAAAAGTTTCAAATTAGATCGGAGTTGAATGGGATTAGCTTGTGAACTAATCTCAATTGAGTCTAATATATGGAAGTTTATACAATACTTACAATAACTAAAGGAGCTCGAGTTGGACGTAATCTAGTGTTTTTAACTGCTCGAATGGTGGCAGTCATTGCAGTCCGAGCTGCCATTTTTCATTTCATAACATCGCTGAAACATTAACAAATATTTAGGCTTATAGGATAATTTGCGCCAGATTCGCTTTCGGAGCTGTTATTTAATCACGCATGCGCAAAAAAGATTATGCACATAAAACCTTCACACATATAAAACCTAGGATGAAGAAAAAGATCTCCCATCTGTTTTAAATAGTGAATTGCAACCTGGGTGCAATCAAATCTATGGAAAACCACCAAAAAAGCTCTGACCGCGTTTTCAGCTTTTGGGGTTATCTGCGCCAGTTAGCTTTTTGATTTCAAACACGCATGCGCACACATTAGACTTTTTAATCTACATTTTCATATTTAGATGTCACTATGATCATACTACAAGTATTCATTCATTCTCAAAATAATGTATGTATTGTTTCCAGACTTTGGATGAGTGCGGCCGGGAGTGGATGACTGCATAAGGCCACATCATCCACAATGCATTGAGTCATGTGCTGGAAAAGACGGCACTCAAATGCTCAAAACTTGATAATTTTAATTTTTTCCTTAATTGTATGACTTGTGAAGGTACCGAGATAAACCTGGTCGCAAAATTTATTTCAACATGCGATATAACTGCAAAGCTATCAATAATATGTCATGACCCTTGGTAGTCTAAACGGACACTACTTAGTATAGTCTACTCACTGGAAATCCACTCGATTACGCTGGTTACCTTATTTCACACGTTGTAGGCAGAATTCCCACGACATTTTTAACACAAACGTGTATCAGTATCATATGTTTAAGAAAGTGTACATATTTGCGAACAAATAGTTCAGAAGACAACAGAATCGTCGATTTAATTCCTCACTTAAGTTACATAAACGGTTTTTCGAAAAACAGTTAAGATCTGCACTTTTAACCCAAACCGTTTATGTTACTTAAGTTTCGATGAAAGTTTGAAAATATGCAATCACTGTATCGATTTACAGTAATCAAGTCGGTATCGGGACTCTGTTGTCGAAGTCGGTGAAAGCATGGGCTTTCAACTAGAAAGCCCATGGTGAAAGTAAAAAAGGTCTACTAGCACTGGCGGATCTGGGGGGGGGCCCAGGGGCCCGGGCCCCCCCCCCCTTGGGTGGGCCCAGAAAAAAAAATTGTGCCCAAAAAAAATTTTGAGCCAAAAAAGGCCTTAAGGCCCCAAAAAGTAGGCCTTTTTGATCATAAATTGGCCTTGTAAGGCCTTGTTTTTTAATTTTAGGCCAAATTTTGAAGAAAATGGGCCTCAAAATTTCAAAATTTGGGCCCACTTTTGGGTTTTTGGGGCCCAAAATTTTTTTTCGCGCAAGCGCGGACGTTTTTTTCTCAGACCAGAAGTTTGGGCCCCCCCCTTGTTGGTTCCCAGATCCGCCCCTGACTAGCCACATATAATATACAAGTATGTACTTTAACTTATTCACATATACTAGTGGTATTACACATTTATATTTCATTTTGTACTTTAAGTAGTTTGTAGTTGTAGTTAGTTGTATGCTTTGTATATGACCCCTGAAGGGGATTGAAATACAATAAAGCTAATAAATTTGAAATTTGAAATTTGTGCTTAAATTAAATTCTTTTTCACACATTGCACGACTGAGGAGTAAGTCACCCCTCCCCCTCTCGATTTCACCATATAGCTATGTGTGAATTAACCCGGGTGAATTACCATAATACATTTATCTGTTTATCGCCTAGATTTTCAATACAGAAAATATGTACCAACATTATCTCCCCAATCACAGGCTGGTATCGAAATATTTGTCCGCTGTGACGGAGCATGCTATTTTTTACGCTGGGAAGAAAAGCTATTGAAAATGGCGCCGGAGTATCATACTTCAAAATGTACCATTTCTTGTTTAAATTTCTAATAGTACGATATAGTGACACGATAATATTTACACATGGTTTCAGCATAACTATGAAGGTATAAATGAGATGTTGATGTATTTGGTCTTTTCAATTTTCTTATAAAAAATAATGTTTAATTTTTTTGTCCGCTGTGACGGAGCAGTTGCAAATGTGAACTGTGAAAATGCTCCGTCACAGTGGACAAAAAATATTAATATTATTTTTTATAATTATACATTCAGAGTTATGCTGAAAACATATTCTAATATTATCGTGTCACTATATCATGCCATTAAAAAGTTAAAAAAGAAATGGTACATTTTAGAATTTGATACTCTGGCGCCGTTTTCAATAGATTTTACTCCTAGCGTTATTGGACTTCAAACAGAAGTGAAGGTTACACGCAAATGATATATCCATTGCATGGCGTAAGTAATTATCTTTGATATAACGAAACATATGAGTTAAAAAATAAATCGTGAAGCATTCTTAGTGTTTTTATGAAAAATAGCATGCTCCGTCACAGCGGACAAATCTTTCGATACCAGCCTGTGCCAATTGGACTATGTGTTAAAGCTGAGACCCGGGAATGTTTGAGTTCTTATCTATATAACTTGCGATGCTGAAAATACGTATATAGTGGTGGTGTAACTTTATATCCTATACCTCCAGATTTACCAAAAATTTTCGTCGAAAATTGAATCATCTAACTTTTTGCAAGCTAAGCGTTTAGTTTACTGTGGGAACAAAGCTTAGAAGTCGTTTCTGAAACAGTTTTCGATTCCTGTTCCTGTGTGATCCCATGGGTTATCGTTTCTAGTAAAATTTGACTTTGGAAACCTATAACTTTGTTAAACATGAAGAAATATGTCAATACTTTGTTAAATAAACGTTGCAAATTCAATTGTTCACCTAACTTCCGCGAAAACTCGGATATATGACATATGACATGGGGGGGGGGCAGAGGGATGTAAGAAGATCTCCACCTTCCTTCAGAAAAATGCCATTGCAGAGGGATGTAAGAAGATCTCCACCTTCCTTCAGAAAAATGCCATTTTGAAATATGCTATTTATGTGGCTAATTTTCAGTTTTGTTCCATTTGGGTGAATCAATATGCAACAGAGCAGCGGGGGCTATGATGAGTCTCAGAGTGGAGCCAGTGACTCTTTTCAATGATTTGATTTTGATTGTCCAATCGAGTTAGCTTGATCCGAATTGAGCTACCAAATTGGGATTGTAGTCAAATAATTTCATCTCTTTGATGGCTTGCTTGTATCATGAGAAATCATAGCCTTCTTCTATGAGCTTCTCTTCTTTCTAGTTGAAGACAGAAAGATATGATGAATATCAGAATGGATTGCTTGCATTTATTTGCAATAATATCTATTCATTTTATCATCTCCCTCCTCATCAATTTCCTGACCCACCATGATTTTAAGCAAATGGATAGATTTGTTAAACGAAACGATTTGCTCTGAAAACATTTTGGAAATAAGAATGTTGGATGTGGGGGTAGAATGGATCCAAGGGATCAAGCCAGGAGCGTAGCCAGCTTTCAGTCGGGGGGGGGGGGGGGGTGCGATCGCCAAAAAATTCGATTTTCAGTCAGGGGTTGCGAGCCAAAAAAAGATTTAGTATCCCACCGAACGAAGTTCGAGGGGGATATAAGAAAGCCGTCCGTCCGTCCGTTTGTCCGGGCGATAACTCAAATACCGGTTGACGGATTTGATTCAAATTTTATAGGCTTATGCCTTATGGCGATATAACTTTTGCTCGAGAAGGATTTTCAATATGGCAGCTTAATTCAAAATGGCCGCCACTTTTCGTAAAAATGTAATCTTAGTTTACTCAAATACTAGTCGACGGATTTGGTTCAAATGTTATACGTTGATGCCTAGGGACAAAGGAGCTATGCTGAAGAAGATATTTTCAAGATGGCTGCTGAATTTTAAAATGGCGGCCATTTTTCGTAAAAAAGCGTAATCTTTGATAACTGAAATACCAGTTAATGGATTTGGTTCAAATTTTATATGATGATGCCTAAGGACAAAGTAGAATTGTTCATAAAAAAAAATTTTTAAATGGCCGCCATTTCTCATAAAAATACGTAATCATTGATAACTCAAATGTAAGTCGACGGCTTTGGTTCAAATTTTATATGCTGATGCATAGGAACAAAGGAGCTACCACGAAGGATTTTCAAAATGGCTGCTAAATATCAAAATGGCGGCCATTTTTCGTAAAAAGACGTAATCTTTGATAACTCAAATACCAGTGAACGGATTTGGTTCAAATTTTATATGATGATGCCTAGAGAAAAAGTAGATTTGTTCAAGAAAGAATTTTCAAGATGGCGGCTGAATTTCAAAATGGCCACCATTTTTCATAAAAAAGCGTAATCTTTGATTACTCAACTACTAGTTGAAGGATTTGGTTCAAATATTATATGCTGATGCCTAGGGATAAAGGAGCTACGCTGATTAAAGGATTTGGTTCAACTTTTATACGCTGATGCCTAGGGACAAAGAAGCTACCTTGAAGAAGTTATTTTCAAAATGGCTGCTAAATATCAAAATGACGGCCATTTTTCCTAAAAAATGTAATCTTTGATAACTCAAATAGCAGTGAATGGATTTTTTTTGAAATTTGATTGCTGATGCCTAGGGACAAAGTGGGGACACACTGTTCGAGAAAGATTTTCAAAATGGCGGCTGAATTTCAAAATGGCTGCCATTTTTTCGTAAAAAGGAATGTAATCTTTGATAACTCAAATGCTAATTGATAGATATGGTTACATTTTATATGTTGATGCCTAGGGAACAAGCTCTGCTTAGAAGGAATTTTCAAGATGGCCACTAATTAGCAAAATATGTTTTGTTCGTTGGGATTTGGTACTCCGTGGATTTGCTGTTTTTCTAGTTTTTCAAAAAGTGATGAAACTTCCTTCAAAATTTAGCTAGAAGCTTCAAATAAAAAAGCATTTTAAAGCCCTTTTTGCAAGCTATACTTATGTCACTTCCACAAGTGGTGACATAATGGTCTCCACCTTTTTGTAGACGGTGTTCGGGGGTTGGTGTTCTGCGTTCGAAGGTTAGTGTTCGGCGGTCGGTGTATAACAAATGGGCAGGTGGTCACATTTTGCATGTTATGTCAATGCCTAGTGTGTATAGTATGTCACGGAGTTTTTGTGTGCGGGCAAATGTTTCATTGCATCGTCTACTCTGTACTTCAGGTACGTACGTTCACTTTTAACATATATTTTTCTATATCTCTGTGAAACTTGTCACGTGTCGAGGTTTGGGGGTGGGATGGGATCGGAAGATTTGTCTACTATGGGGATCAATTTGTTCTCGATGCAATCGGTCTTCAGTCACTTCTCTAATTAACGCCTCGAGTTAAAGCTCAGAAGCTATTGA